CCTTTCACCAACCACATCATGTCAAATACACAAATATGTTGGAGTCTATTCAGAAGAAAGCCATTTTCCCCCCAACTACATCATGTCAGAGGCACAAATATTCAGCAATGTATTCAGAAAAAATTCGTTAGATTTATGTGTAAGCGTTACGATGGCCATTTTTCACTCACATTACAAGCTTACAAACTGCAGCTAAAACATTTGGCCCGCCGACACACTTGTCACCATCTTGTCCTGCTGCATAAAACTGCTAAAGGGAAAAAAACTATCGATGGACCTCTTGCTTTTGCTAACCCTTCTTTTTGAGTCGACAGAACTGTTTTCCATTCCTTTTTTAATACTATCAACATTTGGAATGGCCTTGACGGCCCCTTCGAGAGTTTTGCAAGAAATAATTTGTGGAACAATTGTCAAACTTTGTTCACCAATGAACTGTGTATGCTTTTCTTATGTATTTTTTCTCTTTCACTGTATAAAGTCTTTTTCATATTGCATCTTTAGTGTATTTATATACTTACCCCTGCAATATCTTGCAATGCAAGATGGCAGTATATATAAATAAAAGTAAACCACCTATGCTCCATGCAGCTGGGCACTCGCTCACCTTTGCTAGACGAATTGCACTTCTCTCTCCTTTCCCTTGGCTATGGACATCTATCTGCCTGCTTAGCTATGACTTACTCTCTCCCACTTCAATAGGGTTGATATATCGTATGGACGGTACGGTGAAGTAATGCACTTTGGACAGGGATAGAAGAAACATGGACACTACACTCTCTACCAAAGTATTTTCATCATCATCATCAACCTGATTATGCCCACTGCAAAGCAAAGGCCTCTCCCACGATCTGCCAATCAACCCGGTTTTGGGCTTTCTGCTGCCGCCTTATACCTGCGAACTTTTTGATCTCATCGGCTCACCTAACCTTTTGTCTCCTCTTTTGTGCGTTTGCCTTCTCTGAGAGTCCAGTCAGGCCAGCGGTTATCCTGCCTACTACAACGTGCCTGGCCCATGTCCATTTCTTCTCCTGGATTTCAACTATGATATCCATAACCCCGGTTCGTTCCCTGACCCATCTGCTCTCTTCTATCATTTTCCTAAACCTACCATTTTCCTTTCCATCGATTGCTGCAACGTCTTCAGTTTAAGCTGAACCCTCTTTGTAAGCCTCCAGGTTTCTCCTCCATATCAAAGTACTTTAGCATACGGTACTCTAATCATTCTCTCATTTTCTTTTCCTCGCTTCTCTTCTCTATCCTTGCTACACTGACGCTATGCTTTTCCCCATGCTATGTACTTGCCCTCTCCTGGCTGGGCTATCCTGTGAACATCAACGCCCTAACCGCACGCAAGTAGTGAGGCTAACATCACTGTGCCGTCATTGACCTGCATCTACTCTGCTTTAACAGCTCCGCTGGAAAGGTGCGACTACACGTACGCATTGCAGCGTATTGGAGAAGGGAAAGGAGGGGGAAGGAAATCATTTTTAGGAAAATTTCAACAAATCTCAGAAAATGGTGCGTGGAGTGCACTCGTAGGGAGAATGGGGATTGAAGGGAGGATGAGAGTGTAAATAAGAAAGTAAGGGATATGACAGGGGAAATAATATGAGATAAAACGAAAGGGCGGCAGATAAGCAAAGGAGATAAAAAGCGGGGAGGGTAGAAAAACTCTGGTGTTTGGCAGGAGAAAACGCCTAATTTACCATGGCGAGCAGCTTCTAAAGGTTGTTCAATCAGGCTGGCGTCCTCAAAACAGCCGAGTAGGGCCACAAGTAGAGCGGCGAGCCCAATCTCTCCACAGAGAGGGCGCGATGCTAAGTCTACAAGCCACGCACGGACTGGTTGCAACGCGCACCTGCGATCAGGCCTGAATACCACACCTGCGCAGGACATGCAACAGTAGCAGCAAGAGCTGAAGAAACAGCCGTTCCAGAGCCCATTCATTGCAAACTCTCTAGGGGCAACTATAAGAAAGTGCAGTTGCAAGCTGTACACCACAAAGCAATTTTGCGCAATAGGGAAGCACTCATTATGCTATTCTTATTCTCATTCTGTGGAGACACAAGGTAGCCGAAACAAGTCTGTAAGGATTAAGTGCAATTGGTGATGCTGTGGCTTCTCACGGTGAAAAACTGTGGCCAAGCACTTTGCAAGTATCAGAGAGCTTTCAACCCCCCCCCCCCCCCCCCCCAATCACATGGTGCAATGCCTGGTGTTTTATTTTCCATGCTGTTAACAATACACCGCCTGACATGACGCCGTAGTTTTTTTGCGAACAAGTTGCAAGCGTAGGTGTGATTCTAGGGTAGAACGACTCGACTGCCACACAGGCCTGGCTTCAAATCTCCCTCAATCCTAATTTTATTAAAGACGATAGTCTTTCTTGGGATGCTTCAACGCAAGAATTTTGGGCTGTCGGTCGACTTGTCTGTGTTAACCAAAACTACTGAAATCCAACCACATTTGCAGCGCCCACCAATATTGATTTGATTTCGGCGTTCATACTTGCGCGTATTGTCGATTAATGGGAACGTACCCAATGGACAACCTCAATGCGTCAATATCTGTGGCGTGTTTTTTTATACTATAAAAGGAATACATAAGTAATTCTAAAGAATGTAGCGTTTATTAAGCTGTGTTGACAATGCAACTCTATGAACGAAAAGACTATGCGCTGGTGGCACTGACCCCTCACCTTGCACTCTACAAATTATGGCCTCCGAGATTGCACGCACATGCTGCTTGCACGCTATAACGGAGGCCACCCTTTCGTTTTCTAAGATTAATACCAGATAGCGCTCATTTCTCACGCAGCATCTCCAGAATCACAATCACAGATTTTCTCGCGCAGGACATCAAATGAACGTTTTATTCACTTCCTCCAGACGCAAGACTATCGTCTTTTGATGAAATTTGCAGTGAAACATGCAGATACCGGAATAAATTTTTTTTTTCTCCCTCAGGACCTCAAAGTTCTTCATCCATACATCTATCTTGCAGGACAGCCGTTGCAGAAACCGGCGGCAGCGGCCTATTAAGCCACCAAAATGAACTGTTGTAATCTCAAAACTGCCTTTGCTGTAAAATATGCGAAACATCTTTCGGGAGTCAAGCGTTGGCATGGGGGCTTTATTGTGGAAAACTCTATGGCTCTGGCTTTCTTTATGTTCAGATAACCTTGAAAAGTCCAGAGAGGCCAACCCAAATGAAGCGCGGCAGCCATCAGCTCTGCTATAGGCGTGTACAAAGTTCCCTATCAAGGCGGGGGCAAAGGTTCTGGCAAGGGAACATACAGGCGGTGCCGACCGATTAGGAGCCGCACTTCTGTTTCACCTGATAGCCATCTACATCTAGAGCTTCAGCGGTGATTGAGCGCATGCCGGTTCATTCTCTCTCAACGACACAAGGCAAATTTCAACCACAAAACATTATGTTCCAACACCTCGATTATAACTTCAAAGATCAGCTAACTGCACTAATAGGGCGCAAGCAACGTATGCGGGCAACTGTGAACTTTGTCCGATGATGAAGTTGGTGGTGGCACCAAGGACCAGTACACAACCCCCATGGTTCAAAAAATTGTAATGGAAAGAAGTATGCAGACTTTTGCTATGCGAACATGCTGCCGCAAGAATTTTGTAAATATGCGCAGTAATAAGCAAGTTAGAGGGGCTACGTGGACATGCTGCCACAAGAATTCTGTGAATATGCGCTGTAATAAGCAAGTCAGAAGGGCTAGAACATGCATTCTGGCTGGTTTCAAGCTTTCGCGCGGCCTCGCCACCCTTCTCCGCCACAGGGAGGAAAAGGCAAAGCCCATTGTCATGACTCCACCCCCCTCAGCAAACATGACGCGACATCAGCGGGCATCCCAACGACTGAGCAGGTGTTCTCCCACATGAGCACGTGTCATAGTGGCGCAAAGAGAAAGCGCGGTGCGACAGGCCCCCTCTCCCTAGCACTAGTACAGCGGCGAGACGCCTCTCTTGGAGGCTTTCTTTTTGGGAATACCGCTTCTCCGTATAGTCTCAGGCTCTACAACACGGCAGTGGGCAGCACAGGAAAATGAGAGTGCGGACTGTGCGGCCCTAACTGCATCACCGCAGGGCCAAGGTGTCGTTTCGCAGGGGGCAAAGGGCCAATCAATGATCTCAGATGTACATGCTGAAGTTGCCCATGGGCATGTTTGCATCACTGCGCATACAAGTGGCGCTGGTCAGGTGCAGGAATCATTTTTCGAATTGGAGGGTCCGCGCGGTGTGCCGCACTAACATTCGCAAGATGTGACTACTGCAGTCTACCGTATGAATTGGCGAGCTTTTTTTGGAAGGTGTAGAAAAAAAAGCAGCCTGAATGCAAAAGCATCGCTTTGCTAGATTGGCAAAAGTGCTAGCCCAGCTAGCATTTGCAAAAACAGTGTCTCTTACACTTCACACTGTAATATAGTTCCATATTCGAAAGAGCGCTGTGGTGATGCTTTCGGTTGCCATCACAAGCAGGAGAGTCCCGCGAGAAAAGCGAGAATGTAACGTATTGCGTAACACCACCGTCAAAATTTAAAAGTGTCTCAGAAATATCCCTATTACGCCTGCGTCACTGAGGAGCCACCAGACATAAGCTGTGACATTTCATGTTGTCAATGCACGATTTCAGCAAGTAGAGGCACTATAAAAATGACTACAGAACGTTCTATTATACACTTAAACCCTTTTATAAGAGGCATGCTCTAGGCAGCAATTCTCGTCCCGTAATTCACTGTAAGCACACTGTCATCTCTTGTACCCATTTTTTCTCTTAAATCAGTGTCTCTAAAAAGGAGTTCGACAGTATTTGATAGAGCAAAATACAAAATAGAAAACAATATAGGTGGATTCAAGCTCTGTCACGATCCCTAGTGCCAAGGGCATGAAATAAAATGCAGGTCAATTACGTCCTGCTGTCCAACAAAGGCTTGGTGCAACCTTGTAACTTAAGACAGGCGACGAAATGGCTCAAAGAAGGTTGAAAAGGGGGAGAAACCTTATTTATTAGGCAGCAACATGTGCGTCAGGTAAAGCAAAACAAAACATTACCAGCTACAAATTTCTGCACACAGAAGTGGTAGGAAATACACTACAAGCCAATGTACAACCAGCGTCACTCAGCTTCTTTTTTTTATATCTCACTATCTGCTCCGGCATGCAATCAGCCATGTAATGTACAATGTATGTTAAAGAAGGTTGAAAAGGGCGAGAAACCTTATTTATTAGGCAGCAACATGTGCGTCAGGTAAAGCAAAACTCAGCTTCTTTTTTTTTTATATCTCACTATAGAATTGCCCGTCTGCTCCCGCATGCAATCAGCCATGTAATGTACAATGTGCGCTCAATGTGGCAAGAAGCTGCACAGTTCATATCACACACACAAAAAAATTTGCTGACAACGCTGTCAAATGCCAAGGAAGCGACATTATGCCTACACTTCAGCGTGAGGGTAGTGCTTTTAGGTTTCTCTTTGTTTGCATGCACAATGAAGCTTCTCGCGAAAGTCTGAAAATTTTGCTGATAACCTGTCTTAATATTAAAATGAGCAAAGTGCACGTACATAGCGGGCAAGTACATCTGGCTGACCCAGAGGCATTTGCACCAGCTGAAAAAAAAAGCACAAAACAAAAATTGTCATTCACTGCGGATTCACAACAATGAACAGGCAATTACAAGTTGGTGAAACAGATGAATGCCCCCTATGCCCCCCTCAATCTGCTGTATCTTTCCCATTTTGGAGGTGGTATTTCTCAACTAATTGGCTGCAGGTAATTAATTACCTCACAGACTTTGTGCGATAGCATGACAATGCGACAGACAGGAGAACATGTGAGCAACCAGTAAAAAAAAAAAAAGGTATACGAAGGCCGAAGAGTTCTTACATGCGCACTAGTGCAACCAACTTGCACCACATCTCCATTAAAACCACTTCTTCCTTTAAACAACTGACGATACCAGCTGTAGCCACATCTCTCCCGGCCCTGCCCCCTCTGCCAATGCGAAGGTCACTCGGTCACCTCACGAAGTTCGTCGCGCACTTCACGAAGTTCATCTCCGTCTTCTAGGTTTCGGAAGGCTAGAAGCCCCAGCCTTTACCAAAACCAGTTTGGCGGCTTTCGAAGACGTGTCAGTAGTCCACCAATGCCTTGGACCACGACGAAGACGACGACGGTGGTTGACGTGATCGGTGGTAGTCTTGGGGTGGAGACCGTGATCTTGATCGACTCCTAATTTGGAAGAAAATTCAAGCAATTAAAGAGAGCTTCTTAAAGTTTTGCATAGAGCTTCTGTGTCAAATTCGTTCATTGTGACCAGAGCGGCTGTTGCTCTCTTAGTTCGTGCTTTATTGGCTAACTTGCTTTGCTTTGAATTAAAAAAACACTATATTTGTTACCAGGTTATTGTACACCTATGAATCTTGGTAACACTTTCACAATACTGTAAGAGAGTAAGAGAGAAATGGCAGACAGTACGCACTTAAGGAACACCTACATGCCATCACAGCCCTACGCTAAACATTGAGAAACTTGAAATTCACAGTGGAAGGTGGCGCGACGAACACGGACAGACTGAAAACACAGTACTGATTTTCGCAATTTCTGTTGCACACCCATGTAATGTTACGTTTTCTTCGTGCCTCTTCTTTCAGTGACAAGCTCGTAAGCAAAAATAGAAAATTCGCTCTTCCCTACAAAATATGCATCACACTGTAATGTGTGCACGTATTGAAACGTGGCGTCTAAACTAAAATGCGCACTTTATTGAGGTAACCACACCATGTCACTGCGAACCCCGCCATTAGAGCTGACAATGGCTTCAGTACAAGTGCCCAAGTAAAAAATGTGCCAAAATGACACCAACTGGGGACATAAACTACAGGGTATGCACCTTACATAGCCGCAAATTGCAGTCCTCCAATCTGTTAAATGCTTCACATGTACAGGAGGAACCTCCTCCTGAACATTGAAAGCCCGAGGACCATAATGTTGCACCTACCTTCGCCGAGAGTAGTATGTCGGATTTCTGGAGTACTCGATAGGGGGCGCATACGAAGTATCACCCGGAGGCCGGGGCTCTGGACTGCGGCTTGGGCTTCGCGAGCGGCTGCCAGAGCGGCTGGAGTAGCAGTCACGGCCATCCCGGCTTCCATCTGGATCGTAATCGTAGTCGTCCCTTTCTTTGTGCCTCTTCTCGCGTTCCCTAGATGGCACCAGCAACAAGAACCAAGTCTGTGAACATAGCTGAAGCGACATCATGTGCCTTCAAACTGCGCCATGTTTTAGTTTATCTTAGTGGACGAAAAATAAACATGGGCAGGAAGGAAAAAACTTCTTATTCCGAGCTGAATTGATAGTGAAATGAAATGGCTGACTACCATTCGAGTTCCAGTTACCTACATTCAAACCTCGTTATAACACAGTTGCATTTTACACGAAATCAGGTTTGTTATATCCCAAAATTTGTTACAAAGATAATATCTAGTATAAAACTATTTTTCATTTACTTTGTTATAACAGATAATTCATTACATCGAGGTATGAGTGTAGTATACACTGTGAACACCACAAACACTGCTAAGCCATGTACCGATCATAGCCAGATTGTTGATAAGTAATCTGTGTACTATATGAAAGTTTGGTGATGCAGATATTAAAACAATTAGTGAGTGAATGTGATATTTATGACCAATGGTATTCATGTACCACTTGTCGGCCCCGCATACACTGAGCCAAGTTTCGTTCTAGTCTGTCAAAGCAATCCCAGGACCTCTAGTTTTGATACTACAGACCATAATCTGCCGGCCACTTCTTTGCAAGTGCAGCCGAAGGTTAATTCTATAAATTCCTAATTGAAGCGTACATCAAACCTCCAGCCAATTTTAGCATGTAACGAACTTTGCAAGGGACACAACTTAATTAGGATGAGATGAACCTCTTAGTAAATCTCACACCTGCCTGTTCAAAGACAAATGCTCCTTTTCCAGAAACTTTCTACGCCGACCATTCTCTCTTGTTTCGCAACACATCGTTATTTTAAATGAAACCTTTCAAGAAGTTTTTTTTTCCAGACCTCTGTTTAGATACCCAATGACAGTGACTAAACTTGACCGCCGCTGCTTCCCAACCGCTAAAATGTTTCCAGAATTGGCTGTAAACTTTTATGCAGAGCCAGAACTGCATCCGGCACTTAAAACTTTCGTAGACACCAGTCACGAGTGGCACGCTCTTTTCAAAGCGTGTGCGAGGTTGGTTTAATCAGTGGCATAGTCTGGCAGAGTAAGTGCTGCAACAAAGTGAGGGTTTCCAAAGAAGCACCCTTGTATCGTACAATAGAAAACTTGCACCGTCACATAAACGTCGCATGCGACAAGCTTCATGCGTCGAGTACATGAAACGGCAGCGATAGCACCAAGCACCTTATCATATATCTGCACTTGACTGCAAAAAAACAATGTGCAACAGAAGTCGCTGGAGCAGCACACGAGGATTTCTAGAGTTTTTTTACCCAAATCGACAGCAGGAACTTTTACACAAATCGAGAGCAGGAACTCCGGTAACCGCATCTACAACAGCTGCCATCAGAGCAATGAACGTACAGTACGATGCATTTCCCACAAAGTTTGCAAGAAATATGCAAAAAATTAGCACATACGTATTTAAGCAAGGTAAGATGACTTGGAATATAGAAAGAAAAGGAGCACAAACAAACAGTCAAAGGGAAACCTGCAGGCAAAAGTCTGAAGACTGGACAAATTAGCGCAAATTGCGGTCCAGGTTAAAAGGGAAAGGAAACACGTGATTGCTGAACACGTGAAAATTTTCGCTTCCGGCAAATGTAATATCACCCGACTTTGCAGTATGACCTGCGGTTGGCAGGATGATCCTTACACGATTTGTTAGTTGCCATCAAACTACCCCCTTCTAACTACCAAGTGCACCTGGCATAACTGCAACACCAAAGAGCTGTGCCTCAGTGTTCTGGTTGCTAGAAGACTGCACTGTACAATCCATTAATCCAATGGCAGCGAACCAGTGGTTCCCCACCTTTCTTGCGACAAGTTCTATGCTTCGATGAAAACATCAGATGAGAACACACTTCGTAACAGCCTTGCATGACGACCTTAGGAACGAGGCAACGATTTCTACTAATTATACGAATTACACTTTTGTGAAAACAAATACCAATCGTGTTTAACATCCTGGCGAAATTTCCTCTGTTTCAAGCCCCCTTTCCCCCCCACCCCCGATTTGCCATATATAGCAACCGAAATGCAGTAAACGTACAAAGTAAAATGTGGAAAACAATGTGATGTGGCGTGATAGTAGTCGGTGGTGAAAATGCTTGTAAAGAGAGACGGGGGGCGTCACGGCTTCTGCGCTTGATGCAGAGCAACAATGGGCACAATTACCATCTCTGTCATCATTGGATCGGGCCCGTCCAACGGGAAGATTTTCGGCGAAGGAGGAGCGCTTCGAGAAAAGATGCCGGACCTACCTCTGGCGCATACGGAGGGCCATTCCCCGCAGCTCCTCGGCCCGATCCTGGTGGGTGTGGTGAGGAAAGAAAAGAAAAAAAGAGAAAAAAAAAACGTGAGCCGTACTACACGCAAACGTGGACGACCGACGAAGCTGCACGGTACAAAAAGCTTGCCAGCCACTTAACGTGCTAGGGGGGATTCCTCACAGCCACTGAAAGCCACGTAGTGAAGGAGAAGGCGATGCGAGGGCAGCCGAAATAGCTGCACCTTTGTTGCTGCGACATTTACTTGGTGCAAGACAGACGCAGGGACGAAAGAGCAGTAGCTGCGGCAGTAATCAACACCAGGAACCAACACTTGTTCTTGGCATTAGCCAAAGGCCAACAGCCAAGAACAAGTGTTTCTCTGCAGCGTGGTTTGAGCCATGTGACTCTTCTTTTGTTAAGACTGGCCAGACACGCCTTGCATCACATACATAGTTGCTTTCCTACACCCTCCCCGCCACACAATTGGCAAGGGGAATTTTCGCATGCTGCTCCTTAGCAGACTTCACAGAAGTGACGGGTGCTGCGGTCTTTCACGCTGCAACGCGGCAGAACAATCCTCGGCCAGTTGCAACTTTGGTGGCCCCCAAGGTCAAGCTGCACGTTCCGACACATCAGCAATGCGACTGCTGACGGCAGACACCATCAGACCAGACACCAGGTGCAATTAACAATGACGAATTTATCAGGATGGCACAATTAATTCAATTCGGCACACTTTGTTGGTACAGCTGGCAAAGGAGTGGTAGTATCATCAATAAAAGAAAAAAGGTGCCCGAAAGCACGCTTACCCAGCGTTCCTGCTGAATTTTGTCCATCTTTTCACGCTCAGCCCGCTTGTCGGCCTTGTCTGCAGGACGAAGAAGTTGAAGCAAGGAAGAGAACCGGTAAGAAGTGCGTCATGAAATCTGTCGCAAGGTGTGAGACAAATAGTCTCCCGAGCTGCGCACTGAAGTTCTACCGTGACACAGCTACGAGGTATCCCTGCTGTGGCTAGGAAAGCTCGTGCTGTGTTCAGTTCTTTCTGACATCACGAATTTTACTGTACGCAGATGCAAAACCATGCAGTTCCTGTAATTCATGCACTATGAGTGGTACATGACAATAATTACACCGCAAGTAGCAGACTGGAAAAAAAAGAGACCATGAAACAAATGGCAGGTTTCAGGATGCAATGAAGAGTTGCCTATAAAATAATGTCTAATTCATTTACACTCAAGCCTCGCCATAACAAAGTTGCATCTCACACGAAAACGTGCTCATTATATCCCAAAATTTGTTATAAAGGTATATATAAACACTGTATGCATTGCAAGACTACTCTTCATTTACTATGTTATAACCAATATTGCGTTATATTTGGGTTCGTTATATTGAGGTTTTATCGTATTAGACTGCTACTTAACTGTTCGATTTCACAATTAAAAAAGCCACTTGTGATGACAAAATGCAACTAGAGACAAAACACTTGTTTTAAGCATTCAATGTTTTTAGCAACCTTTCCTACGCAGTATTGTTACCTGGGACGCACCACAAGATTTGCTTGATGAGTTACGGGACTAAATGGCCGATTACTGCAGAGGTTCAAGAAAATGACACCGATCACTCACACTGCTTGTTCAGGGCAGCCTGCATCTTCCGCTTGAGCTTCTCCCTCAACGTGAGACCGCCCGTTCCACCTCCAGCTGCCGCGCAAGCACCACCTGCTGGTGTCTAGAAACAAAGGTGGGGGGGGGGGGGGGGGTGAGGCACCGACAAGGTTTATTCACACAGGAGCCACCACTGAAACCACACACCACACACTCATTAACAACGCCATCAAAAGTGCCAAATGAGCCACAAGCTTGAGAATACAAATGACAAAAAGCACCTGGAAACGCAATCTTGGTTCCACCAAATGAGTAGTGGCCATTTTCCCAACTTGGCTAGGGCTATGACTTTTTGTTCCACGTAAGACTATATCTTCCAGCTAGCTATGCAACCTTGCACCTTGAGATGTAAAAGGGTCGAATTGGGGAGGATAACAGCAGCTCACTACTTCATAGACATCCAGTCTACACTGCTTTTATCCCATTCCAGAACTTGCTTACTACAATAGATGTGGTATGGTGTGTCGTCGTATGTAGTCCACTGTAGTACAATTTCATCGCTTACAAGATAAACGCTTGGGCTCAGATCCATTGTCTAGATTCCACGAAGTGATGCTTACAACAGTACGAAGCATCACCACCCAGCATCACAATATCAACCTCAACACGTTACAAATATGCACTCGCGCGAGAATCCTCATGACCACTGTCTACGACATGAATGCTGGAAGCCCAGAGTGCCAGAAGAAAGAGGATGATAAGAACTAACACAAGGTAGTAGCCACTTTTGTGGTCAGCAGATCTCGCACAATGTAAGGGGCCCATCGAGAACAAAAAGACACCGTAATAACCACTGCTATTACAAGCAGCGGAAGTTTGCAAGGAACTGCGACGATGGAACTGAAGAGGACAGCATGATAGCGCACAGCGCAGTTTGGTGACGAAAAGCCTGAACGGGACTCAACACTGCCATGAACAGTCCTCTAGTGATGTTTGGTGAGATTCAAAGTCCCTCTAACGTTCCAGCTACTGCCCCCACAAACGTCACCACACACACATCTCGCTATCCTTAAAACGAAGAACGACGTGGTTGACAGCTTGTCGGTTGCTTGATGTGAACATAATTTTAGCCTACGATTCATGCATAATGTTACATTGACGCACAGTGTTATGCTACAGCTGGCTACAACATAATGAGAAAAGTCCTGCCCACTGCTATCGTGCCCATACCATGCTCCACCAAATAGCGATCACACATTTTTGTGACATCAAGAATTTCTCCGGTGTTATTCAGATTGACTCACGATAATTCAAACTCTGATAATTCATACTTTTCGGTTAATTCAAACAATTCCAATTTTGGTTGGATCTCTATTCTTTCAATGTATTTAAAAGCCTCTTAATTCAGACTCCATCATTCAGTTAGTTCATACTTTTTGCAGGTCTATACCAGAAAATATCAGCTGCTCTCCCACCACTACATTAAAAAAATTGAGCGCTTATGTAATCATAACAATCTAAAAATGAAAAATAAGCATGTGAGACCTGAAAGGAAAAAGGCTTTGCAAGTAAACAAATGTTTTAAACGAAACGTACGCATGGTAAACTGTGATGCTCCTCGGCTGGTATAGAGAGCTTTGTGCTGAGGGCACATACCTACAGCTATGAAGCAGTTGGCAATTCATGATTTATTTAAAAGGTCTGATAAGCAGTAAATGGCCAATAAACTTGTGGACGTTACACCTCTGCTTTCGGTTCACAGCATGCGTTTAGTGCTTAAAAACACTTTACAAAAAATTTTTATATGTGATAAAATCAATGCCTCATAATAATGTGCGGTGTCACCTCACCCTGAGTCATCTCTCTGAAAACTTCTGATAATTCAAACTTCTTGATATTGCAAACAAAATTCAGAGGTCCCTTCGAGTTTGAATTAACCAGAGTCGACTATAGTTAACTTTCCCCAGAGGCACGCATTGGTATTGCTTGTTCTAGTTCGAAAACTTGAATCTAATGGTAAATTTGCTCTTAGGTGACGGCATCGCTGTTCAACCAAGAGGAACGTTTTGGGGGATAACAAAAAACCTTTAAATCTAATTAATTACATTAGTAGAAACAAAGTACTGATTCAAGTGGCAATGAGCTAACACAACTGCCCTTCACAGGTGAAGGGCATGCACACGGCATTTTTGAGAAAGAAGCTCGCGTTTTGTTTAGGTTGTAATCAAATGCAATGCTACTCATGCATAATGATGAGCGTAATGTTACACTCCAGTTCTTCAATGTGTTTCTCGCTTCTGAGACACAGTACGAAGTTCCCGCCAGTAGCAGTACAGTACTGTCATTCTCGCTTCTACCTATAATTGGATGTGTCCCTGCTTGAAGTCTCAATCGAAAAATCTCTTTTTCTTCGTCAATCTTCTTGAGCTGAACAAGGAAATTTCCACAACAGCCAAGACGCAAGTTCGGAGACACCCACACACGCACAACATCCAATTTCTGGATTACCATGAGACCCCTCCCGTGGTAATAAAACTGACCAAATGACCACCTGCGGCACTTATAGCCTGCAAAGTTCGGTAGATATCCCAGAGCAAAGTAAGAAGGGAAAGAAAAAGAAACGCTGAGATGTGGCGAATGCGGCACCCCCACCCTTGTCTTCCACAGAAGCAGAAATTTTTTCACACTTGGCGGCAGTCCCACATGAACACCAGCACGTTAAACATGAACATCAGCAAGGTAGCGGTGAGAAAAACAAAAATTGGGACACAAATTTCCGGCACTTGATGTTAGTTTCCTTATTTTAGCGCAGTTAAAGCTTCACGAACGTCATTTGAGGGTTTTCACAAAGTCCACAAAAACAAATCTTTTTTGTTTGTTTGTTTTGGACTGGCTGTGGAGGCATGGGTAAAGGGGAAAGGGGTGTGTAGCTTTCAAGTAGAAGAGGAAGTGAGACCAAGAGCTTACTGACTTTGGAGGCGGGACCTGGTTTACCCACAGAGACGTTGGGTCTGCAAGAGAGGGCAGAGACGGTGATAACAATTACAAAAAATTTACAGCATTTTGACACGTCACCTCGAAGTAAATTAACTTATACCCCAAGCACTGTGTACCTGAACAATGACGGGAAGTGGTAAGGCATTGCAGAGCTTAAAAAAGGCCTTGCAGCATATTTCCAAGTTACCGTCGAATGACCTTAGTGTGATGCCTCATGAACCTCCTGTTGCAGCACGTACAGCAAACTCTCTACCACAAATGGGACCTGAAGCAATCAGGACAATGTTCCGTTTTTGTTTTAAAGAACGTGTGACCAAAGGTGACAAACATGTGTTCCCAGCTTATTTATTTATTTATTTATTTACAGAATACTGAAGGCTCAAATCAGAGCACATGCAGGAGTGGAAACAAGCACTTTTACGAAAAAAAAAAAATCAGAATCAATATGTAGTCAATGCGCACAATGTACACACGAAATTAATACTCTCATACAAACAAGTACACATACCATTTTATATTCAACAGCATTTCTGCCACATAAATCAGTAACTACCAACAAGTCCACCCATCCATTCTCCTGCTACGTTCATCAGGAGTTCCGTTTACTGAGAGATGAACACGGGTGTAGATTTTTTTAAGTATGAAACCAATCACAATAGAACAAGTTGCTCCATTCAGTCATGTCCTACACATTTTTTTGTTTACCCAGACTGTACACAAATTTAAATCCACAGAGAAAAAGTAAGGTCACTGAGAAAGTTACACCATCTCTCGCAAAAAGGGAACCATGCGTAGATGCGAAGCAGCGGCCGCCGACGCCAACACCGACGGTGACGCTGGCGCTCATCCCTGCCTTACGCAGGACAGAAACCTGGGGAGGTGGGAGGCATGCAATGATAGACCCTGTTTCCTACTCGAACATGCCAATCGCCGCAAATGCTCAATGAAAGACAGAAGACTCCTATGGGACACAGAGCCCCGCGGCGCGCTTTTAGTGAACGCGCATGCTGCACATTTTCATTGTTCGACTTTGCTATTGTTAAACTTTGAGCTGTATGGAAAAAATGACCCCACACATGTGCCCAAAGGCAGCAAAAGATCTACTTTCACACGTTTCAAGTCATCATGGTACTGCCCCATCATCCCCAATCGTTACTTTCAACCATGGCTGTCAAAACTGCCTGCCTTGCATAGTGATAAAGCCACCTCGTATGCTTTGCCGTGAAGCCATCTTGCACACCGAAAATTGAGCTTAAGGGGAGAAGCGCGCCTTTGAGACCGAAAATCGCTAAAGAATACGAATTTTAGAAAATGCTATACGTATTTGGATTCTCCCACTATCGCTGCATAATCTCGCCAATTTTCCTGCGTCCTAGGTTGGTAATTTAGCGATGAGAGTAGTTTATGCGAGGTTAGTGAGCTGAATTTTTGGTGATGGACGTGTGAAAAACGGGCTCTTTCAGTGCCGCGGTGTTGCCGTTCTACGCTTGCTACAGTAGTCGTCGCATTCGAAAAAGCTGCCCTTTTTCTTTCATATCCCGTCGCGCTTGTCTTTGTCCACTCAATTTGTACTCCGTGAATCCGCGTAAAAAAAAAAGCCCCATCACGTGAGCCTATTGGTTTGGTGAGCACATGTGACTAAATCGCGCCTTCCGATTCGCCGGACCTCGCAAGCTGTTTGCTGCGTGCGGCAGCGGAGCGCACGCAAGCGGCGAGTGTATGTCACTTTGTACTCGCCGGCTTCCTGAACTCGCGTTTGTGTAGAATTCCTTGAATATACAGAGCTTTGTTTTTTTGCCATTTTCTCAGTTTCAGTTTTTTGGCCACCTTTCATTCTTCTGACAAGCGCTTCTCAGCTTTAGTACACTGGAATTTGATAATTTTTGTCTTGCTGAGAAGCTAAATGCCTAGTGAGTGCACGAAAGTGCCATATGCAACTATAGGACACCATTAATTTTTACAAAAAATCAAATCCAAAAATTATCGTTCTTTGATGATGGAAGGATGAACTTCTAAGCTTCATAACTTTTGTTGTAGGAAAGCTAGAGCCATGAAACTTGCTTTTTGCACTTTTTGCTAAGTGTAGAATGCAGTGACATTTAATTCAGCAAGATCTGTACAGCCTATTTTCTGAAAAAGTGACCAAAAGAGCTTTTCATTAATGACTAATTAAAAACGAAACGGTAAAACGTACATAAAAACTGAGTTCATACTTGACATCTGCACATCTAAATACACCATCTCTTAAAATTTCATCACCCTAGCTTAAATATTAGGATGCCTGATGGCTAAGTGCCTCTTCCCCCCTTAATAAGAACAAAGTGAAAGAGGTGTCAGCAGTGGTGATGGGTGCAAAAAATCGAAGTGTCATTTTTTCTGTAGACACGATTTGCCAGGACGTAGACACATACAGCCTTGCAGTAAAAAATACTCATTAGACACTTGGACATAGATATAAAAAGTTTTATGTTTACTATACCATATGCCCATCGACCTGGCTGGGACAATTGTGGCTGAAACATCAGCACAATATCGTTATAGAACCAAGTGCAGTTGCTGCAAGTAAACTTGACATAAAACTTTGAAAACGGAGTTAACGCGGCAAAGAAATGTTTTGATCTTGTTAATCCTTGTTGACTTATATTCCATAATACACGAAAATGCTTCTTTTTTTTCCAACTGAGATAGCTTTGGAAAAAAATAAAATTAGCTTTTACAGCCCAATGCAAAATGGCTCAATGCCATGCAGAACAAGGTAGATAATGAAGATTTATCTGCAAAGAGATCCTTCTTTTTTTTTTTTGGTTGATGATGACAAGTTCACCTAAACAATAATGAATGAACAACGAAAGTGCATAGCGTTGGATATTTATAAACCAATGTTGAAATGACAGCATGCAAAATGGACTCTAGAATGAAACAATATTATTCTATGACTGAAAGATTGCTCGTAAATTCATTAGAACAGCATGCATAGGATGAGGTTTCAACAATATTTACATTTATAGCACCAAAATCAATGTGGTTTGATAGATATCAATTTTCCTCGCAATTCAAGCACAATGGCTTAATAAGACATCTAAGAACATGTGTTAAGTTTCATACAGGCTGTGGAACTCCTCAAAAACCTCATGTACACAAATCGAGACATCCTAATCAATACAATTTCCAACATCTGCGAAAAGCCGCACCACCTTTAGGTAGCAAAATATGTTAATGAATGGCATTTTCGCACGTTCTGGTGTTCGATTCCGCAAGCAAAGCCACATTGAATAAGTTAGCAGTGTGCTTGCCTCTGCGCCTTACATTTTACAGACTATACTCGGGCCACAGAGAAAAATTTCATTATAAGCAAGTAGCATGTTACACAAAAATAGGTTCACTATATCTGAAAATGCGTTATAAAGGTATATATTCCTAACACTTTATCAATTGCAAGACCATTCTTCATTCACTTTGTTACAATCAATATTTTGTTTTATGTAACTGGGTTTTTTATATCGAGGCATGAGTGTACCTGGCCTTTTTTGAGAGTTTCCTATTCTTGTCACAACGACTTGTACGATGTCAGTGAAGACTGCAATCATCGTAACAATGCAGTGCATTTTCAATCACTTTCTCGAACCTCCAGTTTGCAGTCTTCCAGAAGTCCAGGGATTCGTGCAAGTTGCAGAATGAGAGCTTCGCAGCTCGTACGAATTAAGAACTCCAATGCGCTTTCCGGCATCATTTCATTCTCGCTGCAACCTTCCTCAGTCGTGAATCCCCACTATACAGTGAAATATCGTTCGAACGAACCCCAGGTTAATGAACTTTTCAGATTAACAAACTAATTAAAAAATCTCATGCGAATGCTAATAGTTTCAATGTAAAATTATTTCACTACTACGTACTTCAGAATACAGAACTTTTCAGAACGAGCGTTAATTTAGTTCAGCATCATATTAACAACGCCTCCGTACTACGAACTTACGTTCTGAAATCCGTCGCGACCACCGGAGTGGTACGCAAGCAGACGACAAAGCGAACTGACGCCTTGCTTCTCTGAAGACGCGCCACGGTGTGTGTAGAGGGGGAAAAAAAAAGGGAGACTTTCTTTTCTTTCTTTTTGTTGAAACGCCGACACTGCAGATGTACAAGCGAGCGCAGAGGCGAGGGCAACACGGGAGGGCAAGGTCAGCAAGGCAGAGTGTGAGTGACGGACCAGAAAGCATGGGCGCGGAAAACCTGAGACAGCGACAGAGCAGAAAACAAAACGCAAGCAATTTTCTTTCTTAGCACTTTTTTTTTTTCTTTGAAAGAAGCCATAACAGCCGTGACGCTTCTGGTTTTTCTTTGGAGGCCTTGTTTTTCAGTCAAGTTCATTTCTTTTCGGTGATTATTTATCGCGTCCACATAAGTCGGCGTTCGTGCTACGGTGATACAGTAAAAGCTCGTTAATTCGGATTTCACGGGACTGGAAAAACTGTCCGAATTAACCGAATGCCAAATTAACGAATGAACAGGAAAAACAACATTTAAAATCAAGCTGCAGAAGCATACCTATATTTGTTGAAGTATATTGTAATTGTCGTCTGCGTTTTCGCGCAGATTCCGGCTGACATCACAATTTTTCTTAACTGTTCCAAATGGCCAACAGCACGCAAGCTGTCGGGAGTGTTCAGGCAAGCGTCCTCTAATATTAACAGCGCCTCTGAGACTTCCCGTGAGGTGCGATGAGGTCCCGGTTGTATCTCTTTGCATGATTCTTCGTTGGAATCGTGGTCTTCATGGGCGCCCGTGACATCATTAATAATCTCTTGATCGGTCAGGAGACCACTCGTGGCAACACCATGATCAATCGCGATGTAGTCCTGAAAGGTCACATCTGTGGGAAGGACAGCATCGAAAGTCGGGCAGTCACCGCCGGTGAACTCGGCTGGCATCTCCTCGATGCCATCGTCGGTGAACTCGGCTGGCATCTCCTCGATGCCATCGTCAGCTACTGCTGCATGCTCGGGCCTCACGAAACCGCTGTGCTGAAAACAGTTGGCGATGACTTGCGGCGAAGTGTTTTTGCACACGTGGCCAATGATGTGCACTGCGCCGAGTAAGTCCACTTGATACAACTTTCCAGCTTCTGAGCATATGATCATTCGCTCTAGCATGTGCTTGCGGTACTTCGACTTCACGTAGTGAATGATACCCTGGTCCATCAGCTGAAGAGCAGACAGTGTGTTGGGAGGCAAAAAAAATACTTTGATGCTCTTCAGTTCAACTGCACAGTTATGGGCACTGCAGTTGTCAACAACCATAATTATCTTGCGGTCCTTCGACGTGAAGTGCCGGTCCAACTGCTGCAGCCAGCCGCGAAAAATGTCCAATGTCATCCATGCCTTCCTGTTCGCTGTGTACTCGACAGGAAGGCTTTTGACGTTCTTAAAACAACGTGGCTTAAGCGCCTTCCCGACGACAAGTAGTGGCAAGCGCTCCGTGCCAGTCATATTGGCGGCAAGAAGCACAGTTATCCTTTGCTTGCACTTCTTGCCACCAATGCACGCGTCCCCTATGAAAGTCACCGTCTTGTTGGGCAGAGCTCTGAAAAATAGAGCAGTTTCATCTGCATTGAACACGTCACATGGTTCATATGTGGCGATGTGCTCCAGCAGCTTCACATTTCTCCACTCGGTGGTCACGCTTTCGTCAACAGTGGCCTTTTCGCCGCGCACACTCCTGAAGACAAGTTCATGTCTTTCTCGAAACCTCGCAAACCACCCTTCTGACACTTTGAACGATTCAATGTTCATCATTGCAGCGTACGTCTCACCTTGCGCCATGATGAGAGGTCCGCTCAAAGGCAGATGCGCGTTGCGACAGTCAGTAATCCACCGGACCAAAGCTTCTTCGAGCTGGGGATGAGCTGCGGTTCGCAACCACTTTCTAGAGGCATGAAACTTCTCGCTTTCGAAGGCTTGTCGAATCTGTTGTTCATTTTTTACGTACGTTCCCAACGTGCTCCGCTTCACGTTGTACTTGGTCATAACCTGCTGTCGCGATTCACCATTCTTCAGTGCTTCCAAAATTTCCACTTTAGTCGCCAAGTTCTTCGCGTCGTAGTTCTGCCGCCTTTTCGGCGTTGCCATCACTGTAGCGCACGATGGTGGTGGCATGCAAATACGGTCACAATGGAAGAAAAAGACAACTCCGCAAGCAGAGATGGTTCCGACACGACAACACAAGGGAAAATGGCGTCGGAGGTGCTGAGTGGGGAAGAAAGAAGACGACGTTCGGTGACGCTGTGATACCCCCCACAAGTTGATGATGATGGCGATGCCACTCAGGTTTCGGTTTCACTCCAGTGGTGCCAGCGCTGCTTTATCACACTTTTGTGTAGCAGCAGCCGTCAGCATTTGTCCGAATTAAGCGGTGCGGAGCCGAATTCCGACGAAATAACGAAGGTTTGGTCCCATAGATTAACATGCACTTTGCCCGGGACCAATAGAGCCGTCCGAATTATCCGAATTTCCGAATTAACGGGTGTCGAATTAACGAGCTTTTACTGTACTACAAATAAGTTCATCTCTGCTTGCGACGAAGAAGCGGAAGCATTTTTAGCTAAGCGAGACAATGGATATTCTTCGACAAATGGAAGGCAAAAAGCAGGTTGTTGTGACCAAAGAACCGAATCACAGCACAGGAATGTGGATGAGCTTGAGGCCTTCGCGCTGCAAAGTTTGTGCTGCTCGCGTTAAAAAAAAAAAAAAAAAAGACTTCTTCAAATAAATGTGCATTTTTTGGTGTTTACTTGTGCATTTGTTTTTTTTTTTTTTTCTCGTGAAAAACAGGAGTTCAAGGACCCACCGTTGTAAAGGTAAGTTGTTTTGATCGGTGAAAAATAAGTATTTATGGTTAATTTTCGAGCTTTCACTATAACGACCTTTCAAAATAAACAAATTTCCGCGTCCCCTGAAGTTCGTTATACCGAGATTTCACTGTACTCCACTACCAACCTAAGAAGAAAACATCACTCAGCCAACTGAGATTACAGTCCAACCCCCAGAGAATCAACACAAATGCCCCATCCAACACTGCTTACTCATTTTCATGATGTCAGCCACTCTTCTAGTGTTTCACTAGTAATGACTTTTCCATAGACACTTGTTTGTGTTGCTGGTATTTGGCCAGAAACATTTCGTTGTTAAATTTACTTGGGGATTTTGATATTGCCGCTTAGCCAAACGTAATGTTTTACGCTCAAACCTTATTATACCAAGGTTGCATCTTGCATAAAAATAAGTGCGTTATATCCGAAAACTCCTTTTAAGGGGGGACACTGTACTTGAGATGAAATGCCAGATATTTTCATGTGTTTATAAAGAAAATTCACAGTGTGATTAAGTTATTGATGCTGATTTCAAAAATGTAGTTACTGTTCCTCTAAACCAATTAGTTTTAGATATCCTAAAATTAAATACCTATTGTTTGCCAGTATAATGACACAAGAATTTTGTATTGTAGAGCTACTATTGGCACATGCCTGTGTACTAATGAACATAAACTACACAACAGTAAAAGTGCTTTTTTGATTTGATAATTTTAGCAAGGTTTGTCGCACCTCGCATTTCAGTGTTGCAGACACACTCACTTTATGCTCCAATATCTGGCAAAAATAAATTTTTTTGAAGATCTCTTTAAAAAATTCAAGCCTACCATTGTGTTACCTAAAGATACAGCTACATGTAACAACGAAAATGACAGTCCTAGGTGCTCTAGAGGCAGAGTTATCTTTAAGACAAGTTTGCCACTGCAGAAAAATTTGAATCCCGAGAAATCATGCAAAAACACAAGTCCATTTTGGGCAGACAGTAGCATGGAAAAGCTATTTATTTACAATGATTGGCAAATTCAGCTTTCCCCGTAGGCACCAGGCATGTATAGTCCTTCTGTTATGCGTCACCTAAATGGCGATTTCTCAATGCCCGCTGCATGTTTTCCACTTAGGCACACTTGCAAGCTGATGTGGTCGCCGTGTGCTCGTCTGCCGACTAGGCCGCTCATCAGTTCGGTGACGCCTATGTGTGACGAATGTGCGCGCGTAATCCGCGATCCGTCGTATAATAAAGCGGTTATCCGGCATGTCCAGATTGAGTTGTTGACGTCGCAAACCGAACTCGTGCACTCACTCATCAATTTCAAGGCTCCAAAAGCAGCGAGGTGTTAGTTTCCTTTTCACGTAAGGTTGTCTCATTTTCGAGTGGAGGCCGCGACGCAATATATTCGTTGCGGACGCGTCGTTACAAGCACTGTACCTGTTGGCAGTAGCATCCATTGCGCGGGCGGCGAGCACGTTCACCGTAAACGGATGAATTTTCTGTTTGCTGACTGGCGGCGAACTCCACTCTGACGACCCATCACGCAGACGGGGGGGGGGGGGGGGGGGGGGGGTACACAAGGCATCGGCGCGTTTAGTGGTAAGACTGCGCTTCCGTTCCATCGTTCCATCGTTGCAAAGCTATGTCTCGTAGCTTCACTTCTGCTTTTTTATTTGCCCTCCTGTAGCTGTCGAGGCTCCAAAACACTGCTGCTTTCAGCGACGTTGTCGACAACCGACGAGTTCGTACGTTAGTTAGGTCCACACCGGCGATTCGGCGACCGTCGTTGAACGCCGCAAGTTTGCTATCCTTCCTGTCTTGAGTGATAGCAGGGCTCTTCATGAGCTTCACAGCGAACGAGCGATCGCCACGCCCCGTTCGCAAATTAGTATGGTGAGGAACTTCTTTACTGCAGCAGGCAGTCGACAGCACCATGACAAAATGGCGCATGTTCGTGCGTGTCGTGATGAAGAAGCAGACGCTGGAAACGCCACTTGGCCATTCAAGTGCCTAGGTTTTGTCACGTGCCCCAAGCAACCAATAGAATCGCGCGGTGGTGCTTCTCGATGACGTGTTTTTACTGAAAAACCAATGAGCAGGGCGAGCCACTGGTGGCGGGCAATTGAAGATGAACGACCCTTCCAAACGAGACCAAGATGACCACGATAGCTCGTGTGTAACGGCAACGGTTCGGCGTCGAAAAAGCGTGACTTTAGCGTATTATTTATGCTCAGATTCATCTTACAAGGGTGTTATAAATTGATTTTGTGCCAGAAATAATGACGCGAGAAGCTAAAAACTTCTCAGATAATGCAAAAATAGTTGCAGATTCCGAAAATGGCAACTTCAAAAAGTCTGTTTTTTCGCGATTTTCGGTCCTTTAAGACCCGTGTCCCTCGTTAAATGTATATTCCTAACATTATATCTATTGGAAGGCTATTTTTTCTATACAACATTATAACAGATGTTTAATTATATTTGGGATCGTTATATCAAGGTTTGAGGGCAGCTAGCAGCAACCAAGCTTGAACAGTTACTATGCCTAGTATTACACTAGCCAGAAAAAGTACTCGCAAATGGAGTGCAAAACCAGCTCGCACAAGCTTCTTTCACAGGTGAAAAGCAGACGCGCATGATTCTGTTGGCAGAGTATACATTTTGCTCTTCAGTTCGTATAACCGAGTTATAACTAGTAGCTGAAATTCGAGACTCCGCTGCCTGCTTTTGCTGTAGCTCGGCTAAGCGCTGCGGACGAAGCCAAAAAGCCAGCTCACCTCACCGCGTCTGCCGACGGCCAGTTGCGACGAGTGCCGTTGCTGGCACCCGACGCTCCTCCCTGCTGACCCCGGGACCCTTCACTGCTGCTGCTGCTGCTGCTGCTGCTACGCGACCGGTTCTTCTTCTTATCATCGTCGCTGCTGGTCAATGACTTGGACCGCGACCGTGACAGGCTGTGACGGTAGTAGGACTTCCGGGGTGGGCTGGGTAGCTTGCGTGGGGCTGGCAGTGGCGACGACTGCGACCGCGACCTCTGCTCCCGGTCCTGGCCCTTGGGCGACTTCGGACATGAGCTAGAACGTTTACGGCCACGACCCCAGTGCCTCGACCGCGACCTGAATTGTTGGCAACAATGTCAGTTTCGCTGGTCACTGTCCTGTCACGCTTGTAGAAACGCTCTCTGTATGAATGCTATAGACAGTAAAGTTCAAATTACCTGGTGGAGACTGGTTTAATAATCAAAACAGCGAAGGCCTACACAAACACTGCCCAGGATGTACACAAGGGATCTCACTGAATAGCATAACAGCTACACACAAAAATTATGATGTTACCAGACTTGTGAGAATATTGAAATGTTTAAAATATGCTAACAAATAGTCCAATATTCAAATTCGCTTCGAATCGAATTTAATTGTTGAAAATTACGAATTATTCGAAACTGACGCATAGATGCCAACTAGTCTGAGTAACACCCTGTAAAGGTGGTTACACTGCACTGGAGGTTTGCCAAGTGGTGAAAACATATATCCAAGAAAAATCCGCGCTGCTGTGAAGTTCCACTTCTAAGTGAAATAAAGATAATACACCTCACATAGATTCATTTATTCAAGTTTAAAAGACTGTTATACCGACATATGTTCAGGGTAAAGCAAATTTCTAAACACGACATTTTACAGTCTATCACTTGGATTATACCAAAGTCGGCTCCTGGAACTATTGAAATTGCTTCTACTTCCATTGATGTAAAAAAAAAAATGGCATTTTCCCCAGATATTCGTCAACATTAAAAAATATTGTTCAGATTAGTCATGCCATGACAAATATGCTCGTTTTTCTTTACGATATGCAATATAAACGCTACTGAAATTTGACTTGAAATTATTCGACCAAAATCACTATTTGCTTTAAACCTATAATTCCCTATCCGCATCAGCCTGACTGTCACCCTAAAGCCCTTGTTTTAACAATACTCTTTTTTTCTATAAAATTTCCTTTAAAATTCATTAATAAGTCACTGGCTAATACGAGGAAAGCGGGCTGTTTATTTTTCATACCTTGAGCGGCTACGTGACGAAGTCCGACGAACCCGGTGACGCGGCGAGCTCACTCGAGGCGACCGGGACCGCCGCCTGGAGCGTCGTCTGGGATGGTAGGATGCACGACCTCGGCTGCGGCTTCGACGCCGAACCCTGCCACCACCCGATGACCTAGAACGAAATAACCGGGATAACAAAAGCACAGGGGACTTATGATCAGTGGTAGTACTACTGTCAGATGTTCAAGTGGGACCACGTGAGTGAGCGCCGAATAGCCTCCAACCCGACCGCCCCACTATTTGCGGCGGCCACTATCGGAAACAAAGCGGAAAGGGCACTGCAGTGAAGTCAACCGTTGGCACTGATGCTTTGATGTGGTGCGATACTAAACAGCAACTAAACGGGCATCACTGAGCGCTCGAAACGATAACGCGGGTGGACGACATAGAGCGTGGCAGTGCACTGTCTGTAGCTTCATAGCTAGTACAGTCGAAACCCGCAATAACAAAATTCCGAGGGAACGAAATTCTCACCGCAACGAAATATTTTCAGAGCACCGGCAAACGCCCATAGCAGTCAATGCATTTCGTAACTCGCGACTACGAAAAATGTTGATACCACAGTACCTCAACGAAATTTTTTAAACACTAGTGCGCAAATCTATTCTCGCAACATTTACATTCGAAAACTGCTGAAATGAATTCATGCTACATTTAAATTGTGCAAAACTATCGCTAAGCACACTTGCAAAGCAGCCGCCATCATTGTTTACAAAAAAACGAAAAAAAGTGAGGCTCGCGACAATGATCATGATGGTGGCTTGCCGAAATACCTGCTCATTTTTGCGGACTACGTACGTAGCCAAAGCCACAATCTTCATGGAGTGTCGTTCGTCGGCTTGGCTCTGTGCTTGTCTTTGTGGGCTTTGCGCACACATGGTCACATGTGTGGAGCCATTTGTGGAGAGTTCGCGTGGTCGATTGGTGCAACGTGAACCGTGTGTTGCGATTTGCTTCATCAGATTTCGCTGCCAGCGAATATGCCACCCCCAACGAAAAAGCGGAAGTTCATCACGCTGGAAGATAAGGCTGTAATCATCAGCGAGGTGGAAAAGGGCAGAAAAAAAAAATTGACATCGCCGAAGAATTCGGCGTTCCTTGTAGCTCGTTGTCCACGATTCTCAAGAACAGGGCCTCCATTATTGGTGCACTTCAAAGCGGTGCGAGTGCAAGAAACAAAATCGTGACGGCTGCAGCGTTCCCGGACGTGGACAAGGCGGTGTTCGCGTGGTTTTGTGAACAACGTGCCAACAAGGTGCCTTTATCTGGCAAGATCCCACAACAGAAGGCGCTGGACTTCGCTTGTATGCTCACCCACGACAAGTTAAGGCGAGTCCCGGCTGGCTGAGCCCTTTCAAAGCTCGCCACAATATCGTTGCCAAAGTCATCTCCAGGGAGGCAGCAGCCGTCGTCTCGGCGACGTCGTTGTGGCTGCTGAACAACAAAGAACTGCTTGGCCAGTACAAGCCCTCGGACATATATAATGCCGATGAAACGGCACTGTTTTATGAAATGCTGCCATCCAAGAGCTTGGACTTTAAAGGCCAGAAGTGCCACGGTGGAAAGCACAGCAAGCGCCGCGTGACGATTTCATTGTGCGCCAACATGAATGGCACAGATAAACGGCCACTGCTCGTTATTGGCAGGAGCAAGAAGCCCCGCTGTTTCAAGGGGAATCGCAGGCTGCCAGTAAGCTAAACCGCGAACTTGAAGTCGTGGATGACACGTGCTATATTTAGCAGCTGGCTCCAGTCTTTCAATGCCGGCATGCGGAAGGCAAACAGGTCAGTCGGCCTTCTTCTCGACATCTGTAGCGCTCATCACGTCGACGTGCACCTCGGAAATGTGCGCCTCGTGTTTTTTCCACCAAACTGCACTTCGGTGCTGCAGCCTCTCAATCAGGGAGTTATTCGCAGCGTGAAGTGTGCTTACAGAGAGAGGCTGATTCAGCGTTTGCTGCTGAATATACATATGAAGCGCCCGATTGACATGGACTTGTTCATGGCGCTAGAGATGATCGCCGCCCAATGGATTGCGACGAGTTTAGCCATGAGAACGAATTGCTTCACACACGCCGGCCTTGTCACTCCGCAGGCATCATGCACTAATCCGGCAGAACCAGAAGAAGGTTCGCCTGTAGGCGCATTTAATGACGGTACTGGTAACAGCGCAGTGCCGCCATCACTGAACAGCGCATGGGGCGAATTTTGTGCCGTGGCAAACAAGATTCCCTATGACCTCAGCGTCCACGAGTTCGTTGGTGCAGACGAAGGCATCATCGTGCACGAAGAAGTGACTGATGAAGCCATCGTCAGTAGCGTGTGCGAGGTGGCCGATCCCGATGAGCAACGACCGGAGCAGCCAGAGAAAACAACAAGTCCGCAGGATGTGCTGATGTGCCTTCGACACAGTTTGTACGTTTTTCGGTGAGCACGACGACGACGTGGCGATGGACTATTTTTTACAGTGTGAGTCGAGAGGCTTGAAATTGCTGCATGGTAAGGCCCGCCAAAGTTAACTTACTGACTCTGGGAAATAAAATTTTTTTTTCTAAACTTCATGTCTTTTCTGCTGCATTCTCGCGCCAACGAAATTCCCGCAAGAGCAAAATTTTGTGCTTTCCCCGCCGATTTCGTTATTGCGGGTTTCAACTGTATATGAAGAAATGCGCTATTACAACTGCCTGTGTGCCACTCAAGATCGAGACACAGCAAAACAGAAAAATAAGTAGTAGTGCTGCTTTCTGCATGACATAATTGCTAGGCATTTTATTTTCAAGCTGTTATGTGTGTCATAAAACCAGAGATGCATGGTTGTAGTGACACCACTTCAAACAAAGGCTTCACCTTTTAACTTTATTTTGGACAGTGCCATCTGAGCATCAATCACATTTGAGTTTGAGGCTATTTACCGCATGCTCGCGTGCTTCCGCTTACAATTCTCGCGAGAGTACCACATCACACTCGATAAGCACACCAAGACAGGACAGCAATCAAACCTTCAAGTGTATCGATTGTGAGCCACTGCCAGCGTGCAGCTGGACACAAAAAATGACATGAAGAAGTGCCACCATATCCACGAAGTGAATGATGATGAGTGGGCGAAACTCCGGAGGTAAACCAGGGGAACCATGAATCCCGTACATTTTGCACACTCGATTTTATTACAATGCTACCCCTAGCATACATCGCCGCACTAAATCAAACGATTGCCTTCCACCAACACGCACGATATGTGACATCATTCCTATTTTATAACATCTCGAATCTTTCATCATCAACTACAAGTATCGCCGTCTAGTTTGTAACATCTTGCATCTTTTCATCATCAGCTACAAGTACAGCCATCTAGTGAACACTGCAAGAACTAAACAAGAGGTGGCTACATACAGGGGATGCACAGCCCCGCCTTAAGGAGCTTCACCCCTAAAAAAGTAAGGCGTAAGAAAATGCAGTATTATGACACACTGTATTCAGTTAGAAAAGATAAAAAGGAGGTTGTAAGAAACATCCCTCTTCAGCATGAACTGAGGTGCCTTGAACACATTCATGATTTCCTAAGTGTCGCCTAGGCAGATGCTACAGTTTTGTCATTTAAGCCCAACACAGAGGTTCAGTGGCACACATACAGAGTTGCCAAAACTGAGGTCAGACAGGCAGAGATTGACCACTCAACTTTGCATAATCCGAAGAAAAGCCATTTCAGTATCGAAATATTAAAATTTGGATTGACAGTAATTTGGTGACTTCTTATTGCGATCATGTCAACTGGTGAATTATTTTAATAACAGCCGAATAAAAAAGAACCTGCTATATCTGAGGAACGGGATAATAACCGTACAGACTACACAAAAATGCATGACAATTTCTACAGACGGCCATCACTATTTTCAAATCAAATTTGGGCATACGATAACCAAAATGCTCTCTTGAGTACAGCCTATAGTTCTTTACGCACATAAGGACTCAACTTCTAAGATGCTTTGTGATCCCTCTATATAATATGATTTCCACACTCACCTCGAACTTGAGGAACGCCTTCGGGACGACCTCCTCCCACGGCCGGAACCGTGAGACGAATTACCACGTCGACCTCTAGACCTGCGACAAGAGCCCATGTCATACACACCGAACTTGCAAAGCTACAGAGCCATCTGTCAAAAAGACACAAATAAGAAAGGACACGCAGGGCAAGAGTCCTGCGTGTCCTATCTCGGCTTTGGAAAACAATGATATAGCAATAGAGGGCATTATCACAAAGTAATTTCACAGCAATTACAATACTTTTTTTTTAATGTTTATACCACCCACATTAGCCATCTGTCATTGGTCAAAAGGCATAGCCAGATAGTTCTGACCAATGAGGAAATGGTATGGAAAGGTGCTAAAAAAAGACAGAATTGCAACAGACTCGTTCCATGAAAGTGCTATCAGAGAGTCAATGAAAACTGGGCCTTCCTAACCTCGAACGGTCCCGCGACCTTCGTTTGGAGGAGCTGCCGCTTCCTCGACTGCCGTCACTCCTGGAGGACACCGCGCCTGACCTGCTTCCAGACGAAACTGCGCCAATGGCACCGGACACTGAAGATCCGCCAGCTTTGGCATGGCCCTTCTTGGCGGCACCATCATCGTCGTCGGACCCGTCGCCGCCAAAACTTGTGATGAAGGTGATCTGGCCCATGTTCTGGGGGGATTTTGACCGCGACCGTGAACTTGACTGTCCTCTAAGGAGACAGAAAAGAAAAAGGAAAACATTGACATGGCAGTACAAACTGACCTAGTAAAGCCAGCTGTATACCTCTGCTACAAAACAATCACTCATTAAATATGCACAAAGGGGCACCGTCCCACTGGAAGATACAGTCAAACCACGCTACAACGAACGCCGCTTCAACGAAATTTCCGCTATAACGAAAAACTCACGGTTCCCCGTCAGCAGTCCATAAGAGTCAATGCATAGATATTGTCGCCACAACGAACACTTTTTCTTCTGCCGTCCCGCTTCAACGAAATTTCATGATGCAATTCCAGGCTCAGATATTTATTGCCATACAGTGAACCCAATCTTTTACATTTTGATGCATTTACAGAACCCGAAAATACGTCGATAAGGTCTAAAACATGCGTTGGCACCACCAGAAATCACCGCTGTTCAACAATCATGGGCGCCGCCATTGCTCGATAGCGATGGCAATAAGACTTCCCTGCTTTTGCCATTGGCTTGCTTCTAGCGGCAGGCGATCCGAAGCTGAAGCTCAGTTCATAATTTCCTTCACGCAGCTGCTGGGTGTAACCGCGGAACAATGCCTCGTTAGATACCAATGCTTATTTCATTCGCGCTTGGCCAGTGTGGTACCTAATCACAGCAGCTGTTCGTCAGCATTATCTACAAAATCAGCTAGCCGCGAGAGATGGATGATAAGATTGGCATACAATAACGCAAAAGTTACCGCTCCACGATACCCCTCCTCCCCCTCTCGGCGTTGTCGGATACACTGACGGCGAACAGCTGCTGGTGTTAACGTGTTAATGCAACTGCTTGGTTATGTTCACGAAAGCAGTTGTAGGTATTGTTCCAGCGTGCTTTCCACCATGGCCTCGCTATGCATGACTGAGAATCGCGCCATGACGCTGCTGGGAAAAAATGGGAAGCAGCGGACACTTTTTGAATTTTGAGAATAAACGTTCCTTTGTTTTACTGGCTCTGATCAGCTGTATTTTTTCGATTTCACTACAACGAAATATTTTTCGCACCCTATGAGTTTCGTTGTAGCGGGGTTCAACTGTAACATCAAATTGTCTCAAACCAACTTGACTAAATCGATTTCAATGCACGTGACTAAAACTTATACATGTAGGAAAGAACAACGCCAAAAGAACACCAATACACTAAAGTGGGGCAGTGTTTCAGCTGGAAACACTCAGCCTGAGCTGTTAGCGCTAGCACTGCGATTCTTGCGCCGGTTTTCACCGCCCACTTGCAGCCTCTATAAACCTCTTTCGCCAGTGCTACTAGGTGCCAATACACCCTGTCCCAAATGAAACTTGTTAGATTCGACGACAGTTTGAGGAGCAAGATGAAGTGACTTGCTCGATTTGACATACGAAATTTCAGCCCTGTTAGCCCCATTCCTTTGTCTGTCATCAAAAGCCTTACCTGAACAGCTTGTATGTCGGGCTGGCTCTGGCTGCGTAACTGCAAGAAAAACGAGGTAGACGTGCATCAGCAACAGATTTGCCCAAAGTGCGCTATTTGATTAGAAGGCAAATTGAATGCAAATTATTCAGGACAAAAAGAAAAGAGTACCACTGACCTTGGTGGACTGGTGACTTTACGGTTCTTGAGTTTCTTCTCGCGCAGCGCCCGCCTCTCTCGGCGCGACTTTCGCCCCTGCGACCATTACGACCAAGAGTCGAATTCAAGTTCATGTCCAACTTCAACTTCCTCTTAGCTCGTGGCGCGCATGCAAGGATGGGGACAATGTTCAACGGGTGCTGAACAATTTTTTTCACGTAATCATCGAAAGATTTCAGCGTCGGAGATCCAACGCTGAAACAATCTCAGACACTGAAATCTTTCGATGATTGCCTCACAGATTAATTTTTGCAAAAATTTCCCAAGTCTGTCAAAAACAAGACTACAGGTTTTCCCGCTCAGTTTAATCCAAGTGCCAGCTTAAGGGGGCAGACTGGTCTTAGACATTTTTTGTTTATTTCTTCAGTGATCTTGATAAAACTGCACATGGTTATGCAGTTTTTTGTGCTGATTTCAAATATTTAATTAGTTTTCCTGTCATTCACTTTGTTCCTGAGATAACTTAAGTTTGCCCCCTATTGTTTAAGGCCACCATAGAAGAAAAAGTGCCTAATTAAAAGTGATATTTAGGATATGCCAACATAGACTAATGACTATAGAGTGAAAGTATGGAAGAGGTTTTTGTTTTTGGCCTTTATTGGTTATTTTGCAGCAAAATGAACTATACATTTTCAAAAGCAGTTGGAATTGTGTTACAATACTGATAAGTAATTAATTAAAAAGGCATGTGCTCTAAATTCTGCTCCCATACTTGCATTCTACACACATACAGCTTTCCACTGCAAAGAGAATTATTGTTGTACCTGCCCAAGCTGCAGAGATATTGAGGCCTCAAAATTGAATAGTCACAAAATTACTTTTTTGAGAAAAATGGAAAAAACTGAAAACACAGTTTCTTTAAAAAGCAACAATCATGGTGTGCATGTTTTGCTATCCTCATGAAGGCGCTCATAAATTAGTAGGAGAGCTCTAGACAAAGGTGCTGGCAAATTATAAAGAAGCCTCAAAGTCGGTTCCCTATTTTTTTGCAGGTTCTCCATGTTAACAGCACCAAGAATCTGGACAGTTAAAATCACATTACAAAAAAATTACTGCTTCCTGGTGCGTGAAAATTTGCAGAGAGATCGAAAAATACTTGCAGAAACCAAATATGTCAATTTTAAACAATGAATTTTTTTGTCACATTTTGGTCCCAAAGAGCAGTCTGCCCCCTTAAATAATCCGTGCTGCCATGAAATAACCTGAGCGCCAAGCTATTTAATCCATGTGCCGAACAATTAACCCAATTGCCAACATATTTAATCCAAGCGCCAACTAAATTAGGCCGCGTGCCAGTGAATTTGATCCAAGTGCCACCAGGTTTAATCTAATTGCCAACGGCTTTAATTCAGGTGCCAGTCCGTTTAATCTATGAATGAAAAGCAGAATATGGGGGCACAGAAACGACAGTACAAGTGAAATGCAGTTCCTTCAATATACAAGATAATAGTCGCAAAGTAGAAAAAATCATTATTATTTGTATTCGCCTATAGTATTTGTGAAATAAAATTAGCTACAGGGCTTCAGCTGTGTTTGTACTTTGCTATGTACAAGCTTGTAGATGAGTGCTTGGCCCGGGTGGAGTCATTTTAATGGCAACAAAATAAAAAGCAGGAACATGTTGACGAATACATTGCCTTTGTCACTAAACCTCATAATTGGATTTGTATAGCATTACATGTAATGTCATCTTATGTGAAGGACAGACTATGGGTATCGGAGTGCCGAAATGCATACCAAGGTATGAAAAACCTGGCCATGGGCAGCGATGGGTCAAAAGCGGGTACATTCTCAAGAAACTAGGAGTAGGAGGCCCTCACAGGACAGAGCGAATTGGAGATAATATGAAGAGGTTTTCGTCCTGCAGTGCACATGAGATGAACACTTATGATCCTGATGTGCACAACGGAAGTCATATTTTACATTCATATTAGCTGTTATCTTTTTATTCAAACAAAACTATGTGTATCTGATGAAACACGCGTGTTTCAAGCAAACACGCTGTAGCAACACTAGCCTCGTCTGTTATACATGAAAACAGGAACATCTCCTTTGATGCTTTTATTAAAAAAAAAAAAAAACTTAATTCCACATTACCACAAATACATGTGGGCTTGGTGTTAAATGGTTATTTCTGATTTCAAGAACGGATAAATATAATCTGTCGGTCACTATCATTCTCACCGGGCTGAGCAGGCGACTGCGCACGCCTCAGCGAATAAGCAACCAAATGCTTTCTGCTGAGCAGACGATCGACATGAGTCTGCACATGCGATGGTGTTATGATGGGCCAGGATAATACAGTAGCTGTGAAGAACAGACTAACATAGACTTTAAGCAAATACATTTATTACCCGTAAATACAATTAATACGCACTGTGTTTTTGAACTTGTGGCTATGACACCAAACCGTTAGGGGAAAATAGCCCTGTACCTTCTTTCATAAGCGCAATCATTTATAGGCGAGCGAAAAGTTCTTCCTGTCACTCCATGTTAACATTATTACAGCATTTAGAGTGTATAAAGTGGCACGCTATACGTTGCTGGTGCACGATTAAACTGACTGGCACCTGAATTAAAGTTGTTGGCAATATGATCAAACATGATTAAACTTGCTGGCACACGGCTTAATCGAGTTGTCACTTGGATTAAATACGTTGGGGCTTCAATTAGTTCAATGGTGCGCGGAATATTTACGCTGGCACTTGGATTAAATTGAGCGGGAAAACCTGTAGTTACAAGGGTTTGTCTTGCACTTCAAGCACTTTCAATCTTCTCTTGTCTCGACAAGCACACTGGGAGCTACATGTGGCGAGATGCGCCGGTCAAAAGAAGTCAAGTCTGCGCATATCTTGAGCATGTGCGAGGAAATGCAATCACTCGCTCCCCCTGCGATTCCTGCGCGCGTGTGGCTCGTTGTGTAATGCTGGCACACTTAGGAGCTGACTATGCGTTGAGATGTGACGCCACCCCGTGTAGAAAAAGTGCATCTGGTGCAAACTTCATCTCTGAATCATGTCAGCTACTAGCTAATTGCATGCTATCTGCAGTTAGGCATTGAACAGCAGGTGCCGCAAGTTTTGAAGCAGATGAACACAGACTTTACTAGAAAGAGGGGGTGCCTGCGGGATTGACAATTTTGCACTTCAGTTTTAAACTCTATGGGCCATGCATGACTGCCGGATGTGGAGATTACATTAACAGCAGTGTCTGCTATCCACGAGATGTGTTTTATCACTGCTCCGGAAGGTTGACTTACGACCCCTTTAAGAAAGGAACAAGATAAGCGCTAGTCACTACTCAACCTCGTCTTCGAATTTTATGAGCAATACACAAACAAAAGACAAACGACTGCCAACCAGTAGCTCCGTTTTCTATTTCAGCAACACACACAGTACAAAAAGTGTCAGATAACAAGGCACAAAAGTATAAAATATGTGCACCACAAAGTAGAATGCCTATGTGCTTCACAGGACCGAACCAATCGTAAAGATCTGCGGCCACTTCGCCAAAGCTGAAATGTCATGTGCGCAGTCTGCACCATGCACAGGCAACACTAAGAAGCCATGGCAAACACTAGCAAGAATTAACTCGCGCTTGCTAACATTAGTGGGTGCTCGCCAATGCTGGAATCACGCATTAAGCGCTGTCTCGCTTTTAATTTGAAGCCTGTAATGGCTTCCCAAGAGTTTTCTCTGAAAACTGATCGTTCAGTTTATCGTTTTGCGCTGACCATAGCTTTGTGCAATAGTTTCGGCGTGCTACAGTAGCTCAACTGCAGTACTTTCTTCCAATCAGAATCCCGAAAATCGGTGTTAAATTTAGGCTACTCCAGAGAGCGCTTCGACTTCAAGTGTTCCGCTTTAATAAGTAAGCTAAGCTCCTCAACATCCTTCCAAAAAAGAATGCAAGCTTGACAATTGAGCTACATTCACAAGACTAAGACCGCACCGCCATACACATTACATTACAAGATCCCATAACAAGAACCAAATTTTATCGCCCTCACCGAGTACATGGCTTTCTCCTCTTCGAGCTCTCTGGCCTGTTTCAACCTTTCCTGCTCCTCCTTGTCCAGGTGGAGGTACCTACGAAAGAACACCGACAACACTCTCGCAGCAAACCCAACAACAAACAAAGCAAGATGGCCAACCTCGCCATGGCGTATTACACAGAGGACAGCTAATGGCAAAGTCTCAACACTTCATTGGCCAATCTGTGCCCTTTTAGTGACAAATATACCGACAACAGACCACTAAGCGCTTGTTCGTGTGACTGTCTCACATTTCTTGTATGCTTATGCGCGCTTATTACCACTATGTTCATGTACAAACTCGCTAAAATTTCAGTGCTTCAGGATCACTAAGGATTAACTAAGGCTTTACCAACACAAAGAATTACAAAATTCTAGCAAACTATTGTTTTCCCAATGGTGCCCAGCACGCAACCTTGGCATTAGAACAAGCATCAGCATCACTTACGAGATGAAATCCGTAGACTCCATGCCATAGGAGTGCGAGTGGTCGTTCATCTCCCGCGCTTGTTCCATGGTGAGTTCGTTCACGTCGACGGTGACATCTGATACAAAGAATTAAAAAATGACCGATTGATCGGTTCGTACAGATCAAGTTCTCTACAGCATCTAATAACATCCACTGCAACAACACTCTAAATTTCATCGGTTGCTTCCCGAGTTTCAACTAAACGAGCATTCTCACATTTCAATACAATCGCAACACGGCTGAAATGATTTTAAACTAAGATTAATGCACCCTAACAATGAAGCCCAGCAAAATGCCATGGCTACTGAACCATCTTGGTGCTTGGTGATTACCAGAATTTTTAGACCGCAATCCAATCACGGAAGTTTTAAAAACCTTCGCAGAAGTTCAACTTCACAAGCATAAATTCCATTAGATGCAGAGCTAGGGGGGGATGCTACACCTTCCAAAAACTCTTTTATTTTTGCGAGTACCTCAGTCAAATTTGGAGAGCCTATGTAGATTTTACTGCTGATTTCAAAAATCTAATTCTTTTTTTGCTGCGACAATTAGTTTTAAAGATATAATGAACTGCGACTTTTTCAATTAAGGCCTAATTAGATAATTAACTGTAACTTTGATATTGATGTGCAACCTATAGAACCAATTCGGTATGTTCACAGTGTGCAATAAAGTATAAATCATTGTTCTGGGCTATTTCGAAGCAAAGTTGTGGGATGTTGAATATGACATGAAAAATTTCCCCATCTACACTTGAAACAAAAGATCCATTTAGAGAATTTTCTCCAAAAATTATTACAATAAAACTTACTTTACGACACATCCCCTGCATTTATCTTCGAAACAAAAAAGAAATTGTAATGATAACCCAGATAGAACAAGAGATATTGCTCCGGCATAATGGGAAGCACATGAAAATTGTCGTTTTGAGAAATCGAGAAAAAACGTGGGCACACATTTTTATTGCAGAAGATGCAACAAGACAACCTCAAAACGCACCAGAAGCATAGTCTGAAAGCATTCTGTGCTCATGCCTCCTCTTCACTAGCTTCCGGAGTTCCAATGAGGCTGTTCTTTTCTTGTTGGAGACAATGCTGCGACGGTGGTCTTTTTCTCTCGCTCTCCTGGCACCAGTACTTGTCGCATTCATGTCCATTTCACCTAAGATTGCCGTTGCAGAATTCAAATTGCCCGTGTTGAAGCGCAGCACTGCTTCTGCAACAGCTGCTTCAACAGCAAACAGGGACGCATGGTGCTCCTTGGGGGCCAAACTCCAGATTACCGAATGTAGGCTCTCGTTGGAGTTCTGCGTTTTGCCACGTTCGCACCTCTGAAGCAGGGCTCTTTCCGAAAGCCGGGTATAAACCGGTAGTAATGCCTCTGCCACGTCTTTCGGTAGATTGTAGGCATGCCTGGGGTCGGGCTCTTCCTTTGCTTTTGCGGCATTGTGCCGACACCATGAAGTTTCACCAGCTGGGCACAGACTGTGGTCCGAGCATTCATCAGTGGAGGTGACGTGGCGGTATGTGGCCATCACAGCCTTTTGCATCTCGCCCACGTCACCTTCATGCGATTTCAGAGCCCGGCCATAATATGTGCTCAACCTGGTGATCAGCTCACCTGTGAGCCTGCCTTTCCCACCAAGGCCTCTTTTCCCATCGCACTTTTGTTTCTGCACCAGGTTCCTCAATGCGGTGCCCATCCGTTTCTGTACATGATTAATACAGTCTTCCTTCTGCACGTCAATGTAACCATACACCTTGGCGTCTTGTATGGCGCAAAATGTCCTAGAGTCTCCATCAGACAGCATAGTTGTGTAGCGCAGGCCATGGCGTTCAAGCGACCTCTGAAATAGAATTAGAGCTGCCTCCACTTCCATTTGCCCCGCTTTGCTGTTCGTATTTTTTTGGCATTTGTGGTTAGCCTTCCATTCTTGATAGCCCTCACTACTAGGCTTTGAGCCCACCTCGCAGCCTAGGCAAAAGTTGGAAAGAACGACGTAGTCCAACACGTAGCCACTAAATAATTCGATAACTGTGCCCACGCCGATGTGGGATGAATGGCCTCGCGTCTTCCACGTGCCGTCGTAGCTAACGGCAATATTGCCCTGGTGGCCGAAGCACAAGTCATCATAAATTGTTCTAACCTTTTCCGCACATTCGCTCATAGCGGACTCAGCCGCTCGCGTTGCAGCGGGTGCCAGCGTGTTCTTGAAATGCCGCTGAAACGTCTTGTGGTGCATACCGCGGTGTGAGATGCCCATTGTTGCGAAAATATCGTTCATTTTCGTTTGGCCGTTGCCGGTAGCCACCATCGCCCTCGAAGCGAGAAGATTTACTTCAAACTGATTGCACGTTTTCGTGCCGTTCGCGCGGGGCGAAGTCCATTCATTCGTGATCTCGCTGCACCTTTCACACTGCACTAGCACTTTCACGGCAAGTCCGTAGTCCCGATCCCCTCTGACGATCGTAGCCGGTCCGTGGCAGGCTTTGCAACACAAAGCACCCATTATCGCGTTTAGGATATCTAGATGCATAAGCAGATAAGGAGCAGCGTGGTCCGAGTCCTGTGCGGTTGCCTCGCTACAACTCGCGGTGAAAAAGTCAATTTTCCGTGCAGTTGCTGGCGCCGATGAAAGCCAGTCGAGCGTCGCTTTCTCCCGGGCATGATTTTCTTCAACGTCGGCGTTTGTCACCACCTTGGCGTCGATTCGTAGTCGTCCGGAGTTCGCTTCACCGTCATCGTCGTCGGAGGCAACGCGCTCGGTCGCACCATCGCTGAACGGCCGCGGAGCGTCGACACATCGTTCGTCGGAGTCAACCAAGGGCTCTGATGACTTCGTAGACTTTCTCCCACGACCTTTGCGTTTCCTGCGACCAAATGCGTGCACGGTCCGATACTTTTTTGCGTTTCCAGGCATGGCGATACGATCAGAAGCTTCAGAGTGCTCTGCCGATTTCGAGGCGTCACAGCGGTAACCCTTTCAAAATGGCGTCGGGTCGCGTATGCAGGCGCAAGCCGCGAGCTTCCAGCCAACCGGAAAGCGCCATTTCAGTCACGTGCGCCGTTTAGCCATTGGCAGTGAGCGCGGCTCTTCGTCTTTGAGGCCCCGTTTTTCGAGCCGGGGAAACGCTCAATGTTGCTTACTGAATAAAAAAAAACAGCTGAAAACGCGTTCTTTCAAACAAGACCAAAATGGCGCTGATCGAGCGCGTAGTTCCCGCGTATCGTAGAGCCGAAACCTGCGCTATTCGCCCTCAATTTAAAGGGCAGAACGCCCGTTTTCGGTTTTTTAAAATTGAATAACGATAAAAGTTGATGGTATTCGGCTATGAAATTTTGTAAATAGGTGCGCAATGATGTCGGGAACGCGAAAAGAAGGTCCGCGAAAACTCGATTTTTTGGCTGATTTTTGGTCCCGAAGTGCCGCGTCCAGAGAATAAGGAGTGTCTGCAAACTTTAAAAAATGAACGATAGGAACATTCAGCAGCAGTAGCGAACGTAGTCGATTGTAACACAACCACGGCTGTAACCAGAGGGGCGACTTTACATTGCGTCAAGGAAGAATAAATAGTTATATTGGTATCAGATTACAAAGCAATTGTCATTATAACGAATACCACACTTATACCACGGATATAATTGATACCACAATTATAGCACAATGGTCGTCATGTAACAAAAATCCAAAAAAAAAAAAAAAACGTGTTGAATTCGAGTAAATACAGTACATAGTTATATCACCAAACTAAGATACTAGCCCACGGATACGATATAAAACAAGATAAGGCCAGAAATAAGTACAAAGGCACTACACTACGATGAAGGCAGTCACGCTCTTACAGGAAACTTTCTTAAGAAACATCACACCATAGGAGGCTAGTCATCTCACCGAGATCAATATCACTGAGGTCCTCTTTATCTTCCTCTTCTTCTGCTTCGTCATTGTGATTGGTCGACGTCGAGGGAACAGGTGTGCTGTCTTCGTATGTGTACCCAATTGCAGCTTTCTTCTCAGCAAGCCTGGACAAACAGCGAATTCATTCGCTTGTTAAAGGTAGCATGCGAGTCTACAGATAGCTCTTAAATTTAAAATTGAGAACAATGATGACAATGCAGAAATGACTGCATCAGAACGGAGACAACAGGCACGCGGTAACTTAAACATAAAAAAATAGTGACCACTAAAAGTTCTTTATCATTACACCAATGAAATTGTATGCGCCAATTTAAGTTGTCACAAAAGTAGACACGTGCAATATGGCGCAGAAAGAGCATGCCCTGGGTCTCGACTATTGGCAGCCTAAATGGTCTTGAATTGCTCAAGCTTGAGTTATCGTGACAGTGCAGTGAATAGGGCTGGCTACAGGGCAAACGATAATATAAAAACGCTCTAGGAGAAAAACTTACTTCTGGCATTTTAGAAAAAAAAATTACCCACATCAGGAGCTCATTCATAAGAACTCGAGGCATTTTACGATCCTACAAATGTTTAACACTCAATGAATTATAATTAGAGTATCAATTGTATAAACAGGTCTGAGGATATGTCAGGGAAAAACTGAGGAGTTGACAAAACTATGGTGCACAAGAAAAAAAGGAAAAAACAGAAATCAAATTGGCTGTCAAAGCAGTCTCACTATTAAAAAATTTTCCACAGTTTTGTGGCTTTTACACAAGAAGCATCGCTAACTGAACTTAGTACGTGGCCCTCACTAGCTGGGACTCGAACCCAAAACCTAGTGAAGCGACAGCGGAGCGCCACATTTGTCGCTGCCGGGACGACAGCACCGAGCCAAAACCAACGAAACGAGACACACTTTTTCTTTTCCTCCTCCGTGGTGCCAACAGGCTTTCCGATTGGACCAAAGCGTTCCTCCAAGTAGATCTGATGCAAGAACTTGTCCTCTGACACTGCACAGGACCATGGGACATGCAGAGAAGGCGTGGTCACGGTTTCTTCACACTCACAAAAAAAAAAAAAGAACCACAGAAGACAAAAAAAATTTTTGAGGCAACCGACGTTTTGCATGGTGCAGTTTGGTTCACACTTGGTTAACAATTTAAAGCTTCTAAAGTAATATAAATGCTGTTCTTACTGCAGGAGGAGGGACACCTCGAAGTATACTAGAACAAATTTTGTTGGGTTAGTCGGTTCATACTGTCCAAACGGTAATAGTGCAACACATGGCAGAGAAATAAGAGGTACACGAAAGAGCACCAACTTGCAATATATTTATTTGAAGTGCACCTTTCTATACAGTGCAGGAAGATGCACAGTCACATTTGTGAATAACTATCAAGTACAACCACATGTTTATGAAACCTTTGTCTTAAAAAAACTGTGCTTTTGCTCTGTGCCGGGCAACCGGCAAATCTATGTATGGCCGTTTACTTACTTAACTTATTAAGCGGTTCAATTCTGAGACCGTTCGATTCGGCATCAGGCACAATCTTTCTATTCATCCTTGCTGCATTTTACCAAAATGTGGACAGCACTTTATAATAATCAACAGGGACCGTAGCTTCGAGGGCAAAGGTTGGTGCCCATACAGTGCGAAACTTTATCCCTATTATTTGTGCAACCAAGTTTACTACTATACTGTCTACGACTACAAGTGCCAAGATGTTATATGGTGTTACCTAATACAGCTGTAACCATGCTCACCCTGCAAGTGCTTCCAGTAACACAGTACATCAAGTAGAACTCTCCCCTCAAAAAGGCCATGCTTGTCTCGGCATCCCACAACTTTCGCAACGTAACACAGCAGGATGCATACAGCACTGAATTGTCCATCCGAATGCGAGAGCCAGAAGAATGACGAGTGCTTACCTCCTAAGAAGTCGTTCTGAACAAGTGTGCGGTAGCGCTCATAGTTGATTTGCCTCTCTTCTTCCTTCTGTTCTTCAGTCAGCCTGTTTTGAAGATCGGTGCAGCAACGTGAATGCATTGAGCCGAAATGAAATTCGGCACGGCGCGTACCGTCAACTCTCATTACAACATCCCATAAAACACGAAGATACCTTCTGTACATCCAATGTTCGTCGAGTGTACCCAGGCTGATCCCAGCTTTAAGAGAGCTTGCAAACGAATATAATCGAAACAACGTACGGGTCTACAAGTCATACATGTAAAAGCTCAATTTCCAGTCAGCGGCGCCATACTCAGGGATTTTTTTAGGAAGTGTTTATGCATACAACGGCTAACTTTCACAACTGGGGGTAGATGTGAAGGCATATAAATACTTTTGAAAAGTTAGCTTGATAATACTTTGGGCGGTGTCAGATCCGCCCCTCAACTTTCCCTAGTTATGGCCCTGTCAGTCATACACAACTGTCCGAGTTGGAATGTAAAAGGCGCAGGCTCACTCCGGGCCTCCGCCAGAGGCCTTGAACTCTGGTATGGAGTCCAGGTGGGCTCGAACGTCGAACCGGTCGATCATGACGTCACGGTTCCCCTGCCAAGGCATCCTGAAACACAGGTACACAAGTACTCATAAAAAAACTACAGTTATACCTGGATATAACTAAATTTATAAATTCCTGTAAAAATTCGTTATAAAGAGGATTTCGTTATATGCAGGTTCGGTACGAAAATTCTGAAAATAAAAGCGAAAGTTAAACAAAACTGGGACTGAAGGCAGAGCTAACCCAAAACACTTATTTTACAGTAAAAAACTGCATTAATATCGCGATAGCAATTACACGGACACCCACGGCGGGTTTTGAATAGCAATAATAAACTTGGATTTCAAGGGCGGTCATGATCGCCGACACGCTTGCTATCTCGGCGATTATCAGTGCTGTTTCAACGCGAAAGGACTGTGTGAAAAGAGCACTTCTTCCTGAAGCGGCCGCATTTGCTCACACGAGCGTTCTGTAGGAGTTCCGCGATATCGGATCCAAAAAAGTTGGCTGCCAGCCTTTATTCTTATAACACTACAATTTCTTGCTATCGCGTTCATTGCATTGCATTCAACGCACCGTTGTGTTGCCGGAGCTGATTGGCTAATCGCAAAAGCTACCAGCCTGCAAACTCGCGACGCGGCACAAAACGGAAGCGCGTGACGAGTCGATCTTCAAAGATCCGTCGACACCGTGATCACCGAGAGTTTACATCAGCGCCTAATCTGACACACTCTCGGTGGTGAGGACACGGTTGTCCGAAATTAAGAAGTCAGAATTTTGCCGCAAGGGCGAGACAATGAATGTGATAACAACTTGGAATCTAACTATGAGAATGGCAAGCAGATCAAAACGTGCAGTGTGCTGCTCCTGCACAAATGACGCAAAAAACAACATACACAGGATGAGATCGAACTAGCAACGCTATCGCTGGACACTTAACGCACTGTTTAAAAAAAAAAAACAAGGCACGAAACGTAATCACAGGTACAGATATGAGCCCAAAGTAACAAGTGCCCCAGTTGTTACTTCGCTGCGTTTGAAAAGCGCACTCTTTTCGCAAACGGCACCTGTCCAGCGAGCGAAGTGATCTTTGTGCGCAACTAAACACAATCATTCCGGTCAAAGTCGAAGGCAGGCGATTCTCCCTACTGAAGGATAAGCGCGCGCACAAGCATCAACCCCCCTCCCCCATTCGCAGGACAGAGTATGCGTGGAAGATGGGCGCGAGTCTGCGCATTGTGACGAGCAGGCCGCAAAGGAAGGGCAGCTTTTTTTCTTTTCTTTCTTGAGTTTTCTTACATACAGATATGTGAATGACCGCGGCGGAGGCATAAAAACCAGCCAGACTGTCCATATACACAATTGCTACCGTATTTACTCATGTAATACTTGCACTCGCATAATTCTCGCACCCCCCCCCCCCCCCTCCCATCGCCCAACAAGAATACGATTTCTTTTTTTCCTCGAGTAATTATCCCAGCCCCAAAAACTGCCGTAATAGTGTCCTCTGCTCGTTCCAGCCACTGATAATGATAGCACGTGCCATCTGGCACCGTATCTTAAGCATCAAGCGTACTATTATTACACAGAGATTCAATACAATCCAAGCCAAGCCACAATGGCAAGTACGTGTTGCGGCGTTTTGTATGTTGTGTCGGCAATCTTGTCACGATATGGGGCGATACTGAAGCAACACGGCTGCTTTCAAGTTTGAAGTGATAGATCATGCACTAAACAACGGCAACAGGGCCGCCGGTAGGCCCTTTGGAGACAACTAGTTTTGTGTTCGCTACTGGTGACGGCAGCTGAAAGCCACTAAGAAGCGTTGGGCCTGCCGTGTACCTATAACTGGGATCGATGGTAAACTTCATTTTTTTAGAAGGAAATTGCAGACGATTCTGTTGAATAGCCATCAACCCAATACTGACGTCCTACGCTTACCTTTTGAGGGCTCCTGTTGAGCAACGAACGATACCGCTACGCCCGCAACGCCCACAAGCTTTGCGTATGGTATTCCGATTCTCGACTATTTGCTTGCACTTTTAGTGTCTTAAATAAATTTTGCCTTGTGTTGAACCTGTGCTTTTATTGTTGAGGTAAGTTCTAATTAGTACTTCTCAAAGCTTGCTGTAGGTTGGTGGCGTGAGAATCCCGATTCGCGGCCACTTCGTTTTCTTTTTCGCTCTGTACGTTTTCGTGGAAAGTTTTCGACGCGTAATTCTCGCACCCCTAACTTTGCATTGGTTTTCAGCCAAAAAAAGTGCTAAGATTATGCGAGTAAGTACAGTATTGCAATAAAGAAAAAAAAGCAAAGCTGACCGTCGTTGGGGGCCACACCATGTGGGTGCAGTGAAACTATTCAGTAAAGCACCTCCCATATGCAGCGCGGCCCCACATATAGCTAACTATATAACAAACATTTATAACTAAAAGCTGGGGGGGGGGGGGAGCAAATGCGCACGCGACCGCGGTGGCGAGAACGGCGACAATGCCGGTATATAGGGTGCACGCCCGCCTGCCCGTTGGACACGGCCCGTGTGCCTGCCACCGCCGCTTCGCGCTTCGTCGACGGCGGGCAGCCGCGGAAAATGCATGCTTGTACTGAAATGCGAAGCAAAATTTCTAGATTGTCGCTTGGGAAAATTCGTTACACAATGGTTGTCTCCCGCTGTTACATCGTTACATAGAGGTCGCAAATGCATGTGCCTCTATAGAGCAACGGCGGGAAATAAAAAAACTTCGTTATATCGAAGAATTCCTTATATAGAAGTTCGTTATAGGCAGGCTTAACTGTAGTGCCTGCAGCAAGAAACGGCAAAAGGAGTCCACCGATTGCTCCCTGATTCATCATATTGGTGACGATAAAAGGAACCTACTTAGCCAAACACATAGACGACTCTAATATCGCCACTTGAAAGGACATCTAGGACTAAAAGCTCGTACAACAAGTTCAGATGTGGCACTTTGATTTATAACTGCGTAACGCGCACCTCGTTCAGCGGGAAACATCGAGAAAAAAGCCACAGACATAGAAAAAGTAACAAAATGAGCAGAGAAACATTCCACCTCCAATTTATCCTCATTCTCCAGTGCATCTACTCAAGTAAATGCTGCCCACGTCCAGATTTAAAGCGATGGCTGGCGTAGGTCTTGTAGGCAACACATACAGACATGTTTCACCGTGCACGTTAGGTGCGCGTCAGGTTTGTTGCGGGCGAATCGACGAGCTGGTGGTGTAGCGAGCAGTGGTTCGGGCAGGTGTTGCAGGCGAACGGACGAGTCTGCGGGCGCCGCAGCGAGTGTGCGACAGGCGAGGGAGAAAGTGACGTCAGCGTGCAGTGCGAGGGGAGCGCGACGCCAACGCGCAGCGTGACCTATCGCGCAAACACCTGCAACGTGCGGCATGTTTGCACGGAGGGATAATGTTACACTGGCTAGTCAAAGAGCTGCTTCGCATCTAAAACACTATGCCTGCGATTTCAGACCTGCAGTCAAACATACCGATGCATTCATAAGCGCCGCGCAACGAACCTGGTCAGCATGATGGCATAACACCGTCTTTTTGTCACCTGCGCGCTGAAAGGGATCGAAACTTGTTAAAACGCGACCAAAGCTTGATCGATACTTGCTAGGAAAAACGCACTTTCTGGGCCTCAGAGTGCTGCAGCGTTCGATATAGCGGATGTCCCCCTATGCGGCAGTTCGATATACGGGTGCACTGGTCCTATACATTTGCATGGGTAATTCAAGGAGATTTCTGAACTGTTCAATTTGGCCAATAATTCGCTATATCCGAGTTTCATGTATTCGGGATCGACTGTATAGCTGATTTAGACACACGAGCGAGCACGGTCAAAGTATGCATCATCGGGCACCTCATCATTGCTGCTTGGAACAGCATCCCTTTCAAAATCGCTGTTCTACATAAAAGTCGATCGAAGCAAAAACTTAACTGCGCGTATCACGGCGATTCCTAGCTCCAGACTACTTTATTCAACCCGTGTCGACACTTTCTACGGCAAAGACGGCAATGCAATTGACAAGGCAGAACTGAATGTGTCCGCCTAGCAGTTGAAATGTTTGTGGAGCAGCTGAGCTTCAGCTCATTCTTTTCTGCGGAGAAGTGGTCAGCTGTGGTGAGACACGGAGGTGATCGCGAGGTAGCGCCACTGGTAGCGCCCCCAGCACCAAGAATGGTGGAACTGCCGGCCGTTTTGAGTCGTGCTAGTTACCTGTGATACAATTCATTAAAAGCGATAGTTATTTGTCTCTCAGTTGCATTTTAGGTCGCAAATCGCTACTAGGGGGTCGATAGCTACTAAACTAAAAAATCTTGGCATGAGTGAATTTGATGTCAATGCTCCTTTAAGTGAACAACTGGCCAATCCTTCAGTGTGATTAGGCCTTCAATGTGAACACACAGCATGCGAACTATTTCAAAATAAAAAAGTGGCACCTGCCACTGTTTAATAAAGAACACTTCATTCGCAGAGATCGCAGGCTTCGCAGGCTGAAGCCAGCGACACCCAGTGTTTTCAGAATTTTTCACCCCTTCAAGCTTCCATCTTCTGAATTTTTTTTGCCCCGTGTAGACTTCCTTCGTGGTTGACTTACATAGTGGCCGGGCTGTCGGCCGCCTGTGCGATTGCCAGGTCGATGTGGATCTTGCAGCGTCGTCCATGAAGTTGAAGAAACTGGGCTGGGTCTTGCTTCTATACGAGAGCATCAAAGAAAGGAAAGGTCACAGGCCATGTTTTAATTTATGTATGGAAGGCACACAGTGTCGTACAAAGCTGTGTACATGACACACTTTAAGACGTATGCCTGTTTTATAAACGTAATAAACAGGCTCTCAAAAGTCTATTGGCTCAAAATACTTCTTCCTAAAGAAAGTTTTTCAAGAAGGCATAGGAAAGCAGTGGTCTCCTTTTCTGAAAACAGTCTTTCCTGTAAGCAGAATCCATTATAATATTCTATAGTACAGATGTGCTATATTTTTCCCATAACCACTGAACTGCCATGACCGAAGTTCCTAGATATGCCCAGTTCCTGCTTTCCCTCTCGTAATATTCACAAGAAGCTCCATAATGACAGCAGTTCAGCAAGCGGTCTAAAGGTTTAAAGCACCACAGAGTCAAGTCTATCTTTGAATTATTTTTTTTTGTCATCTCTTACACCTGTTGACGACGCACATCTTAGTTGTTCTTAGGTGCCACTGCACTGCTGACAATGACTGGTGACAGCCCCGGTACACCAGCAAATCAATTCGACATAAGTTAAACTAAACATAACATGGGACCTAGGGGTTTACTTCCTTGTAAGACACCATTGAGTGAATCCAACAAAGCATCGAGCCAAGAACAATACTACATATGCATTACTGCCCCCAAGGGCGTGTTGCATATGTGATATTGCATGCAAAATATTGCATGTAAGACACAATACAATTGAGCGCTACAAGTAAAAACATGCACAGAGAAACAGCCCTTGTGCCTTACAAGAGGGGTCTCACGAGCAGTACACCATGTTCCGATTTCGTAATTAACCCTTATTTTGATGCAGGCTGTCCCATGTCCTTTACACCCAGTTGTCCATCAAATCAGTGTCTCTTATAAAGGGGCCCTGCAACACTTTTTGAGCATGGTCAGAAAATGCTGCAGATCGGTAGTAGAGGCTCCTGATAACACGCGAGCCAAATATTATAGCACAGCACGCGGCCTGGAATTCATAATAAATTATCAAAGTCAGCTGAAATTGCTTTCTCTTCTCTCAACAAATCGCTCAATATGGCCCAAATTCACACGTAGTAAGCCTATCTATCAGCCATTGGCTAATTTGAACATGGAGCGCACGCTCAGAGAGATCGCCGCGGGAGGCCGCTACTTGTTCACGCACGTGCGCGCGCATTCGAAGAAAAAAAAAGGGGGGCTCAAGGTCACGATGGGCGCGCGACGTTTTTCTGTGGCCCTGCCATCCCTCCCTGCTTAGCTTCCAGCGCTTTCGTGGGGACGAGAGAATGCAATGGCAGCATGCGACAAACCTTTGTAATTCCACTCGCACCGAACAGATTCTTAAAATTTTCTGTGGCTTTGAATTCGTAAGGCAATAAGCTCTTCCAGTGAATTCATTCCATGGTTACTTGAAAAAGTGTTTCAGGGCCCCTTTATTTAGGGGTCGCCCAAGTCTGTCATTTTTCACTGGAGGGTAGTAATTGGGAGGTAAAATGGAATGAAGTGGACAAGAAAAAAAAAAAAAAAAGACTGTGCCAGTGGGGCCCGAACCCACAGCCTTCGCATCACATGAGCCTAGCCTCATTCGATGCTATCCCAGACACTTATGCGACACGAAAAATGCTGCCTAGTCATCTCTTGCACAGGTGTCGTCCAAGTGAATTAAACACAAAAAGAAGGCACTCACGATCCGCTCGTAAAACTCCTTCCGGCGCTCGGCCCGCTTCTTGAGGTCGACGAGCATGCCGCGTATCTTGCGCTCCTGCTTCCTGGCCTCATGCCACATGTTGTCGCGCGACGAGCGCGACTGGAAGAACATGTCTTTCGTCGTGGTCGTTGTATCTCACTGTGGCTCTGCTGCGACGGAAGCCGCCAGACGTTGCACGCGCATCGAAGACAAAAAGGAGCACAATTCGCACCTGCGTAAAAGCATTGCACAAGATATCACAGCCAATCCAATACGCACGAACAAATCCACAAGCAGCAAAGCTTTCTTGAATGATTTCCATTGTGCTAAGCAAACAGCAGCTATATTTAATTCACAATTAGCACAATTGTTTACCTCTTACATGCGAAACGTAAAAAAGAGCCCACTAATACAAATGAGAGAAGCTACATCACAAAGTACAGTAGATAGCGCACTAACCCTTCTGCAACCTAGCTTTCTGTTCAAAAGGAATACACACATACTTTTTGGGGGGGAGGGGGGTCTATTTGATTATTCAAAGCCACTTTACACACAAGATACACGCAAAATATTTTTTTTTATGTGCAGGGGATTGGCTTCACTGCACTGCACCCTAAAAAAAGTGCCCCGATTTCTTCAGTCTTTAGAGCAACAAACGAGTTCAAAATTTAAAAAATAAAATACAGAGAAACGAGTCTGTCAAAACAACCTTGCACGTGCCAGTGTGGGTTCGTTTACATCTAAGGGCGTCCACTGCTGATATGTCGAAAAGCGGTCATCGTATAAATCCAATGATTTAAAGGACATGCTGCTAAGACTAGTCCGTGCCACAATCACAAGAGAATTGAAATTCTTCATTTCATGAAGCTTCGACAAAGAGCAGCATTTTTTTACTGGAACTGCTCCTTGAAAGGAGCAGTTCCAGCATGCACCCATCACTTGTGCACAGAAGAGGGCACCATTTTCTAATTTCAGTAAGATAAATCAAGTCCTTACTTGACCAATATCCATGATTAACTGAGTTTTGAATTTTTTACCACAGTACTACACTGTCTGACGGCAAGAGAGAACACAGCAATATGAATCGGGGTAGCTTAAGTGCGGTGCCCCCAAATGATTTGTTCATAACGGACAAGCGCAGCTCGCCGTCGGTGAAGAAAGGGTTAAAGAGAAATCATAGCATCGCTTTCTTTAACGATTTCAACTGTGCTAAGCAGAAACCAACAACATTTCATTTACTAGTGAACTAGTGAAAAGTTAAAAGCCAAGCACAAAACTCCATCACAAGAGCTCATTCAGACGAATGAGAAAGGCTACATTAAATGTACTGCAGAAAGCCGCAGTGTGAGTCATGGAGGGTAGCTTGATCTCCCTCGCTCTTCTTTTCAAGCTGTGAGAGGCAGCACCCTAGCAAGTACCCCCTGCACTGACGCTTACTTGCAAACTATGCCAGACTATACATATTTGGACTTTCCTAGGTGGTCATTACTCGCAATGTACAGAATAATCTTAGTCCCCCTTTTTAAACCTTTGTTTACTTGGTAATGATAACTGTGCTCAATACCCTAAACTCTGTAATACTTTATTGAATCTACAACAGCCATTCACACAGTTTTCGAGAGCACTCCAAAGCGCATTAAAACTTTGTGATATGCAAATTCATGCTCTTTTTCAAGTCATGATTTGAAATTTTTCTAGAAATGAAACCTATATTATACAAAAATGATAACTTAGCAGAATCTGTGTCCTACCCTTGTGTTTTTTCAAGACTTATTCCACTAGTTGCCAGGTCGTTACAGATAATTGTAGCATGCAGGCAGTCATGTAACAATTCGAAGGGGTCACTGTCTTGATTAAATACTACTTGATTCATTACACTACATTAACTATACATTCGGCTTCACAGGCATAGCGCACAGTGAGCAAGGACAAATAAGAGGCACGAAGATGCCTTGTTGTGCTCATTTCCAACTAAACTGTTTACCGACAAGAAACACAGCACACACATCTATCTCCTTGCAAGTTCTCGCATCAGGTTTTTCCACCTTCCATGTAACCCCCACAGTTCTGAACTGTGAAGCATGCGCACTCGTATAAATTCGTACAACGTCACTGTTGACATCTTCTGGGGTTGATTGATTGATATGTGGGGTTTACCTTCCCAACACCACCATATGATTATGAGAGACGCCGTAGTGGAGGCCTCCGGAACTTTTGACCACCTGCGGTTCTTTAACGTGCACCCAAATCTGAGCACACGGGCCTATAACATTTCCGCCTCCGTCCGAATATTTTCTGGCGTTCTACACCCCAATACACCACGGTGTGATCATGGGAGACACTATAGCATAGGGCTCCAAAAATTTCAACCATTTGGCATTTTTAAACGTGTACTGACATTGCATAGCACAGTGTTCAACTTGCAAACACCTCGTACAAATACGTGGACACAGCTTGCGTTTGCTTGTTACATCAACTAGTGGCTAAGAAAGATGCATCACGGCTTGGACGAACTGAACCTCCTTCACAATAAATCCATCTTCATTAAACTATGTTTTGCAGCAAACTATTGCATGTGGTCGCTTTGTTGAAGGCACTTCCACATTCCATGAGTCATTCAACACGCTGCTTTTCACGAGCCATGTTACAAGTATAAATATTCGTTGCTCGAAATTAACATAACCAAACACACTGTATTTCTTGTCTGAGATATGAAACTATCTATGCAAATACAGAGAATGAGTGATCCAGGGTATATACTTAATTACAACTTAATCAAGATACTCTACTTGCAACAGATAATTAGTGCCCTGGCCTAATAACCACAAAGCGTCATGTGCGAAACAGCACGGGCAACATCTGCAGTCGCAAGTAAGCCACATCTGAGCATGCGCGGCACCATTGATGTGCCTGCCTTGCAATACTGATCCCTGTGTATCGCCGCGGATGCAACAACCGCTTTGGCCGTCGAAAGCACTCTGAATGATTTAGCTAAGAAACAAAAAGCAAGAAAAGAATACGAAGTAAAACTCTTGTCGCTGTGATATTATATAACGAAGCGATAATATATATATATTTTTTATTTCGGTGGTATAATGTTGGCAGCACTTCGACGGCCAAAACAGTCATCGCGGCCGCGGAGGTAAAGAAGGGTGGAAACTGCAGGGCAGGCACATCACTGCACATCATGACCTGAACCTGCTTCACAATAAATCCAGCTTCATTAAACTATGTTTTACAGCAAACTATTGCATGTGGTCGCTTTGCTGAAGGCACTACCACATTCAATGAGTCATTCAACACGCTGCTTTCCGCGAGCCATGTCAAAAGTATATTCTTTTCTAAAATTAACATAACCAAACACTGTATTTCTAGTATGAGATATGAATCTATCTATGCAAAAACAGAGAATTGCGACTCAGGATAAATACTTAATTACAACTTAATATAAACATTGCCAGCATACTGCAACAATACTTATTTCCAACAGAATAAATATTTAGTGCCCTGGCACAATGCGCAAGTCTGGCACATTACAGAGTTCTTTATAGGTCGTCTCCGAGTCAGGCACCCACAGGGGATTTCATTACAGTACATCAAGGCATCCCAATACAAGAGAGGCAGCCAGTTTCGTCCCGGCGATCACCGAGGCTGCAACAAGCGAGCCCAGCCAGAAGAAACATGCAGCGTAATTTTTTCTTCCCCATATGTCCAGCCTTGCCGCTAAACTCAACTAATTTCGCTGTGTATCGTGACATCATAACATCATTATAATTGATTTATATAACATCATTATAATTTATATATAATCATTTTAAATGAATTATGCAACTTCATTATAATTATAATTACTGGAGTTTAACATCCCCAAGCCCCGATACGAAGCACACCGTAGTAGAAAGCTTTGAAAATATCAACCGCCTGGTTTTCTTTAACGTGCACAGAATTCTAGGCACACGAGCCTCAAGAATTTTCGCCTCATGGCGTGACAACATTGATGGTACAATATCTTAAAACTCAAGATCGGGTTCTGCCAATATCAACACGGTTAATGTTTAAGGAGTGTATAAATTGGGAGCATCACCCTCTATGAAGCAGCGAAGTGTGCAGCTTTTTGAGAACTTTGAAGATGTGTTAGAAGCATGATCGTTTTACCATGCTTAATAAGGTGAACTTAGCCACATATGTGATTCTGGTATGTAAAATGGTACATGTGTAGCAAGTTTGCTTTTTTTGTCACAACACCATTTTTCTATTTACACTGTGCAAACTCATCAGCCAAACTTTATGGTCTAAGTTGGTGCTGCTAAAAGATTTTTTCTTTAGAGCACAAGTTTGTAGGCTGAAATGGATTCATCCAGCCTACGAGCCCCTAAGAAAAACTTAACAATGGGCCACTTGGTTAAACGTGATCAACATTCCGGGCGCAAACATGCAAAAAAGAACTGAACGCAGTAACTGAGAACTGTCATGAAAGACGTACAAAATACGCCGGCACAAAGCATGCACTGATGTGTTTCGTACGTCTTTCATCACTGTCTCTAGTTCCTTTTTTGTAAAGCATGCAAAAAAAATATTGATAATGAAAAGCAGTCTTGGCCAATGAGATGTATTGAAGCATGCTACCTAAGCATAATTGTGTTAAAAGAAACGTTCTTATTTGGTGCTGGTGCCAAGTTCCCAACAATTTTGCTCGCTATCGTGTGTACATCAGTTTTTAAAAGCATATTGTAAGCCATCAAAGAGCGACAATTATTACAGGAGCCCTTCTCTGCCCATGCAACTAAATTATTAACTACAGTCAAACACGAATACATCAAATCTGCAGGGGATCACAAAAGGCTGCTATATATAGGTTATTCGACATATAAGACGTTATATACGAAAAACTTTTAAAAAAGATTTTGTTTGATATGCACTTCGATATTTATATGCCAGTTCGACTGTATTTATTGCACACATCATCGCGCACTTAACACGCAGTCTAGCAATTTACCAGTCTCACATTGAAACACAATGACGTATGTGCTATGCAACATCGGGTAGAAGAGAACGATTTTTCTTCATGTATCTGACAATCAGGTATTTGACAGCCGCCGCTAGACGGCCGATTGATTTGATAATCTGACACTGCCGTTAACAAGTGGGGGGGGGGAGGGCGCTCTCAATTGAAACTCATCGGCAAAATCGAATAATTCAATCGCGATCGGTTCATTCTGGGCGAGCGAATAATTTGAGATCAGACTGTAGTAATAGAAAATGTCTCCTGCGGCCAGTGGACACACTAGAGGCTAGCGATTTACAATGCTCAATGACTGTAGCACCGAAAGCTGCGACCGAACGTAACGCGCCAACAAACTGACCACTCACGCTTGCAAAATGAACTTCAATACCCGCCGGAGACAAAAAGAAGATAGAACATCACTCGGCTTCAGATGATCGAGCCTCTCAAAATGAACTTCGAAACCCACCGGAGACAAAACGAAGCTAGAACATCATTCGGCTTCAAGTGAACGAACCTTTACGGGGCTTTTAATTTTCCGAGATCGCTGTGCAAAATTTTGACAGAGTACGCCTCTGTTAATTGTTTTCGTGAATGGGCAGGACGCATCTGGAAACGAACACTTGCTGGGTAACGATTGCATTATCATATTAGTGCTACTTTTCCCTATCGCGTATTCGCGCAAGATTTCGCTATGCACTCGGCAGAAATTATGGGAAAATTAGCGGTTTCAAACATCGAAGCAAACGTGCGTCTCTTGACGCGGCATTAGAGATGCATTTGTTTGACAAGCGATCCTCGATTTATCGCAATATACACGGTTGCCGGACACGACAAGCCTAACTTCGTGTCAACCTGCAGATCCCAGTGTCTACGAAAGTGCTTTCAAAAACGGAGAGAGTGACCATGGAAAAGCATAACATACGTCTATGACCCGGCACACACAACACAACAAGAGCGAAGTCGGCGAAGATTCGAGGGAGCTTTTCGTCGTGGACAACGCAAGACTGGAGGAGTTTTATCTCGCTACGTCGTAACCGTTTTCACATGCAGCGGAAATGCAGATAGGAGGAGAACAACATGATACAACAACACAAGGCAAGAAATCGCAATGTCTCGACTCGTTACTAAGCCTCGCGCCAACAGATTTTAGCGGGCGCCTTGTTCGGTCCACGGAAAAAACACGAGCGTCTTGCACTCACCTGGATTTAACGAGCGGATTCGCCGGGCACTGGGAACGTGGGAGCCATCGTCGCTTTCTTCGCACTAATAATTATACGCTGCAATATGCAAACCGCAAAACAGGGCTGCCCTAAGTACCGGCTGCCTCAGCTACCTCAGATCCGCACTTGTGGTTGTGAACCGTGAACAGCGGAGCCATAAAAGGAGCCACACATTACAGCACAAAAGCGCGCGTAACGTTTAGTACTCTAAGACACAATAATCAGGCTCACTTAGGGAACTAAACAAGGACTGTGTCACCTGCTGGGAAAAGAAAAACTAACTATTAAATTAAGCTTTGCAAAACTCTTTCAAAACTAACTTTAATATTGGTCAAAAGATGGCGCGTGAACACATCTGTTATAGATGATTTTTTGGATTGTTTTTTTAATGTGCCGGAGGCGTTGAAAAATGTACGTAATAACGTGACCAAGTGCTACCGCTAAAATTATAGGGCTAATACATGATCAAGGAGGGGGGAACATGACCTGCATACCTTCTTGTTCTCGTTGTAGAGCCTTAAAACTGCTGCATTCACCACTCAAACACGGTCAGCAGAGCACCCGCAAATCACCAGCACACTAACTTTTAGTGCTACGGTGCAACCATGTGGTTGAGCTAAATCCCAAGCATGGAGTTTCATACAGTAATTATTGTATAAAACTCTACGATGACAAAAGTCACACTCACTCAAACTGAAGACCGAAACTCCACCTTCCAGTCTAAAAGGCGAAAACCCGCAGACCGAACGCGCCGGCTGGTGGACGAGTATTTCGAACCATTCTTACTAGTTTGAGTCGTCGTGGAGAAGAGTAGCTCTAGCCAGGAGTAGCGGCGGATCCAGCCACTGATTTTAGAGAAAGTGGTCGTCGCTTGAAGTAAAACTATAGTTATAGTACTATAGTGGCTGGAAAAGTACTGCAGTAATATTGGGGGGAGGGCTGCAAAAGGGGCACTCGCTCCTCTCAAGCTCACCACAAGATGCTTTTAACAAGATAGTTACAACATGCTTTTACAGTAACAACATGCTTTTAACAAGATGCCGCGGTGTCTACCGTGGATTCGTGACATATATTTCCGTCACGGATATGACGTCATAAAATATTTACCAACACATTGCAGAGAAAGAAACGGAAAGGAAAAGTCCCGCAGCCACGCGTCGAACCAGCGCCCTCGCGCTCCCATCGTGCGACGCTAACCACTACAGAGCGAACCCTTCCCTTATATCTTAACGGCGAGCCATTCATATGCACCATGTACCGCTGGCGGTCCTCTGAACTCGCCAACTTCAGTGCATTTCCGTTATCAGTAGCGAGATGGCACGACGAGCGCGCGCCACAGAGCACCTACCAGTTTAAGCGTGCCACCCCACGCTTCGCTATAACCAGGGACTTAACGCTTTGCTGTGCGTGTGCGCCTCCGCATGGCGTGGTCAGAGTGCGTATAGATGTTCTGTAGCGTGGTGGATCGCGCGCGCGCTTATCTCGGGATTCGGACGCTTAGTACATCTTGCGCTTATACCGTAAAATTGCTTTGAAGTTATAAAGAGAGCACGAACGTCATTTCGCTCACTGCCGCAGCCGCGTTTACGGAAGGAGCGCGCTGCTCACACACGAAGTAAGAATTGGGACCGTTGTTCGAGCTCGTACTGTGTATACCTGTGCGTCTTTCTTTGTGTTTGAGCAGCGTGCTTTAAGTGTCAAACTGCGACAGTTGCTTGTCCGTGCCCGTCCTGCGCATGCTCATTTCGTGCGCGTTTTCTGCTTGATGTGCGCGCAGCAAGTTGCGAGCTGCTTGTCGTTATTCGCACGACATTGCAATTTGTTGCTGCAGCATTCATTCATCCGCTTTCATGGCGAAACAATGCACAACGCATGCTCAACTACATCTGCAGGAACACGTTTCACTTTCGTGTTTATTGGGTTCTTAAAAAGAGGGATCAACCACGTTCTTTGGTCAAACTCGCCAGACTTGCCGTTCGTGTAATAATCACAACAACCCGCCACAACCTTAACATTATGGAATTGTGCTCGCAGTGGTTACATTAACACTGTCAAGACACAGGAATTCTCGGCCACGCTCATTTATCCTAGTCGTTAATGGGTGTTGAACGACGGGCACTAGAGAGAAGGGTGGGGGTGCTGAGACACGCTTCAGGCGCGGGGGGGGGGGGGGGATCCACCAATACTTTCTACCCCTCCACCAATGGACAAAGGGTTGAACCAATGCTAGCCATTTTGTAGTCTCGAACTGCATTGTATTCTAAGATCGCCCGAAGAATAAACTTTGCAGGCTTAAAAAATCGTAGTATATTGGGGGCAAGAACTTAGCCAGAATTCTTTTTTCTTTCAGGGCGGCGGGGTACAGTTCACTTCCTAGAAAGGATTAACTAGGAAACCATAAGGCGCCATTAAAATATGGGGGCGTCACGGCGAGCCCGCGCGCGAAATTCAAAGTGGCAGCGTCCATTCCTATTCATTGGCTTTGTTTCTAGCTTACCAAGAATTTTCGTTGTTCTTCTTTGTCGTCCTCTTCCAGAACAAGGGTTCCTACTCGACCTGCGCTGCTATTCCGATACGGGCGAACTGCTTGTGCGGCAGTTCGAGTGCGGACATGGCGAGTTTTGCTGCAGCCACTGCGACAAGTTTCTAGGATGACTGCCAGTTGGGCGTGTTGGTAAAGGTTCATGATAAAACAAGCGCTAAAAATACGTGCACTCACAGAGGACACAGACAAGCGCTTACTAGCAACTAGAAAAAAAAAGCATTCTGTCTTACGTTTTCTTTTCTTAGTTCTTGACACGTGTTTGTTTCCGGTTGTGTTCCATCGATTATGGGAGTGGACTTTTGTTATATAACGTTGTTGATGATGACAGGGGAAGTTGGGAATGACGTACATGCGTGAGATGTAGTATTGTTCGCTCGAAATAAATTTTTCGGTTGCTGGTAAACGCTTGTCTGTGTCCTCTCTAAGTGTGTGTATTTTTAGCGCTTGTTTTATCATGGACAAGTTTCTATTTCATCCGTCCATGCACATCGACCTCCATATATCAACTAAATAACATCACTGCCGACACCTTATGACACGATTTTTCCCCTTACATCACCTGCCAATGTTATCGCCTGTACTATCTTAAGCCCTTCTCCCCACGACGATGTAATTAAATGTGACTTGCACAAAGCGGCCTGCCTTCCCAAAAATACATATTTTAAATAAATTGCAACTACACAGGCAATACTTATCTTTATTTTCAAAGACCCTCTTTAAAAGAAATAGACTGCCTTTTCTGAGTATGCAAAGCTAGTAAACAAATAGCACCAGAGCGAAAACCAAAACAACAAAGAGAAAAACAGAAGAGGTTAAAGAAAACACTAATGCAGCACATCAGGTGTGCAGGCCGCTTGAGCTGTCTGGATAACCGACCTGTGACGGAGCAGGAGCGAATTCACGTGGCAACATTGATGATGTTTGGTGTTCGCGTGTATCAACTCCATTGCCGGCGTTTTGCGTGTCCAAAGTAGATACCTTCTGCGAGTGGTATCCACCAGTATGTTTTTAGCCGCTTTTTTTTTTAGGGGGATTTTTTGTTCCATAATATCACTCAATTCCATTGCTTTTCGGGGCTGTGTGCTAACGCAAACGCGTAAGTAGAGCACGTTGTTTCGAATTCGAGCGAATCCATTCCTGTACGCCACAGAGCGATCATATCCAAGACAACGGTGCGCTAACTAAACCCCGCAGAGCTTGAAGTTCCAACAGAGTTCAAGCTTCTACGAGGTTTTCCACCTCGACCTCCCCGAGGTCTTCCCCCTCGACTTCCACGAGGTGTTCCCCGTCGACCACCGCGAGGTCTTCCATCAGGGCGAGAACAGCCGCTACCTCGGCGTCCTGGGTCCCCCCACCAGAGGGGCCGTGAAGCATGGCGGCATAGCAGGCCTTCTCGACTTCGACCACGTTCTGGCGCAGATCCCACGTCCTGTTGCCAGGGTCGCGGCTTGGCCACGAGCTCTGACAGGGCAGGAAGTTGCAGAAGATGAACCCGGTGTACAGGTCTCGAAGGAACCGGCACATTTCGCGCGGTGTCTCCCGGTCGCCACGTCCCAGCGCGGACACCGACATGCGCTTCAGCTCTAGGGCCATGTCTGCGACGCCGTGCAAGTAGTCGATGAGAGTGACCTCCAGCGAGAAGTAGCCGCCACCTTCAGTCGACTTGGCGGGTGACATCTCCCCGGTGGAATCAGTGCGAAGGGCTCTTTCGCTTTCCGGTTCCTGTTTCGGGAGAGAATCGCGGAAGTAGCAGTCTTAAACGAGAGACGTACGTTGCACGTTCGCTACTGAATTATCAAGCCACCCACCTTAACTATCTGACGGGGCACCAAATCGGTCTTATGCATTCACTCCTGGTTGCGGCCGTGGAGATTTTCTGACAATAATGGCAGTCAGTGTGACTCGCGTCGCATCGTAAGAACTGTTCACAACCCACACTTACAGGAGAATTACACTCTATGGGAGAATAGTTAGGCCGCAATAAGGAAGGGCCTGGTCACGTCATAGACAAGTGAGGTCGGCTCGCTTTGGTCGCATCTGATGCGGGTGCTGTGGACACCCAACACATGGCCCGTGCCACTTATGTGGAGAGGTGACTAACACCTTCCGCGTAGTCTGGGCGTGCCTATCGAACCCACCTATCCCTCCAATCCCCAACCCTAAGAGAGAGGACTGGGGGGTGCCCTGCTCAGCTGTCAGGACATGAAGGTCCAGAAGGCCCTCATTGAACGGACGCGGTCGGCGTTGCTTGCCAATGGAGCTCTATAATAGGGTTTACACCTTGTACTGTGAAAGGAGGAGGCGAATACGGCCCCAACCGAATCATCTTACCTCTCAGTAACCATTTAATTGTTATTAAATGTTTTCTCCACCACCCAGGGACCACTGCGCGCTGGTCGGGAGGGACAGCATCCGAAGAGCTTGGTTTGCCGAGGCGAAGGTTCTTGGCCAAACCCAGCGAAATCACGTGTTATTTCTTTTCTTTTTTCCTCCATGCCGCTTAGGGATATCGCCTTGAAAGCTCCACCACGAGACGCTAGGAAAACTATCGTCCACTTCTAGGGCTGTTTGGGCGTTCCCTACAAAAGTATTATATTTGCAACGGGCAGACACTCTTTAAGTGTGCAAAATGAGCCCGAAAGGTGGCGGAAGGGTTAAGAAATGGAAAGAAGACAACCAGCCATAGCCACAAGGAAATCTGTTCCAATTTCCTTGTGGCTTCGTGCTAAAACGGGTGGTTGTCCTCTTTCCCTTTCTTATACGCCTTAAGTGTGTGATAAAATCGACCAGTACCAAAGCTCCTCGCAGTGCGATAAGATAAGAACATCGGGACAAGCGATTACCTCAGCTTGCGTCTCAAAAATCAGAGCACTGTTGATCTCGTCCAACGTCACCAGGCAGTCATCTTTTAGGTAGCGAAAGAAGGACACCGCCTTCACGTACCCTTGAAGACCTGCACGAGTTTGAGAAGTATAACGTCGCGTCTCATTCGGCATGAAAAAAGAGATACCCTCAACGTTACAGCGTCACCAGAGAAGCACGTCAGATGTTAACGACGACTTCTTCGCGAGAAAGAAATCACGCAGTTGTGCCAGCCCAACTAACGTCAAGCATGACCATGTACCACGCCGTGTGGTGCACGAAATTGGGCTAGTTTTGTCCAGCTGTGAACCATCACAAGGTGCCTTGAGTACTTCATTCGATATTTTACGGGATAAGTGTTGAAACATTCAGAGACGTAAACTTACGAACTCAATTGAGACAATGCGGTGTGACGACACCTGTGTGCCGTCAAAGACACTTATGGAGAACAAGATTTTCGCTGAGCTTAGGCGCGTTCCAATCGCTTTCCTTCGGCTGTGTGCTTATAGTTTTGATTTGAGCTTCGCCATTTTCCCACCTGTGCACCTCTTCAAAGGTGGCACGGTTCCCCAGGCGCCGCCATAATACCCTGTGAACTATGGTAAAAAGGCATTACCAGCCTCCAAAAACGCACCATATATGAGGGCAGTGGCGTCAGCTTTTGTACTCAGTCCGTACCACCGCCCAGGATGGATGTGAAAAATGCCTTCAGGTAACCTGATTAACCATGGCGTGCTCTCTCGGCAAATGTTTTAATAGCCAGGATGTGCAGGATTAGCAGTCGAATGATTTGATTGATTGATTGATTGATTGATTTGTGGAGTTTAACGTCTCAAAACCACCATATGATTATGAGAGACGCCGTAGTGGAGGGCTCCGGAAATTTCGTCCACCTGGGGTTCTTTAAGGTGCGCCCATATCTGAGCACACGGGCCTACAACATTTCCGCCTCCATCGGAAATGCAGCCGGGATTTGAATCCGCGACCTGCGGGTGTAGCAGTAGCAGTCGAATGCTGTCCGCATACGTTGAGGTGGCGCTGACTATCAACTACTGGAATGAACCTAAGAAAAATCAAAGCGTATATTTCGAAGAGCAGTCACAGAGTGCGATGCCGTTAGTGCACATACCCAGGGGCTTGTAATCACACATGTGTTATGTTGTACATTTTCTGAATTGTAACCGTTTTAGATTCGTTTATATTTACGCTGATATAATAACTGTTTATGAAATGTCAGTTTATCATGATTTATTTCAAACATAATCGTCCGCATTATTAAGTCTCTGGCACTCGAAAGGTTTTTCTATATATATATATATATATATATATATATATATATATATAGTCTAGTAGATCCTCCGTGAGCAGTCACAACGTGGTTTATTTCGACGTTTCGGCCTAGAGTCTGGCCTTCATCAGGATGAAGGCCAGACTCTAGGCCGAAACGTCGAAATAAACCACGTTGTGACTGCTCACGGAGGATCTACTAGACTATATGCAACGCTACGGCCACTCAACCACCATGCCTGTCTATATATATATATATATATATATATATATATATATATATATATATATATATATATATATATATACCACTCAACCACCATGCCTGTCTATATATATATATATATATATATATATATATATATATGTCTGTCTGTCTGTCTGTCTGTCCGTCCGTCCATCCGTCGGTCCGTCCGTATGTCTGTTCGTGAGCGTGCGTATGGGAAACATTCGAAAGTATGAAACTTTCGGGATGTTTGCCTATTATTTCCGGGCGCTGCTAATAGTTTCCTTGGGGAAAGCCAACCCCATCAGCATAAATAAAGAATAGCAGCTGTTTCTTGTACGAATACAACCGATAAGCGAAGCTCCTTAAAAATAGGATGCAAACCATAGTGTTTCCTAAATATACACTAGAGGGAACTCTGGCACTAGTGTCTATATATGGAAGCTGCTACGCACGGCGCTTTAGCGAGCATGGGAATGATTAGTACATGAATTTGTCTAAGTTTTATACTTCTGGTTCCGTGTATGTGTTCGTGTTTTACGAAACAAAAATCAGCAAATGTTCAGCGGTTGCGCTTCGCCATTTTATTCTTTTAGGCTTACGTTTTCAAATCAGATCACGAAGTTCAAAAGGGTTCATTCTTTTCTCCGAAACAAAACCGAAACACGGCAATAAACGAAGCCACAAGCACGATTTGCCACCCGCAAGTACGAATATTAGGCAAATCCGTGTACTACCCATCATTCCCATGGTCGCTGAACAATCGCAGCGCCAGAGTCCCCTCTAGTTATTTTAAGGTATTATGCTGTGGCAACGTTTTTAGAACTACAGGTTTTTCCGCTCACTTTAATCCAAGTGCCAGCCTAAATAATCTGCACGCCATTGAAATAATCTGAACGCCGAGCTATTCATGTGCCAAACATTTAATCCAAGCGCCAACATATTTAATCCAAGCGCCAACTCACTCAGGCCGCGTGAAATTGATTTTAATCCAAGTGCCACCGTGTTTAATCCAATTGCCAGTGACTTTAATTCAGGTGCCAGTCAGTTTAATCCACGCACAAAAACCAGAATACGGGGCGTAAAAACGGCAGTGCAATTGAAATGCAGTTCCTACAGTTTAAGAGACATTAGTCGGAAGGTAGAATCCATCATTATTATTTGTATTCGCCGATAGTATTCTTGAAAAAAATTACTGCCGTGGTTCGCTTAAGCCATGTTTGGAGTGCTTATAATTTGCTATGCGCAAGTTTGTATAATGAGTGCTTGGCCCTGGTGAAATAAATTTAATGAAAACGAAAAAAAGAACGCAGGAACATATTACTGAATATTTTACATTGCAACGAAATTCAGTATCCGTCACTGACGCTCATAATTGGCTTTGGTACACATTACAGCATTACATGACCAGGACAGGTCATGTAATGCGAACAACACACTATGTTTATTGGAGTGCCGGAACGCACTAAGAGATTAAAAGCATGGCCGCGGGCAGTGATGGCTCAAAGACAGCTACATAATCAAGAAATTAGGAAGCCATCGCGCGCCACTCACTGTGAATTAGAGATAATTCCAATATGTTTTTTTTTTCCTATAGTGAACATAAAACGTAAACTGATCATCCTGATGTGGCAATAGAAGTTTTATTTTACATTATTGTACGCTCTTATTTTTTTATTTAAACAAAGTTAAATGTCTCCAATGATACGAACAGTATTGATTGTTTGTTTAGCTTGTTAGTTTTGTGACGTACTTGACGAATGCGATGAAACGAACACAAAGAAAACAAAATGATAATAACACGCAACTGACCTTGGGCCTAGCTTTCTTTTGTTTGAGTATGTGTTTTTTTTTTTTTGCGTGGCATTATGCCTCTCATCGCACATTGGAAGCTTGAGGATTCAGTGCAATCACTAAATTATTTGTTCTGTCCCCCCTCTCTATCTCTACACACACACACACACACACATATATATATATATATATATATATATATATATATGTGTGTGTGTGTGTGTGTGTGTGTGTGTGTGTGTGTGTGTGTGTGTGTGTGTGTGTGTGTGTGGGTGTGTGTGTGTGTGTGTGTGTGTGTGTGTGTGTGTGTGTGTGTGTGTGTGTGTGTGTGTGTGTGTGTGTGTGTGTGTGTGTGTGTGTGTGTGTGTGTGTGTGTGTGTGTGTGTGTGTGTGTGTGTGTGTGTGTGTGTGTGTGTGTGTGTGTGTGTGTGTGTGTGTGTGTGTGTGTGTGTGTGTGTGTGTGTGTGTGTGTGTGTGTGTGTGTGTGTGTGTGTGTGTGTGTGTGTGTGTGTGTGTGTGTGTGTGTGTGTGTGTGTGTGTGTGTGTGTGTGTGTGTGTGTGTGTGTGTGTGTGTGTGTGTGTGTGTGTGTGTGTGTGTGTGTACAAATACATACATATACATATACAGGAAAAAAAGTGTGATTACTACTAATTATTCTAGAAATGCAACATAGGCACAGGTTAGTGTATTTATTAAAACAGAACTGTCTCACAGGGCTCGATGACGGATGTTCACAAGTCATCTTCACGCAAAGTGGCAAACACGAAAGAGAAATTGTGCCGATCAAAGGCCGCGCAGTCCACGCGCTGTATTTGTTGCATAGAGTGGCGAGCCGCATCCAGCAGCAAAGAACGCCTGTGCTCCTTCTTCGACATGCCTTGCGGTGTCACTAAAACTAAATTACGACGTTCGCTCAGGTAGGCCTTCACGTGTGTGAATTTCTTGAAGGCTTCTTCTATAGGGTTAAAGAAAAGACTGTATGCTGGCAGGTGCTTGGTAGAGTGCATGGAGTTAGCCAAAGCCGCCTGTTCTGCCCGAGCGTGAGCAGGTGCATTATCAAAAAGGAGTACAGCTTCGGTATTTCGCTCATCACGTTCTACGCAAGCCGAAACATCACTGAGGAAGTCATTAAAAACAACCCAGTGAACTTTGACCACCACAGTCCAGTGAATAACTCCATTTGCGGACATGCATGCTATAACGTTCAAGTTCACTCCCTTTGTCGTTGTGGTCATGTGCACAGCTGGTTGTCCTTTAGCTGCCCTGCCGAAGTTCCTGGAACACAAGGTATTGAAGTTAGTCTCATCCAAATAGAAGCGCCAAACACGCGGTCCATCAGACTGCAGCCATTGGGCGTACAGCATGCGGCTGTGCTTGATACCATCACGGTTGCGATCTGTGGGCCTCTGCGTCACTAGCTTCATCGAGTAGCAGTGGGCATCCAGCAAGCGGTCGACTGTGCTTGCACTGATTGTTACTCCTGGCATTTCTTTCTCCAGGGCCTCCTTTATTTGATTCAATGAAAACGTACACTTTTCGTCGACAATTCGTCTCAAAGTACTCACGACGTCATCTGCAAACTTCCTTTTTGAACCCCTACTATGCTTTGATGTTTCTCTGTCGGTAGCGGCAATCGATCTTGCTGTTTTAATGTTGATGCCTAGAGCGTCGGCCAGTTGCTTTAAGTCACCGCCACGCCTGTAAACGTCCACAATCCTAGCCCTGTCGACCACCGATACTCTGCTGTTTTTTCGACGAGGTTCGTCGGGGTTCTTAAAGTGTGGTCCTCGTTTGCGTCCAGCCATGACTTCAAGCAAAGCTCTCTCAACGTCTGGCCCCGCCACGGTGGTCTAGTGGCTAAGGTACTCGGCTGCTGACGCGCAGGTGGCGGGTTCAAATCCCGGCTGTGGCGGCTGCATTTACGATGGAGGCGGAAATGTTGTAGGCCCGTGTACTCAGATTTGGGTGCACGTTAAAGAACCCCAGGTGGTCAAAATTTCCGGAGCCCTCCACTACGGCGTCTCTCATAATCAAATAGTGGTTTTGAGACGTTAAACCCCACAAATCAATCAATCAATCAATCAATCAATCAATCTCTTCGTCTGCAAATGTTCCCGTATGAAAACACACATTTCAAGTAAACACGCTTCAGCTACACTAAGCGTCGTCTGTTACATGAAAACCGGAGTATCTACTTTGATGCTTTTATAACAACTTATTTCCACATGAACCCGAATAAATGCAAGTTTGGTATTTTTAGGTGATTACTTCTGATTTCAAGAACGAATTAATATCATGTGTCGGTCACTGTTCTCCCTGGGCTGAGCAGACGACTGCGGTAGCCTCAGCGCATAAGTAGCCAAATGCCGTCTGCTCAGCAGACGACACGAATCTATGCATATGCGATGGTGTAGACGGTTAACCGGAATGAAGCAGTAGCAATTAAATAAAGACTAACATGGACTCTATGAGCAAATACATTTAAGTACCCATACATGCAATTACTACTGACTGTTTTTTTTTATTTTGAATCTATGATACCAAAATGTTAAGGGGAAGTCGCACTGCGCACTTCATTTCATAAGCGCTATACCAAGTATAACCGAGGGAAAAGTTCTTGCTGTGACGCCATGTTTACGTTATTCTGACATTTATACTATATATAGTGGCTAACTGTGTGTTTCTATCGCATGGATTAAACTGACTGGCACCTGAATTAAAGTCATTGGCAATTGGATTAAACACGGTGGCACTTGGATTAAACTCAATGGCACGCGGCCTGAGTGAGTTGGCACTTGGATTAAATATGTTGGCGCTTGGATTAAATATGTTGGCGCTTGGATTAAATGTTTGGCACATGGAATAAATAGCTCGGCGTTCAGATTATTTCAATGGCGTGCAGATTATTTAGGCTGGCACTCGGATTAAAGTGAGCGGGAAAACTTGTAGTTATGGAACCAGTACAGTTTCGCTGCTGTGCTCACGAGCCGGCACACGTGACTGGCGTGTAAACGCGGAGGCGACGGACATGCCGCAGCGAGTCGAGACGCGCGAAAAGTGTAGCCGCTTGAGACGCGTCCGTCGTTTCTCCGTGCTCGCTTCCTCCGTACTCCATGCATGATTTGCAAACGCGCTGAGGCGTGATGCAAGATGGAACTGAAGCGTTCGCTAGTTCTTGCGTCGGCCGTCACGGCCAGTTCAGAGGGCAGGCGTCTATAGGCAGCGTACCCTGACCTGATGGAGTTGCGTTGCTCCCACGGCCCTGTCCCAAGTTCGCCGGCGGCCGTGAGGGTCTCGCAGACAGCAGACGCGTACCCCGTGTAGCCCGGCCAAAATCCGCCCACTCCAGCAGGGACGCATGCACTGCGTTTCACCTTGACCCACCCCCTCTCAATGTTCCTCTTTTCATCCGCTAAGCTTTGTCTTCTGGCGCTGCAGTCTGACTGGAAGGCTGCGAAACTGGCCTGGTTCTAGAAAAACTGGAGTGGCGAGCTTCGACGGTGAGGCGCAGACCTCAGAAGCGTCGCTTTTGAAAAAAAAATTAGCAGCGATACATACTTAGCGATAGTCAGTCGATCACCGGCACTTACCCACAGTGAACACCCTCAGGTACTGGTAGTAGTCCTGGCCCTTCAGTTCGGCAGCCATGCCTCGGAGCTCCAAATCGCTCAGCTCGCTCAATCGGCGGTGGACCTTCTCGAGAACCTTCTCCCGCTCGTCGGCACTGGAAATAGAACGGGGGCCACTCACATTACACGGTTTTACGTATGTACCCGAAAACCACGATGCCATATTGCAAGGTTCGCCTTTGAAATGCACTGCGTGACACACGAGAAAGAAGCAGAGAACGAAAAAAAAAACCGGGCTGCTGGTATATCGGAAACAGGAAAGACCCCATAGGTCGGCAAAAACTGTCGAGTTCACTCAGACTCACTCACAGAAAATATTTTGCGCTTTGGACTCATTCCGATTCAAACACACCAAATTTTCCTTAGTTGGACTAGCTCTGATTCGCTCTCACAAAAATTTTATTCACCTGGACTACCTCGGACTCACCCGAATATTTCTCACCCGAACTCATGCACTCAGACTCAGACTCACCGCTCAAACTGAGTCTGAGTGAGAAGACTTACGGGGACGTTAGCGACAAATCGGCTTTTCTGTCCATATGATATCAATGTTTTTTCCCACCAAAATTTCACATAATTGGTGCTCTTCTTGGTACCTTTTGAAATAGTATCTTAAAACACTAGTTATGAGTGGTTACAAGCCAGTAAAAACATTTTTTTTTCGATAGAGATGAGAACAAAAGATGCATTCATCAATAACTTGTCGAACAGAATTGGCTAGGGGGAGGTCAGGGCACACCCCCCCCCCCCCGTATTGCACGCCTCCGATGAAAAACATATCAATGGTCTATGAATTATACTGCCTCGGAATACGTGTGAGCAGAAGTTAGTATAACCGTGAATCTAGGCAAGGCAGATAGTGATGCTGAAGATTAGTTGATAGGAGTTACGACACTAAATGCATCATCGTCGCAAGCACACCCAGTGGTGGCGAAATACGTACTACAAGTGAGACGCCTGCCAAATGCAGTACATATATATAGACAACAAAAGGCAGGACGACGAAGCCTTATTAACCACGTGTGTTGTACAAGAAGAAACTTCATTAAATATTTTTACTGGGCGAAGCTCCTTATGATTTAGGGCAATCTCACGTCCTTCTGGTTGCGTAGCCAGCCCAGCATATCCACAGACAGACAGACAGACAGACAGACAGACAGACAGACAGACAGACAGACAGACAGACAGACAGACAGACAGACAGACAGACAGACAGACAGACAGACAGACAGACAGACAGAGCGACAGACAGACAGAGCCAGACAGACAGACAGACAGACAGACAGACAGACAGACAGGCAGACAGACAGACAGACAGGCAGACAGGCAGACAGACCGACAGACAGACAGACAGACAGACGGACGGACAGACAGACAGAGACAGACAGACAGGCAGGCAAGCAGGCAGACAGACAGACAGACAGGCAAGCAGGCAGACAGACAGACAGACAGACAGACAGACAGACAGACAGACAGACAGACAGACAGACAGACAGACAGACAGACAGACAGACAGACAGACAGACAGACAGACAGATAGACAGACAGACAGACAGACAGACGAGCTGACGGACGGACAGACAGACGAGCTGACGGACGGACAGACAGACAGAAAAACAGACAGACAGACAGACAGAAAGAAAGAAAGAAAGAAAGAAAGAAAGAAAGAAAGAAAGAAAGAAAGAAAGAAAGGCAGACAGACAGACAGACAGACAGACAGACGAACTGACGGACGGATGGACGGACGGACAGAACAGACAGACCGACCGACCGACCGACCGACCGACAGACAGACAGACACAGATGGACGGACGGACGGACAGATAGACAGACAGTTCACCTCACTCATCATCATTCACTCGGTGATTTATGCTGTGATTTATTTTTGCACCCATGTTTTTCCGGTATTCTCTTCCTCCTTGTCTAGTGTTACGGACTGTATCGCCCAACTGTCAGTTCTTAAATTATGGCTCAGTGGGGAAGGAAAGGGCATTGATTTTGGCCATTTGGAGTACTTGAGCACTGAAATTTAAGCACAAGAGCGTCATATGCATTTTTTTTATTCTCCTCGCATTTCGCTTTCACGGTCCAAATGCGGCTGTCCTGACCGTAAATCGAACCCGAGTGCTTAAGCTCAGCAGCAAGACACGTTGACCTCTAAGCTATGTACAGGGTGTTTCAAGAAATGTGTTCAAAATGTTCAAAAGTGTTATAGTGTTAGAAAAGTGTTATAGTTGTTCGTTGTCTTATCAAGTGGTTCTTTTGCAGTCAAACCAAGAAGGCGAAAAAATCATTTAGAAAAGAAAGTTAAAATAATTAACTTTTTATATTAGTGGAATCGTTCTATAGAGTATCAACTACACCCAAACAAGAACGTTGATAGTTAATGAAGTTAGGCGGTTATGTCAAGTGGAATGAATGAAGTTCTCCACGTGATGAACCCCGCCCAAATTCAACGGCTTTCGAAGTTGAATTTGGAGTTCGTTTATCGCATAGAGCCCTGGTAAAAGTAGCCTTTAGTAATTATTGTGGCATAAAAAATTTACTAAAATTGTACAGCGAAAGCCGTTGAAATTGGTTTAATTACGCCACAATGGTTACTAAAGGTCGCTTTTTCTACGTCTCAAAGCGGGGGTGGGTTCTTCGCACAAAGAACTTTGGAAGCTCCCTTGCATTACTGAGGGAACTTCTAAACACGTAAAAAAAAACATCAGAAGAAGAAAGATACACAGAGACACACTCTTTCTTTGCGTGCCTTTCTTCTCGTGGTGTTTTTCAAGCGTCCAGAAGTTCCCTCAGCATGACGAACCAACCAGCCCAGCAACGAGTACTTCTAGGTCACTTGCATTACATTGAACTGCCCCCCACCACGGTGGTCTAGTGGCTAAGGTACTCGGCTGCTTACCCGCAGGTCGCGTGTTCAAATCCCGGCTGTGGCTGCTGCATTTCCGATGGAGGCGGAAATGTTGTAGGCCCGTGTGCTCAGAGTTGGGTGCACGTTGAAGAATCCCAAGTGGTCGAAATTTCCGGAGCCCTCCACTACGGTGTCTCTCATAATCATATGGTGGTTTTGGGACGTTAAACCCCACAAATCGATCATCAATCAATACATTGAACCGCCATTAATATCGTGGATTCCAAACGATCTTAATAATCTACAACGTACTAACCTCACGGGACAATTCAGCAGATTAACGATGCGTCTGCACTCTCTGCTGACGTCATATCCGAGCTTCAGAAGACGACGGCAGCGGGCGTTGCGTTCGTCCATTTCGACTCGGAAAGCCCGGAACATCTCCAGACTCGGCTGGGAGTCGCCGCCGGAGTCGCCGCCGGAGTCCCGCAGTCCCTCGGGCGCTTTCCGCGAACCGTTCCGTGGACCTTTCCTCCAGAACCTCCGATTCCTGTCGCGGCCTGTAACCGTTCATTTCCGCGCGTATTTGTTTAGAAGAAAAAAAAAAGTGGGGAGGGGGGGGGGGAGCTTCTGAGCAGAGCAATGATATGATCTATGGTTTCTCTTCGAAGCACTTTCGGTAGAGTACTTACTTCTGCATTTCTAAATTTTAAAAAATTTTTTTGAAGAAGAAGAATGAAGTACGCCACTTGTCGGAACATTGGCTCCAGCTACATGTTAGAAACAAAACAGTGAAAAAAAAAACCCGAGCACTGGAAAAAGGTGGACACAATTAACTGCCTACACTGACTTAAAATGGCGTCACGTGTGTGCTACGTGTGCATCATGCGTGTGCTACAAGTCTGTGCTACGAGTACAACATACATGGCAGCCTTCAACAAATAAGACCCCGTCCAAAGGATGTCCCTGACACACGCAACGAAGGAATACATTTTTGGAAGAAGTGTTTAGCGACTCAGAGTACTTGGTACTCCACTATGGCAGAGCACAAAGCAGTCACAGTCAGAAACTCATAGATGAGGTGTTTAGAAAAAAGTGTTTAACGATTCAGAGTACTTGTCACTCTACTATTGAAGAGCATAAAGGCGTAACTTGAGCATCTTGCGAGCAACAACGCTGGCGGGCAAGATCAATGAATTGTAGACCACTGTAAGTGATGCCAACCGAAGCAAAAGTTTCATCGCTAAATAGACTCTCGCAAAATTCCTTGATTGCAAGAAACAACCCTAGATTATATTTTCAATATGATTGTTCGGACTAATTGATTCTTGACAAATTATTCGGATAGTTTGGTCTGTAGCAAACTTCTTCTGAATCTTGTTAAAGTAAAAATCACAATCACCAACTTTTAACGTCTTTTCTTTTTTACAGATTACGTAGATTTCTACATATTGTGCTTGCAAATGTCACCTATTACAACTGAGACAGATTTGCACGTCAAATTCACTTTGCGCACGAATTGAAGACACAGATGTGATCATTCGGGTCAACCGCGTGTACGTGGCACCTATCTTGTAATTGCAGCTTGATAAGTGGTGGTCTATTACAGTTTTTCCCAATTCGCAGTCACTCCTGCAAAATTTTCAGTAGATGTAAGTGGGCGCTCCATTACCGGCTGGCAGCTGCGCCTTTCCTCTGCGCTTTCGACCAGCTCCCCGTTCGGCCAAATCTATTCTTCCCTTTTTCGCTCTTGTGCAGACGGCATGACGGCCCGAACAGTTATGTCTCCCCGCATCGCCCCGTTTCCGCAATATTGAACCCGTGCCACCTTACCGAATCTTCAGTGCTACTTTCGCTCCGTTCGATATTATTCCTGGTTATTTCACATGGAGACATTGCTCGGTGAAGGTACGCGGGGAGCGTAATCTTAACACGTGTCACAGGTGCACCACAAGACAAAATTTAGCTTTGTATCACAGGGCAGCGATCACTCAGAGAGCTCGTGATATGCGCGTGCTAAACTCTAACGACTACTCGGTTTAATTTCCCCAGTATTCAAACTATAGTAATTTCGCGTTACAAAAGTGCTATCCCTTTTACTAAGTCCGTCAGACCACCAAGCCTGTCTTTTAAAAAAAAATTCACAGCTTATCCCCGAGAAGAATGATGACGAGTGGGGTGAAGCGGACGGACGCACGGACGGACGGACGGACGCACGAACGCTTCGCCCCAGTCATCATCATTAAGTCCATGGATATGCTGCGACACCGTTTTTATTGACATGCAATGCAATGCAAATGGCTACTATGAATACGACTACTATGACGACACAGGACATAGGACCCACGACTTGAGGGGCTTCGCCCCTAAAAAAACATGAAATAGCCTAAACTGTGCCAATAAAAAGTTTTAAACGATTTCGAGTACTCGGTACTCACCTATGCAAGGAAGAGCAGTGAGCCATCCCTGGTAACACCATAAACATGCACATTACAACCTTTCTAGTTGATAGAGCGTGATCACTTAGTAATCCATTTGAGCATGCCCCATAATATCACATTTCCAGACCCTTAAATATCCCTATATTCAACAAAACACAGCGCTAAATCCCTTACGGATGTTTAAAATTTCTGTGTTTAGAAAAAGTGGGCAACGATTTAGAGCACCATTTAGAGCACCATGGAAGAGCATAAGACCGTCCCGTGGGCCTCACACTTGATAAGGTCCCGTTGCCGAAAATTACGCTATGAACGAGTTCACGACGAGATAGCGTTACAACAGCGTTCAACTACAACTGCGCTGTCATGAAGCGTTTTTTTTTGTTTAGAAAAACTGGTTAACGATTTAGAGTACTTGGTACTCTATCTACTCTGGGTGAGCACAATGCCTTCACATGGTGGAAATCGCCTGAAACCTGGATATTAGTTCTGTGTGTTTAGAAAAATTGGTTAACAATTTAGAGCACTTGGTACTCTACTATGGGAGACCTTAAAGCCGTCCCGTGGAACTTTTGACATAGGGTTCTGTTTGTTTAGAAATAATGTTAACGATTCCGAGTAATAGGTACTCTAATATGGGAGAGCAGAGAGCCGTCCCTTCACCCTTCCCGCCAGGAGACACCTCGCAAACAGGGTTCTGTGTTTGTTTATTTCCACAAACGTCAATAACACTCAACAGAACATTTCCTTCTTAGACATACTCTAACGATGATGACAAAACAGACGTCATTTACATGAACATGGATATGAGATGACGTTGAAAGAACATGTACATTCGATGGTTCACACAAACACAACCACAAAAAATACTTCAAGGTAAACAAGAGACACAAATAAAACATAAATATGTACATTTTGCATATTTGCATGTTGGCATATGCCATTTCTGCCGGCGCATCGACAGATCAGCCTGCCAATACCAGGCCGGCCGAAAGACAAGTTTCACTCGTCCGTCATAGACCGACACAAAAGGGCAAGACCAGTGCCGAAGAAATTCCTCTTCACCGAGGAAGAAGAGCTCCTCCGACAAAACAGACAGCAACTCCGAGTACAATCGTTCTAGGATCGGGTAGAGCACGCGGCGGCGGCGGCCCGCTGCAACCGCCTCGCAGCGGTTGCGCCAGAGGCAGAAACAGCCGGCAACAATGAGAAGACAAGCGAAGCGGCCTCGCGAACAACGCCCAGAAGCGAAGCGATTTACTCTGAGGCAGTGAAATCCGGCATGTACGGCTCTCCAATAAACGCGAGCAATGGCACAATGCCTCAGAAAATGCTGATTTGTTTCTCGAAGGGAGCAGTTCGGACATGTACCTGACAGGACTATTCTCCACCTTTCGAGGCGGTCGAGAGTGGGAAGCACACCCCATCCCAGGCGCCACATGAAGTCCCGGAGGTGTCCAGGCAGAAAAGAAGCCATTAAGGTGCTCCAAGACACCCGTCTAGATCGAGCACGGCGGACTGACGGGACCAACGGAAGCAACAAAGCAGCAGTTGTCTCAACTATGTGGTTGTTCAAAACATCTATGCCAGGACAGCTCGACTTGACATGGCGGAAAAATGCAACAGTTGTTGCATAAAACGCACAAAGTGTTATTGACTGCGGCCCCCTGTTAAGTTGCAAATTAGGCATCAAATGCCGAAGGTGAGTACCCTGAAAGTAATATGCAAGTGTTCGTGTGGGAGATTCCTCCACTTGCACTAGGCGCAAAAGGAAGCGCAGTGCCAGCAGCCGACAGCGTATGGACACTGAAGAGAAAGCAAAGCCTCTCTGAGAACGCTGCTGTAGACTGTAGTGATCGCACGATATGTAAAGATGATTGCACGACGTGAGAAAGGTACCAAATGCGACCGCAAAATACAGTCTGCGCTATAGGTACCTCCGCTCAAGAAGAGGGAAGTCAAAATCCCGTGCATCCTGAATTTTCAGTCTTACTTCTTCGAGAGCGTTTAACCAAACAGATTCGCAAATGCCGTAGTGGTTGTATAAAATACCTAAAATACGAAGGGACGCGGCCGGTTGAATGGGAAAACCGGCGCTAAGCCTGAAGTTTGGAGAGCCAATGAAGAAATACCGGGATTTGGAGATGTTCAACGCTGCACCTGAAATGTCGCCATACTGGGAAAATACACGCAGGCTGCGTGAAAGGCTATCTTCATCTGAAAGGTACAAGGTTATATCATCAGCGAAAGCTGTGACTTTCACGACACCGCTACCAGGAAGCGCAAGACCCCGGACACGTGAATCCGCGTCAAGATCACGCAAGTATGGCTCAAGGCTGAGGAAAAATAGCACAGGAGACCCTGACGGACCCCACGTGTTATGTAAAAAGCGGCACTTTCCTAGCCATCCAGAACTAGTGTGCTTTTCAGACCAGTGTACGTATTTTTAATCAGTTCCACAAACGAATGAGAAAAGCCGAAGGCTGTGAGCACATTGAGGATATACGCGTGCTCTAGTAGGTCAAACGCTTTTTCCTGGTCCAAAGACACAGGGATACCACGCGCAGATCGCAACACAGTATACGCTATGATATCCCGTGTGGTATATGACAAGCTGTGTATTTCTCGTCCAAGCACTGATGAAGTCTGGTGATGACCTACCAGGGTGTTCAACAGACCCCTCAAACGTTGAACGGCTACCGCGGCGAATATCTTATAGTCAACGTTGAGGAGCGTGATAGGCCTCCAATCTTCAGGATTAACAGAGGAAGCATCACCCTTTGGAATAAGCACAATGCGTCCATCTCGAAAACTTGATGGAAAGACAGCGTCCTCGTAGCATCGCTGGATTACCGCGGTAAAGGTAGCACCAATCTCATCCCAAAATGTCAAGTAAAACTCAACAGGAAAACCGTCTGGCCCTGGGGCCGTTCCACGTTTCATAGATTTCAGTGCCGCCTTTACCTCTTCAGCCGACGGAGGGATGTGCAGGCAATCCGCAGCTTCTTGAGTAATGCGGGGCAAATTTCTAAGCATTGGCGGTGTTTCATCACAGTTAGTCCGCATGGCCGAACACGACATTGCTTCAAACTGCGCCAAGAAAACAGATCGATCAGGCGTCGGAAGCCGCTGCGCAGGTGGTATTTGTGCTGTCATAGAGACAGATGGCTCTGATTGCTCAAAAAACGTCTCGCGTAGCGCAGCACCTCGGAATGTGCACATGGGTTGTGTCTACAGCGCCATGCTACTGCCGCCAGGGACGAAGCAGCAGTCAAGCGTTGAAAGCGTTCACGCAGTTCACGCTGCCGCGCTCGCATCAGAGGAGAAGGCGTCTCGGCGCGCAAAGCAATGCGTAACTTCATCGCAGTATCAGCAAGCTCTTCAGAAACGCGTCGACGAAGCGAACGCCTCTCTACTGCGCAGCGCAGGCGCCACTGTGTTTAAAGCGCATCCCAATCTTCTGGACCAGACGTCGTGAGCGACACACGTATTGCGCGTGACAAATCTGATCTTGAGCGCGCGTCCTGCAGGACGCGAACATCAAGACGCCATGGCTTTCCCGAAAAATAAAATGGAACTTCGAGCTTCAAGACAATAGGCCGAAGATCAGATACATACACAGGAGAAGGTGGGAGGGACGAAACGCATAAATCGGAGACAAACGCCTCTAACGCTCGTGGGATATAAGTCCGGTCGAGCCTGCTGGAGGATCGTCCACGTCGTGTCCAAATAAAGGTATTTCCGTGCACTACATTGTGCGCGTCTAGTAATGAAAAGTGATGGACAAGGCGACGCAGCTCGCGTGAATTCCAAGCAGACCGGCCCCAGCCAGGACCTTGTACATCGGTTCGCGTATTTAGAACGCACTTGAAGTCGCCAATCAGAATGACATCACGACCATCAAGAAAAACACATCCAGGTCTCTAAAAAGGGGGTTAGACTGTCCAGCTTGCGCTGGCCCATACACACACAGTATCCTTAATCTGAAATAAAAGTAGCTACAGTCTAAAGCCAAAACCCTGCCCACGCCATCGTAAAAAGCATGATGATCCCGTAATAGAGCTCGAATAAAAATAATAATACCTACTCCCGTAAAACGAGATGTAGCAAAAGAGAAATAACAATCTAGGTTGAACTTTCGTTTAAAAGCAAGCACGTCGGATAGCGAGAAGAAATTTGTTTCCTGGAGGCACAAAACATCACAATTTGCAGCGCGGGCGACACTAATCACTTCAGCCTGCTTTGCCGGACTGCGAGAACCCTGAACGTTCAATGAAATAATATGCAGTGTAGTAGCCATATTAAAAAGTAAAGACTAACCTGGACGCATAGTTCTAGACGGTGTCCTGGAAAGTGTCCAAGGGACACTTGCTCAACCAAATTACAACGCACTGTTCGACCCTCCAGAAGAGGGTCGAGGTTTTTTGGACCGTTGGGATTTACCACGAGCATCACTGCGTTCATCGGAGCAAGAGCTGGAAGTGTGCCCTCGCTTTGTTTCACGTGGAGCTCCCATTTCGACGTCAAAATCGGCAAGGCTAGACAGTCCGATGCTGCTATCCAGTCCCAGGCTGAAGCCGTCTTCCGAAGACGTGTCCTGAGGAGGTAGGGACTGAGCCGCCGGCAAGCTTGGATCCACATCCTTAATGCTGGCAGCACTGTCCACGTCTCGGCCGTCCGGTGTAGGCACCCTTTGTGTGGGCGATTTTTTACGTGTACGACGCGGTGTCGAAATGGTCGGAGCGGCCGCAACAGAAGAGTCTGTGGTATTTTCGCCACTGTTTTCCGAAATAACAGTGCTCGTAGGGTCAACAACAGCAGCAGCCTGAGAACTCGGGTCATTTGCGCACTGAACATCAAGTGGCGTCAAAGAAGAGACGCCGACGCCGTTTTCAGGGCAGTGCGTTGCGTCTTTCGAAGCGCACGGCTCCTGCACCAGCGCGGAGGCCGACGCGCCAAGCGTCGCATCGACAATCGCGCTTTCGTTGTGCACTTCGTTTGAAGGAACTTGTAGGGGTGAGGCCAGCACAGCGTCGGTGACCTCCTCTGCGTCCCCCGAGTCGGTAGTTGGTTCCGTTGCCGGTGTCAGTGGTGGAAAGGCACCAGCGGCAGCGTCTAAGTAAAGCGGCGGACAGGGCAAACCACAGTTGGGTGGCCGTCCCCGCAGCGTCGACACGGGCGGTCACATCCTTCACTAACGTGACCGTGCACACCACAGCGACCACAATACGGTGTTGTGCACTGGGCTCGTAGATGGTCCCCTGAGCCGCATCTTCGACAAACACGCTGGAGTCCACGGTAGTCAAACGTAGCACGGTGACCGGAGATGCGCAGGTAGTTCGGCACAGGATTAGCGGCGTTCATCTCCATTCGAACATACCGCGTTCCAGTGAGTACGACACGTCGCCCGCTCATCAAACCACTGGTGACAGTGAGCACCTTGCCATATGGGGATAACGCTTGGACGAGAGCTTCGTTTGAGACGAACGATGGCAGGAACAGGCAGGCGACGTTGGTCACTTGTGGGCCAACGGGAACGACTTGAACACGCTCGCAGTCAATCACCAGGCAGCCAGCATTGACGATTAGAGACATAGAGGTCATGCTCTTCACGGTGACCTGGAAGTTTCTAGCTCCCTGATGCTGCACGCAGTATACCTCTGAGAGGCCGACTATTGAGGCCGTCGCATCAACGACGGTCTCGGCACTAGTCCCCGTAGGGACAACAACGTCGAAGACAAGCGCCTTCGAAGGCGTCCAAGACGCGACGGGCACCATGACTCGTACTGACGGACGCCCCTGACGTAGAACGATGAGCGACGTCCTTAGCACTTGCAAACCGGGCGAAGCTCTTTATAGCGGCACCCGTTCGTCTTTTGTGTTTAGAAAATATGGGTAACGATTTAGAGTACTGGGTACTCTACTATGCGAATCTATGAGCTCGACGTTTATGGTATTGCGTTGTCGCCCGTCTTTAGAGAAATTCCAGGAATTGACATCGCCGAGTCAACTCTTCACCACGTCGCAACAATATGTTGGCGCAGATGGTACTGGATATGTGCCCTCGTGATAAATGTTACCTTAGTAAGCTGAAAAGTCTGGGTAACGGAGATCCAGTCATCGACACTCATTCCGATGGCTTACTTTGATCGGTGACAACGGTCTGTTACCTTAAAATTAAACTAGCCTTTATATCAACGGAGCGAAACCCCCTAATCTCTAAGCGGGCACCACATGGAAATGAAACATGTTTCCGAGAGAAACGAAGGGGCAAACCGCGGTGACTACCTTTGCCGGTACTACGCTGCTGGAGCTTCGACTGCGGAATTATTTCAAGTCCCCCACCACGATTCGATTTATCGATACTCGCGGACAACTTTTCTTGGCAATGAAGGGGAAGCTACTATGAGGCGAAGCTTCTGCCCATGTAGTTCTACACGAAGTAGTGCGGTTCGAAGCGGGTATCGTAACGCTAGGAAGAGTGACGGGGACTCGTCATAAGCGTTTGATGTAGACGCACACACCGCTTATAGCGTTTGAGGCACAAGTAAAAAGCGGGAATTTCTCGCGCAACCAGAAACGCGTGGTAACAACGTGTTAAGGTAAATAAGTACAACTGGAGTACAACTGCCCTACTAGTGTGTGCTGCATCCTGGGCTAAATAGCCTCGCGTATAAAATAAAACAAGTGTTTTTTTTGTATTTCAGGTCATAATACGGACTCAATGGACCTTTTTCACGGGCGCCTTCTGCGCATGAGCACAGGAAACACTTCAACGGCAGCACCCCGAAACAAATTTGGGTGGCTCGTGGCCTCCGAAACCTGTCGGCACACCATCTCGGAGGCGATAGGTGCAAGTGAACGCGCAAGCTGAGACGCTGTCGCGTTGACAAGAAAGCCACCAAATTCGGTTTTGACTCTCGCCGCCAAGGGCGCTGTACCTGTCGTGTAAAAGATCAACTGTGGAACTATACTTTCACTAGCATCAGGATGCAGGCGATTCGGTTCGTGTACAGCTTTCGGTTCATTGCCACGAAACGTTGTCCGCGAGTACACACGTCCACCGAACAAAATGTGTTCAAAAATGCATGAAATTCAGTTACTTACCTCCATTATTGCGGCCTGTGTTAGCTGGCTTCGTAGGAACAGTCATGGCGAAGCGAGCTGACAGAACAGAAACCGTGCGCGTGCGCAGAACACCGGCGAACGTGGCCCCGCGTGCTTCGCGAGGAAACGGCGTCAAGGAGGCGGATATGAATCGATGGTGATGATAACACTCAACTATGAGATGCACCGACCAAGGAGGTTTATTTTAAAAAAATTGCTGGAGTGGAAGCTCCCGCAGTACTTTCATAGCAGTATAGTGAAGCCAGCTTTTGCCCTCCAAAGATCTCAGAAACATTCTATTTTCTGGTAGTGCACACTTAGACAATAACCCCCGTAGTCAAAAACGCTCCTCGACTCGACTTTCACCCTTCACTTGAGAGAGTTGAGCAGTGTGCCGCAGCTTGGCTGAAAATGACGCTGCGCTGCTCGAGAATCGCACAAAGCTATCACTGATATGCAGTGACTTACCGTGCCTAGAGAGGGCGCTTCAATCGGCTTTCTCAAGTGAACGTGAAGCGTTGAGTGGAGGGACGTTCTAGAATACGGGGGTAAGTGACTTTGATTTGTTAGTCTAAAGGCTACGTTAAATATGAATTGAAAGGTACTTGTTACCGAAGAAATACTCCACAGAGACTAGTATCGGTGTCTTAATCTTCAATAAAATTTGCCTTTAATTTGAGGCTTACAAAAGAAAACTAGTAACACAAGAACGCACTTTGAGCACTATCTGACCCGAAAAAGACATGCCACTTAATATCGTTGGGCGTGCGAGGAAAACGCTTTTTATTATTCACCGAACGCAAAGAACCATTATGCTCCTAGTAAGATCGCTGCCACAGCCACCGTCTTGCAGTTCGCATGGCTTGACTCGTGGCCAAAAATTTCCACTCCAGCATTTTTTTAAACCTCCTTTACACCGAATACCATACCCTCCTATACCGCTAGTCAGGGGTGCAGCTAGGGGTTCGCAAACCAGGCCCGTGCCCCCCCCCCCAGCGCCCCCCCCCCCCAAAAAAAAAATTCCTGGGTACGCGCCTGCCACCAATATGTAGTTCTCTTTAAAAAAATAGTCATAGCAGGCTAACTACTGTCCGTCAAGTAAATGGTATACCTTAAAGGGCCACTCTAAAGAGCCAGACGATTTTCGCGTATTAGTAAAGTACAATTTCACAATCCGTGAAAACAGCACTCATGCCGCGACATGAGGCTTCCTAAGCGAGAAACATGAGGGAAAAAAATGCCGGTGGAAACGCTACGGAGAAATTCCAGCAACTGAATAGCACGATGCACTCAATCTTTAGGGGCGAAGCTCCTTATAGCGTGGCTTGTGCGTCCCCTGTTGTCGTAGTGCGTAACCAGAGGTACATACACGCATACCAGTGGAACAGGTCCGCCCTCGGGCACATATCCGCATGTCCACGTGTTACGAAAAACGTAGCACGGCGTCGTTATCCCGCTCTCGGTGTTAACAAAGCGCTGACAGCAAAAATGTGGTACACACTCTCGTTTAGTCCTTCGATTGTCCGCTGAATGGCGGTACTTGTACATGATGAATATACGACAAAAAGAAGCGAGATGGCGATACCTGAAGAGTTCACTAGATGGACACGGACGGACGCACGGACGGATTGATGGACGCTTTGCCCCACTCATCATTCATTCCGTGGATATGCTGTAATTTTTTATGTCATCTACACTGGATTCTACGTAGTTTCTAATCAACGAAAGGGAAGTACATCGTCGTCCATGGGTGCGATGGAGATAGCATACTAAGTTTCGGAAAATTTCATCGAGCCGATGTCGCGAAAATCGAAAGAATACGCTTTGAAATGTCGTACGTCATGCACGGATATTTCGGCGCGAAATTTTAAAACGAAATCTGAACCTTGATTTTTTTCCCGCTAATAGTGCGACATACGGCATGACAGTTTTCAGAATGCCGTTTATCAGTCTAAACTAAGTCATTGTTCCAATTTGGTGTCCCTTTAAGTGCAGCTCTTGACGTTGCAGATTAAGACTCTCTTTTTTTTTCTCAAGCGGTGCTTCGCTTCACCTTCTTCTATCTTGGCAATGACCATCTTTGATACTGTCGCTTCCGGTAGTGTACTTGCGCAAAATGCAAGTGACGTCACGGCCTATGTCTTATTTCACCAACACTCCGTTGTCTTCGTGGACGGCGCACGAACCTGCGCACGCAAGTTAGAGGTTCTTCCTGTATTTTGTCAGTATACTGACTACAAATCGTGCGGCAGGCAGAATCGTTCAAACAAGCAAGCATGTACCCCTGTAAAGAACCTTAACCTTAAAGACGAGTTCGGGGTTTCAAAGACGTCAATGGCAAACACCAAATCACTTTTGGCTGATAAAGTGTTCTTTGAGAACATTATTGTCAATAATGTCACTAAATTATTATATCACTATAATGTGTCATTACAATAATTATAATAATAATATCTGAGGTTTAACGTCCCAAAACCACCATATGGTTATGAGAGACGCCATAGTGGAGGCCTCCGGAGGGTCGACCACCTGGCGTTTTTTAAAGGGCCCGTAAAGAACTTTTTTTGAGTAACCATGGAATTAATTCACTGCAAAAGCGTATTGCCTCACAAAATAAATGCCGCAAACATTTTAAGAATACGTTCAGTACGAGCGGAGTTACAAAGATTTGTCACACGTTGCAATCGCATTCTTTCTTCTCTCGTCCTGACGAAAGCGCTCGAAGCTAAGCAGGGAGGGATGGGAGGGGCAAACGAAAAGAAACGTCACGCGTGCCTTGGGACCTTGAGCACTTTTTCTTTTTTTTTTTCTCGAATACGCGGCTTCTTATAATCGCGTGCGCACGCATGGACAAGTGACGGCCTCCCGCGGCGATCTCTGTAACGACACAGCGCGCCATGTTCAAATTAGCCAATGGCTTATAATTGGGCTTACTGCGAGTGATTTTGGGGCTTATTCCGTGATAAGTCGAGAGAAGAGAAAGCAATTTTTGACTGACTGATATTTTATTGTGAATTCCAGGCCGCGTGCTGCGCTATAATATTTGGTTCGCGTATTGTTGGGAGCTTCTACTACCAATCGGCAGCGTTTTCTGACCATGCTCAAAAAGTGTTGCACAGCCCTTTTAACGTCCACCCAAATCTGAGCACACGGGACTGCAGCATTTTCACCTCCATCGAAAATGCAAACGCCGATGTAGGGATTCGATCCCGCGATCTGCGGGTCAGCATTCAAGAGCCTTAACTACTAGGCATGGAAAGAAGAGTGGACGGATGAATAGATTGATCGATCGATTGATTGATTTGTTGATTAGTAGGCGAGTGGGTGGGTGAGTAGGTGGGTAGATGGACGGACGGATGGATGGATAAATGGACGGGAAGGTTGGTGGAAAAGCTTTATTGATCATCCTGCAGATGAACCACCCTGGTTCATGTCTCCCATGTAAGGACGTCCAGGCGTTGCCTGTTCGCCGCTTTACGGGACTGCTGGACAACCCATAGAGGAGTTTGGCTAACTAGCTTGGAGCTGCAAAGGTTGCTTCCCGCAGTGCCAAGAAACCATCGGAACCAGTACGTACCTTTGATGTTAGCCTCTCATTCACCGATCAAAGACAGAGAAATTAATTATTTTCGATGTTGTAGTCTTAGTTTATTGCAATACCCATCATTATAATATTTTATTTATTTCTTTATGTCTCAACATTTTCAAATGGCCCAGTGGCTTTTCAAATTTTCAACTACTTCTTCTTGGCCAACTGTTTTTGAAGAAAAAACAAACAAATAAGTGATCCTCCCTGATCAGCCTGGCACTCCAATCCGGGAGTTTTTTTTGTTAGTCAGTGTAGTGCTGTCGACGTCCGCACTGCGAGTATAACTTCTCGCGCGCGTGTCGGGAACGGTGACCTCCCAGTTTGAAATGAGAGCCACAGTTTGTTTGCTTGCCTGCTTGCTTAATTTTATGCGAGAACGTAGATCACGATTTTAAACATTAACAATATCTACCGAAAGTATCTGAGCGACTATGTGGTGTTTTTGACCGTTATATTGAAAACAAAAATGTCGCTGTTGTGTAGCGATTGGTGTCGCTGTGAATCTTGTGCTAAATCTAAACGCAGTTACACTAGGTACTGTTAAACCTGAAAAAGGGCGTAGCCCCCCCCCCCTCCCCGGAGATTCCCGATCCCGATGCTTTAAAAATGATCTCTCGTCGGAGTTTATAACACCAGCGCTGCCGGGCCAGAGAAGCAATCACGTGTTGGTCTAGGTGGTGGCGCCATCTCTTGAGCGGTGCAGACGTCAGCCGGACTTTCTCGGAGATTTTCGAGAAGTTGTATGTTTATTATAGCGATCACTGTAGTTTTCCAAATTATTTGAGACCCTGTTCGTTTATGTTAAGCAAGTTTTGAGCATTGCTAGCCTTGTTTAAAATATGTACTGACCGCTCAACTTTGAGCGTGACCTGCATGGACAAGCCAGCTCCCTAAATTGCACTTACAAAAGAAAACGGCAGCGACTCCAGCATCGCATAGCCCCAAACACTTTTAATCAGCCCATCTGTTTATTAGTGCGCTTCAACAAAATTTTCAATTCAACTGGTCCAACTTGCCATCTTGCTACTCTTAATCAGGTCCCACTTGAAGTGCTAAATATAGCCTGGAAACCAAATATTTTCCTTATTGTTTCTTAGATATAGCCAGCATAACTTAGCCCAAAGGTGTGTACAGTCCGATAGAGATGTAGATATGCGGTCTAGTTGGTTTAAAGTCACGCCCACTTATTTCTTTTGTTGACCATAATTGGCATTTTGGAGCAGTAAAAACTCCATTGCACATACTTAGATCCAAGTTCAGAGCAGTCGAGTTGTTCGCTTTCATGGAGCACGAGGAAATCAAGACAACTGCTCTGACCGCCGAGCGGGCGAGAACCAACTCACTGAAGGTGAAGCAAACTTTATTTTGTCCTGTATCGAACCAGATCAGACACATCCCGAATAGTAACGGTGCCCCGAATGGTGGTCTGCCGCAGTTTTTCGCCACGCCCACGTCGGTACGGAAGACCATGGCCCTCCGCGAGTTCGCCGGCTCCCTGGACTGCCAAGAGCTGGACTAAGAGCTCAGAGCTATTAAGGGCCCTCTTCCAGTCCTGTTCTGTGCTGTACTCGGCGCTACGTAACGCTGGGCACTGCCAGAGCACGTGAGCGAGTGTGAAATCATCTGCCCCACATCTAGGGCAGCAAGGGTTTATGCCTTCAGCAAAGTGACTGAACGTGCTACGAGATGGAAACGAGCCTGCCTACAGCATCCGAAGAGCCGACGACTACGGTCGAATGAGCTTTGCTATACTATAGCTGGTCTACAAGTTGACAAGCAAAGCGGAACGCATTGTGGTTTTGAATGAGTTGTTTAATATTACCCCCATGTTTGGTGGGATGAAGTACATTTCGTGTTTCCAAGGGTAAAATAAAGACATCTACGTATGAGACGAAGATTCGTTCAATAAGGGAACACGAGCGCCTTTGACCCTGTATCCGTTTGTTGTATAACGCGAGGTCGGTGACAAGACGTAGGTTTAAAATCACTAAAACGTACTGTACATAAAACAAAGTATCTTAACTACTAAACATCGCGCTTTCTCGCATCCCATACTGCGTATGAATCTACGCGGGAGTACGGTCATGTGATCAGATTGGTCACAGCCTTGACGTCAGTTCTTAGCAGCAATGCGCTGACACGTATGTAGCGAATGGTGTGGGAAATCGGCACGGTGTTCTTCGTGACTTTGCCGATTGTCTTTTTTTTTCTATGTGGGCCAAGCCTAAAGAAGCTTCACTGTGCCGTATGATGATAGAGAGCCTAATAGTAGGCCGAGTCCCAGGAAGACAGCTGCCATAGAGCCCGCCATTTCCTGGTTTTCCGTCGACGTGGACCTTAAAAAGAAAAGAAGTGGAAGAAAAATAAGAACAGAGTAGTTTGCCATACGTGGTTACAACCAAAGAATAAACAAAGGGAGGGAGGAGAGGACAGCTTCATTTCGCAAACGCAAGGAGATACCCCCGATCGGCACCTCCTCTATTTTTAGATTTCGGATGCGCTGCCCCGATTCGTGAGGCGAAAGATAGAGGATTCACTGGTGAGGTTCACCCTTGCCCAACCTTGCTCGTCTATCATTGGTTAACCCTTCCACTAAGCCTCACACTCCACCATCTTTGCGCGCCTTTCAATAGTTTACCGTACCACTGAGCCTCACCTTACCGCGAGCCTCTCCACCGTACCGCGAGCCTCTCCACCGTACCGCGAGCCTATCCTTGCACGGCGAAATCCTGTATCTTCCTCTATTTTTAGATTGCAGAGGCGCTGCCCCGATTTGTGAGGACAAAATGTAAAAAAATGCCCTGGCGGGGCTCACCATCACCTAACTTCATGCACCTATCATTGGTTAGCTCTTTCCACCAAGCCTCACACTACACCGTATTTGCGCGGCCCGCAATAGTTCACCGTACCGCTGAGCCTCACTCTCACCTCTGCTTGCACGTCGCAATCCTTTCCCTTACCGAGTCACGAGAGCAAGACCCGCTTGGTGGATTCCTTGCTGAACGGTTGTATCGGCCGAGATCTCCTGACGTCATGTAGCTCTCGCCGATCAGTGCCACGTCCTCGGACTCCTTCGACCATGTCCCCCATCTCACCTGTATTTTTTTTTCTACATTGGTGCACGGCGAGTGCTCGGTCTTCTACATCTTTCTCCTTCTACTATTTTTTTTATCCCCTTACTCCATCCCATACAAGGAGCATAGCCGCACCGTCTACAAGGCAGGCAGAAGTTAGCTCTTTTTTGCTTCCCTTCAAGAACCACTCCGGGTGCACTTGCCGGCGAGCCCTCACTGCCTCTGGGTCTGCTTGTCTGCGCCGCTGCAGATTCGCAACCGCGCAGCTCTGTATCCGCCTGTGTGCGTTGCCGTGCTACAGCGAGCCCTCAGATACGCATGCAGTTTTGCCGCCTTGCCTTCATTTCCTTCGCTGTCGAAGAGAGAGAGAGAGAGATCAGGCGCCTAGAGGATGGATGAATGGATGGACGCTATGAGTATCTTCTTCATAACAGGGCGGTGACATGTGTGCCAACAGGCTCGCAAGAAAAAAAGAAAAAAAAAAACATTTTATGTTAGCCTAATGCCTTATCTGCTTCGATAAAATCGATGTTTTTATAACAAAGAAAATATAAATTTGTGTTCCATCTCTCTGCCTCTTCAGGCAGAATGCCCTCGTTTTCCCACGATTTCCTTCATGTTTACTTTTCTGCCATGAATACTCTAACCGTCTCGTACTTGCTTCTATAGCGGACGTGTTCGGCTTTCCATGTTTGTCCCTATAAAACCCACAGTTCCATGTAGGCTTGTACCCGCATGTATACCTGGGTGGATATCGCCGCATTCAATCAGAACATGTCCCACCGTTTCCTTAACTCCCCCACAGCATGTACATTGTTCTTCTTCTTTATTGAATGTCGCTTTATGACTACGCACTCTAACGCAACCCGACCTCAACAGTAAACCACTTCGCCTTGAATTGTTATAAAACTTCTCCCTCCTTATTTCGTTTTTGCCCTTTCTGTAGTTACTGCAGGGCCGGCTGCTTTTCCGTCGCTGTCTTGCGATAAGTCCTCTCCGCCTCTCTGACTTTTTCGCTTGATGCTCCTTGTTGCCGTGTCACCCACACAGCCAGCCAAATTTTTACTAGTGAGCCTCCTAGTTCATTTTTTCCCCTTTGTGTCCACGCTCCTCCCATACAAAGTACTTGAACACTTTCCCTGTCCATCTACTCTCCTTCATTTTGCTAAGCATCTCTTCAAATCTCATTTTTGCTCTGAGCTTCCCTTACTTCAAATCCTGTCCATCCCATATCCCCCTTTAGAGCCTCATTCGTCGTCTTCCGGTGAGCGCCCGACGCGAGGTGACCCACAGTCCTTTGATAGACATCCATTCCTAATTGCACTTTTGACTTCATGCACACCACTGAGTTTCCCAGTGTAAGCCCTGGAACCATTACGGCTTTCTACAGACCTCGAGGCGCTTCGTACCGATTGTATCACCATACGATCTGTGCTTCATTATTGCAGCATTCCTCTTTCTCTTTGCTGCCGATGTTTTCTCATGTACCCCCATATATCTATCTCCCTCATTAACACATATATACTCCTAGGTACTTGTACTCGCATACCCTCGGTATTTCTTGGCCCTGCATTGAGACCGCCTGCTCTTTGTGATCATTGAATACTATCAATCCACATTCTGTTGCACTAAAGTCCTAGAGCGTCGCCTTCCCTTCCGCATATATCTGCCAGCCGCTGTGTAACGTCGTGACTTTCCGCAAAAAAAAAGGACAATATCTTCTGCATAGAATAGAGGTGGAAGCTTCTGCTCGACCACAGCGACAGCCTGTTTGTGTGACATATTAAACCCATTGTTGCTACCTTCAAGCGTTTTTTTTTTTTCCACGTTCACCATGTACAGCATGAATAACAGAGGGGACAAAGGACGTCCCTGTCTCAGCCCTTCGTTATTTTCAGCGCTGTCGTTGCGACTTATTCCTTCTCAGTCTATGCAAACTGTATTTTTTTTTTTGGTATAGTTCTATCAAAATCTGTATACAGTCGTCACCTATGCCCACTTCTTTGAATATATCCCACAAAATTTCCTGACTAACGTTGTCATACGCCACAGTGGTGTCTAGATAAGCTAATTATAAGGGCCTGTTTTTTTTTTCATTTCACATATTTCTATACAAACAGGCTATCGTCTAACCACCTGTCGATTCGGAATCCATTCTGAAGTTCTCCCAAGATATCATTTTCCTCTGGCCACGTTTCTATTTTTAATTTTACTGCCTGCTTCGCCAACCTGAATACACAGGTAGAGTGAGCGACGCCACAGCGGCCCTAGCGGTCTCCACTCAAACCCCGAGCACACGCCGAGAGCGAGCGCTCCGTCACACAGACGGGGAGCCAAGGCTGATGGCGAAATCCATTGAGAGAACAGGAGTAGAGGGGCAGGGCACTGAGAGCAGGGCCACTCAACCTGCCACTGGGATGCACCACGCACCCAGAGGACAGGTTAGAGGGTGACGAGTAGGGAGACCACGTGACTGAAACATTCATAACCCCGACATATTCTTTGTGGGGCAGAAGCAAAATACGAGCGAAATCGGTCAGCCACACATTCTTCATTGTCCTAATACCTTGTATTCTTGCGCAATGACTCGTTTGGCAAGCGTCCAGCTCTCATCGTAGCCATCCGTACAAAACACCGGTGTCAAACTGCACACGGTTGCTACCCAACGTTACCAGATCTAGTAACGTTGATTACTACCATTGGCACCGCGCTTGCCGGCTGAAAAAAAAAATTTGGAGGCTGCGACGTTCAAGAACCACGTGACTCGTCGTACGGCGACCACTCCGCTTTTCGGGCGAGAGCACCGCAAACTGCTCCTGACTGCTCTCGGCGCAGCAAAAGCACTCTCGCTCTACCAATGGATGACAGTGCTATAGATGACAGTTCTCCTGCACCTGTTCGACCACTGAAACACGCCGGCTCTGAAGATGGCACTTTAAGCGCGCTTTTGAATACTCCTGCTCTCCCAATGGAATTCGCCGCAAGGAGCTTCGCCCCTAAAACGGGTTGTCAAATGTTCCTTACTCCACTGAAAGCCCCACAATGGCAGAGTGCAGCACTTACTTGGAGGCGTGCGTGAGGGCCGGCGTGACGAGGTAGCCGTTGGACACGGAGAAGAGCACCATGAGGACGATGAAAGCCGTGTCGCTCTCGAAGAGGACGGGTAAGTTGTAGCGGGGGTAAGCGTTGCAGAACAGGAACAGCGGTATGAACACCACTCGGCCCAGGCAGAGGACCAGCATCGTCTTCCTCCACGTCGCCCGCTGCAAGTACCAAAAAAAAGAAAAAAAGACGGCACTAAGTCGCGGAAGGTCAAGAGGACTGTAGGCGTGAGCAGGTTTCCCTTTCAAGGGAGGGGAAGGGGGCGAAAGTTCATCGCAGTGCACCCTCTTCCCATTCTATATGTGAGGCTGAATGAAGCGTACTTCACAACATGACAACTACGCAACACCCTCCGCTCTTCATTATTGCTTCGCCCTTGAGGCGAAACTGTGATTTTCGTCTTTTGCTTCAACACTGCACGTGCGCCTTAGGAAAGTTACTGGCTCGTGAGAGTGTTCTTGGCGGAGTGGTGCAACCCGCGGACGTGTACACATTCACCTTCTTCCAATTACCCAATTCGTTCTATTATTCTTGTGCACTGCACCTCTAAGAAACATGGGCAATTAAGCGCTTCTTGAGTTTTTTTATTTGTTTCATTTTTATTTATTTATTTATTTGTCACGAGTAAGAGGGCATGAGGCACGAGTCGGGTGCTGGAGTGCGGCGTCCGTGCACGAGACCCCCCCCCCCCCACCCCCCGCGATGGTTCGCATACGCGCCACGTCCAGATACAGGATTGAACAGAGAGGCTTGCGCGGCACGCGACCCGAAGCCGTAATGGAAAACCTCGAAGGCATGAGCTGTCACTGTACTGCGGAGCTTCGAACTGAAAAAGTCAAGAAGTAGATCAGCGTCGCTATACCATAGAGTAACATAAAGCAGTAGAGCCGCCCGGTTCTGCAGGATATCGGCGCTAGATGCCCCGGGAAGTGGCTTCGAGGGGTCCCGAGTGAGGCTGCCCGGACTTGCCGCAACCTTGCACAGCAGTTCCTGCGAGTGGACTACAGCTCTTGCGCATCGAGCAAGAACGGATGTGGCCCACACCAGTCGTCGGAGTGCGTCATCAATGAGGTTATGGACGAGTTGGATTCGACCAAGCGGGCCGAAGATGACGGATAAGACCGGAAATGCAGACGAGTGGATCGTCAAGCGGACGCTCGCCGACGACGATGACGGCGAGGCGGTACCAGTTCGTCGTAGCTCTGGAAGTGGCATCGGAATAGTAAGATCGTTCTACTATTGCGGGAGGGCATGATAGTAGCCACAGAGACGCCATATTGGTTAGGGAGAGATTAAGGCTTAGGACTGAACTTTACTCGGATTGATATTAGCCCCGGTTTGCGAACATGTTTCTTTTTGGGATGAATTTGGAGTGCCAGATGATTTGCCGATTTGTTTGATATTAAAATGGGTTTGCCACGTTACCGCCGTCTCGCGTCTTTTTCTCAATCCAACCCTTCGCAAGGAACTCCCAAGGTGAAGCGTGACATCATTCATACATTCATTCATTTATGATAAAGACACCCGAACACTTCCTAGTGGTAAAGCAGTTTGTTTAAGGAATAGAATTAAGGTGCGATTTTAAAATTCCCTAAACAAATACTCAGCTTTCTGGGGAACACTGATGAACATGTGTCAATGGTTATTAGTCTTGCCTTCTCACTTTCCTTTTTTTTTGCTCTTTCTATTTCTTGGAAATGAAACAAGAACGTGTAGACAACTCACTGAAGGACTTACCAACGGAAGGTAGCTGGAAATGATCCTTCCCACAAGGTCTCCAACGTTGAACACCAGGAAGCCAGCGACGGGAAGGAAGAACTTATCTGGAACGAGTTGTAACCGGCTCATTAGTTAATTTGTCAAGCAGCAACTGCCCACCACTTATTCTGTTTATTTACTTTTTTATTGGAATTGCAACGAACATTACTGGGGGTTTTTCGCAAGGTGAGATACAGGTATGAGAAATGTGAAATAACGGCAAACAATGACTATGTTTTTGTACGCGCATGTATAGTACCAAAAATCACGTAGCGATGAACAGAATAATACACGGGTAAAAATGCTTCTCGAAATGCAATGAATTACGTTTCAACTATTAGGCAAAGTATCTGAAAAATGGGCCAATCTAATAAAACAAGGAGACAAAGCATTTAGCAAACGTGCAGTTACTTTGCATGTTACATTATACCCAGGAAAGGAAAAAAAAACGCTGAAAATGAAACGGAACAAAACCCGATTCAATGGTCCATGAGGTACGAACGAGGAAACTGACAGATATGATTGAAAAAGAAAAAATGCACACTACTAATACTTTTCTAGTTTCTGGAAGTTCGCGAGAAGAGAAGAATGTTTGAAACGGTCATTATATGAGAGCCGAAGGTGTTATTGTTAGTTCACGTCTTTGGCGGGTCGAATAACCAGAAGTAAACAAAATTCATTCACAAACGTATTGTGCAGCACGACGTTGACGTTCCTATTTCCAAAAGAAACACATCCTTACTTGCGATAGGAGCTCCGCTGTCTGCGCGTGTGGACACAACGAGGACCATTATGGCCGGAAATATCGACAGCGTCACCCAGAAGATGAGAATTATGGACACGAAGTATGTCCATCCCTGAAAGGAGTGTGTGTGTAAGTATTCATGGCGTTACAAATGACCGTTAATCAGAAATAATAATAATAATTATTATTATTATTATTATTATTATTATTATTATTATTATTATTATTATTATTATTATTATTATTATTATTATTATTATTATTATTATTATTATTATTATTATTATTTGTTGTTGTTGTTGTTGTTGCTGCTGTTTTAGTTGTAATAATAACAACAATAATAAAAATTGTTGGAGTTTAGCGTCCCCGAACCACTATATACTATTATGAGAGACGCCGGGCTCCGGAAATTTATACAGCCTGCGGTTCATTAACATGGCCCTAAATCTGAGCACATGGTCCTCAAACGTTTTCCTTTCCGTCTAAATTGCGGCCGTCGCGGCCAGGATTCGAACCCGCGACCTGCACATTGAAATGATACTTCATTTCAGGATCGATCCCTATATACATAACTGGAAAGAGTTTTGCTTTAATATATAGCAAATCGAAAAATAAGTATGCCATATAGGTGCGATATTTTCCTAAAATTGCATTCACAATGTCAAACCACGCGTCAGCGACGCGTTTTCGCGACTCCGTGCAGGATCAAATCCAGACGCTAGCACAACTTACCAGCTTGCGTCACTTTAAATCCTCTCAGAGATTTACTGGTTAATGAATACGCAAAACGCTTGCCCTGTTCACGAAATTAAACGCCCGCTAAATTGCGAGATTGCGCACGAAAGCATTTCAAGTTACAAACTGAGGCCGTCAGCATCCTAATAAAAGCAGACTTGTAATCTGATTAGAACCACCTCAGACATTGAAATTTACGTGGAGTGTTAAACATGATCCTATCTACAATCACGGAGGAAGAAAGAGGGGAGCACACGTCACGCCAGTAAACCCCACCACGTCCGCACAACACGTGACCAGAGCGTGCGGTAGGTTTTACTATACTCTCGGTAGTGTTCCATTTTCGAACTTCCTGCGTCAAACAAGCGCGTTTCCGACAAAAGCTACCACCGGGCCACACACTCTGAGGTCTCGGCAAGTCTCGTTGCTTGCGTGATGTTGACGCAATAAGTCTCGTGTTGGTCCGACACTGGTGGATTCAACACGGGTTGACTTGCAAAGGCTGGCGCCGTGACGTGACGCTTTCTTTCTCTTCCTCCGTGTCTACAACCAATGACTGCAGACAGGCCGAGTGATCAGCCAATTGCAACAAAATACAAAAGTTTCATGGCGTTGACCTTGTGATAAGTTGAAAACAAGAAGATGGCACGCTCACCCCTTTGAAGAGTTGCCATGGCGATGCTTTTACAACGTCGTTTCCCAGTTGAAGCTTGTCGAAGTCTTTGTAACTCACTGCACAAAATCAACACGTTCGCATAAGTCGCAACGACGCTACCCGAAACTGCAGTTCACGATCACGATCAATTAAAGAAAAAAAAAAGTTGAGAGACTCACCAGCTTGCGTAGATGTGTAGTACCGGTAGAAGTCCTAGACGAAAAAAAAAAGAAAAACAAGCTTCACGATAAATAACGGTTTTGTCCTTGCGAGCTTTTGGAAGATTTCGTGTGCGTCGCTTATGGTCTCATTACTTATGGAAAATTACAGCAAAATTGGCTGATCAATCAATCAGTAGCAGCAAATGCGAAACAAACAAATAAACAAACAGAAACACGTCTGTATACCGATTTCTCACAAATAACGCCTCTCAGTCAGGTGAGAAAAAGATTCATCCTGGCTCGGGATTATAACCTGGCATCGACACATTCTATGTCTTGCCATGGAGTGGCTCACATTATGGAATCGATGCGAATCAACCCCCTTGCCTGTCGTTTATCCTTCCTTCGTTTCATTGCGATAGCAATAATATGAAAAATCTCGACTGGTTTTTGCCGTCGACGTTCATCGTCACTGTCATTCACCTCATATATATATATATATATATATATATATATATATATATATATATATATATATATATATATATATATATATATATATATATATATATATGTATATATGTGTGTGTGTGTGTGTGTGTGTGTGTGTGTGTGTGTGTGTGTGTGTAAGAAAAAGAAGTGTATACTTGAGGGCTCGTTTTTCCGTGTTTTAACACAATAATAATGAAATATAACAGACAATAATGTCAAGGAAAGTAGAGGGGGGTTATTAGACCGAATTGTAAGGTAAATGCAAAGAAATAAAACTAAGTGAAAAGATAACTTGCCGTGGGCAGGAACCTGCCCACGGCAAGTTATCTTTTCACCCACTTTTCTTTCTTCACATTTCCTTGGCATGATTGTCAGTTAGACTTCACACACACACACACACACACACACACACATATATATATATATATATATATATATATATATATATATATATATATATATATATATATATATATATATATATATATGAAAACGCAAGAAAGAAACATAACCTAGAAAAGAACCTCGGCGAGCGGAATCAAACGTATGACCTCTCGCTTCTGAGCCACGAGGTAGCACCTCTTTCACAAAACAGCAAGAGCTGCTTATGCGCACCACTTACCACTGGTGGTACCGATCTCCGGAGAGATGACATGTTTTCAGCTTTACCAGCGAGGTGGCGCAATGAGCGCGCCGCGCGCCCAGCTGATGGCGATGCGCCGACGCGCGCTCATCTCCAACGCGTACTTTACCCCGCGAAGGGGTCGAGGGGTAGATGATTGTGCTCGCACGCTAATCCTTCGGTAGTGGAGAATCGTGCACCTTCGGCTTTCACCGGAACGATTGCGCAGTAGTTGCAGGGCCCTCTATAGGGTTACTTCGCTCGCTGCACAGGCCCCGTTTGCAAAAACAGCGCATTTTTCATACACCGCGAAGTAACAACTGGAACTTTTTTGCACTCATTTGTACGTGCGATTACGCTTCGTGCGTCACTTCTTGTTTGAACAGCGCGTTAAGTGTCGAGCTGCAAACGTTGTTAGTTTACTCTCGTCCTGTGTGTGTTGTTTTAGTGCGTCATTTGCGCGTGGGCAGCGCGCTGCACGTTTCGTTCCGCTTGCCGTTCTCAGCGTTACATTCAAAGTTGCCGCTATCGCATTCATTGCTTCGCCTGACCCTTTTCAAATCTTAATATATATATTTCGAACTTAAGTCATTTTACATTATTATTTAGTTAATTTTACATATTTTGAACAAACCAAAGCGTTCCTGCTACCCGGACGATTTGTCGTTGAACAGCGGCAATGTCGCCCTCGTTTTTGTGAATAACTGACAAAAAAGTCCCACCACTGCGCTTACTATTCTCCGTGAAAACATGAGATTACAGCCCGCATTAACAAACCAACCTCATCCCTACATCGAATTTTCCATATCAGCATTTATCCATCGATACGCTTGATAAATAAAGCAGGCCAGCACTCGTGAGCTTATCTTGTTGTTTTCTTTTACACTGTTACCGTTTTTATGCCCTTATAACGTGCATAGAGAGCACAGGAACACAAGGTCAACGTGATATAAGGCCAAGGTCGGTTTCTCAATGCGGATCTACCTTTTTTTTCAGTCCTGAATGGCAACCTAGACTCGCTAAAAAGAGCAAATAGAGGAGGAGGAGGAAGTGGAATAAACGTTTATTTCCGAAACGGTGTAGCGGTGTAGGTTCCGCGTAAGCAAAATGGAATTTTTTTTTTTTTATGTGCGAAGCAGCTTATGCGCACGACTGTGTCCGTCCCTCGGCGAGTGCCCGCTCCCCCACTGCGCATGCGCCAACTCTCCCCCTCTCCTAACGTGAGCCCGAAAAAATAGAAGAGCACTGCCTGCGCTTCGTTTCGTTTCTCCTCTCCAGTTTCTCCTCTCGTGCTTAACAATGCGCGCGCTCGCTCCGCTGCACTCTCCTAGCAACGCTGGGTGTTCACTTTGCGGCACACACACGGTAACACACACAAATGGGGGGGGGGAGTGTAACATAAGCAGCCGACAACATATACACAACCCCACAAACAAATGGAACATACACGGAAACTTATCAAGGGGAACAACAAACGAACACACAAGTGATCACCAGCGCTGCATCGCATCCCCAAATGAATCCCTTAAGTTTGAGATGATGATGATGGTGATGAACAAACCTTATTTAATTAACAAAAAGATCCTCCCCCTTTTCAGGTGCCAGAGGAGAAGGTTGAGATGGCGTATTTTCTTTCTTGTCATTATTTAGAGGGTCGTGCACAGAGTCACTCACCATCTTCACTAATACAGCGAAGCATATCTGGGTGAATATGAGCGTCACCACGGCGAGCAGGAAGTAGAGCAATGCGCTCGTTGTGGGCGATGCATCCCCGAGCAAGCAGAAGATCTGCGCTACGGTGGCGAAAATGCCACCCATTGCCTGTAAAAGAAAAAAAAAGAAATGCGAGCACGACCCGCTCGAGTTGCAGTCTATAGACGTTTTCACGGACGCCTCCCAGGGCGCCGCCATAATCCTCTCTGGGCTGCGCTATACGTGGAGTTCACTACAATACTTACTGGAGGGAGGAGCTAGTGTCTATGGGAGCTGCAACGCACGGCGCCTCAGTGAGCGTGGGAACGATGAGTAGTGCACGGATTATGTTTCGTACTTCTGGCTCCGTTTGGCTTCGCGTGGCGTGGAAGCCGCTTAGTTGCAAGACGAAGTTCGGCAAATGTTCAGCAGCTGAAATTCGGCACCTTAATCTTTTGTACTCACCAATTCAAATCGGGCTACGAAGTTTCCAAATATCCGTTCCTCTATTCAAAACAGAGCAATAAACACAGCCACAAGTGGTTTCGAAACCCACAAGCAGGAAGACTAGGCGAATTGGTGTAACATCCATGATTCCCATGGTGGCTGAACACAGCACTGAAGTTCACCTAGTACATATTGTAGGAAACTCTATGACGCTGAATTATTGTGCCCCGCAACACCCCCCCCCCATATTAAAAAAATACTACACTGCCATTGGTGCGACGTCAGCCTTTGTAATTCCGCGCGCAGCCGAGCGATGGCAGCGTTTTTTTTTTTTTTACTCTTATGAAGAAGAGGCTTTTTTCCCCCGAGGTTTCCTTGTATGTCTTACACGCAACCAAACGAATAGAAGAGACAGTTAGGCCAGAGAAAGCATAGATGACAATAATTGTTGTGGTTAATTAACTATAGTGTACTGATAGCGCCGTAAATTGATACAAAGTGATCGATGTGGACGAAAAGAAATAACTGCATGGCACTAGTGTTCTGAAGCTAGGAAAAAAAAACAGTGGAGCTGGGAAGTTTTCCGTAATAGCTAACCAGCCAATAGACTTTACTCTCTTCCACCCCTAGCTCTAACCTCCTTTCCCGCAGACCTCCTTCGCTTCACTCTTCCCTTCCCTCGACGAGTGTTGTATTGTGGGTTTGTTGGCGTTTCGTTCGAAAGAATCTTTAATGCAGCGCGAAACTATTTAAAGAAATCGCTGCGTATATCCACGGGGAGAATGATGACGAGTGGGCGAAGCTCCGGAGGTATACACCGGTAAGCCATGAATCCCGCTCGCCGCCGTTCCACAGTTCCGATGAGGCTGTCCTAATGTACTTCCGCGGCAGAAAGCGTGAAGAACGCGCGCGGTTCGCCCAGCTGGCAATTTATGGCGGAGAGTTACTTGCGGCGTTCTTTCCAGCATTGGACCGTGTTGGGCACGTTTAGCGTGAACGCCAGGTCTCGGTTGAGCACTTCGTCCATGAACGCGCGCCCGCCGCTCTCACCGCGCAAACGAGCTGGTGATGGGAGCGAGCGCCATCTAGTGAGCACTCCCAGCACTCGCGAGGGGCTACTAGGGCCACGGCGGAAAGCCCGCAGACTAAGGAACTACGCCTCCAAAACGACACAAGGACACAAATGTCCATGAATCCCTTCTTATGGCCGCGTGTCGTATCACGCTATATACATTAAAGCTCCCTTCAGTGCATTCGCTTTCCCTCGCACCTGCTGAACTCGGTAGTGGGACTTTACCCGCCTGGGTTTTTGCGTACGCCACCGGACTCGTATCAAACGGCTTCGCTGTATCACCCTTTTCTTGAGAGGAATGTGAACCCACCACCTTCGAATCGCGCGCGCTCGACGATTCACCAATTGAGGAACGATGAGAGACACTTCCCCGCCCATTTCGTTGGGTACTGCAGTGCTTGTAATTCCTGGGAGTGTCAGCCATCGACGCTCGTAGTCAAGGTGGCGAGGGTGAAACGCTGTTTTTGCCACAAGGCGTCACGAGGCCGCAGCTCACCAATAACTTCTCGTGTGCAAACCTAGACTTATTGTTTTAGGTTATTACTTTAATACTTATTGTTTTAGGTTAGTCTTGACGCTTTCTCTAGCCTGACTTCAACTCATTTACGTACGCAGGGCGCTTCACGAAACAAGAACTAAGAGTTATAAAACTAAGTGGCTACTACTGTAAGTGAATAAAACTAACAATTTCATTGCCGTAACGTTGTGCTCGTTAGAGTACTTTAATTTTGCGCGTAATTACTTCTTTGTATACGATCTGTTATGCAAAGTTCATGATATTCTCTTTAGGGCCGTGTGCGAAGGCATTCCAAAGCGACAAATCCTTTTTTTTTTCTTTTAGTGGCAACGTAAACTCTGCACAGTGTTTTTTTTTTTCTTGCGTTAAAGAATCTAGCGATACATGAAATACAACGACTTGACTGCACTTGCGCACTACCGCATTGCAGCGTTCTCAACCGTGATTGGATAGAAACAACTGTGCGCAAAGACCATGGATTAATGAGGGGCCACAACACGGGCTTCAGTGCGGCGGCTATTTTTGACTGCAGCACACGCCAAGGAAGCGTCGTCGTCCCTGACAAGCAATGGGGTGAAGGTCCTCACACGGCTGCTTCTCTCGAAGAGCAGCAGAGAGCGCTGCAATACGGTACTGCGAGTTACTTTTTGAATTTTTTTTTTCTAAAAGGGCGACGCGCGTTACAGTGTGTTAGAACCTAGTACACTCTACCTTAAGGCGCCACAATAGAGGTTTTAACAAGCTACGGAAACGCGTTACGGAAAGGCGGCAACACGTAACCGGCTCACGAGTGCGCATGCGCGAACATTGTAGGCGCATACGGAAAGAAACCTTCGTGAACTTGTTTACAGCGCAACACCAGAAAAACACAGGACAGGGAAGGAGCAAAAGAGAAAGAAAAAACGGCGCTGACTCACAACCGTTGTTTATTACAGTGAATGAGTGAATGCAAAACTTTATTACAAATATTTTTTTCCGGTGAAGGTGGAGCCCTCAGTCCAGGGCCCCTGTGGCCTGTGTCATCTTGCAAGCTCTGTCGATCAAAAAAACGGGGTGATATATATATATATATATATATATATATATATATATATATATATATATATATATATATATATATATATATATATATATATATATATATATATATATATATATATATATATATATATATATACACTGGCAGCCTACATCACGACATGCACAGAACAAGAGGTCATGATGTCGTTATGTAGGCTGCCAGTACCTACATATATATACATTTCACCCCGTTTTTTCTAATAAACAACAGTTGTGAGTCAGCGCCGTGTTTTTCTTTGTCCTTTGCTCCTTCCATGTCACGTGTTTTTCTGTTGTTGCGCTGTAAATAACTTCACGACGGATCCTAACCAACTAACCCAACTTACCGCCTTACCGGAAAAGAACCTTGTCGTATTTCCGTAAAGTGTTTACGTAGCTTGCTAAAGGCTTCTAAAGTGAGTAAATCACCCCCAGGCGTCTAAAGCAAATGTAGAAACCGAAACAACTGGGACCAACAAAAAGGTTATCAAAAGGCAGCTGACCAGACGAAACGAAATAAAAGACCAGAACACCAGCAAAACAACGAAGTTTAACCACTTATCAATTAAAGCATATCAGAGAAACAAAAGGTTAAAAGAACAAAATAGAAGGCTGTTAACCAGAAAAAAGTAGGAGGCCACGACTCGTAATCCGCGAAGCACCATGACCTATCATCAGCAGTATTTATTTCGTGAATATGCATGGATGAAGTTCGGCCTAGTGCTCTCCCATAGACGAATATCAAGTACTCTAAATCATTACCAGTTTTTTTTTCTAAACACATTGTAGAGTACAGTGTACTCTAAATCGTCGAACCTTTTTTCTAAACACGTATTTTATGAGCTAGTGTAGAGTGCCAGCAAGGTACGCTAGTCCAACTGGCGGCTTTCAGCTCTGCCATAGTAGAGTACCAAGTACTCTAAAATCGTTAACCACTTTTTCTAAACACACATGAGTAGTATCCGATGCCATTTGACGCCGCTTTTTTACCATAATCGCTGTCAATAAAGAAAATGAAGCTAGCGAACACACCTGACCATTGAGGTTGGAAGCCATGTACTTTTCGGGAAAGCAACCAGCCAGACCTGTGCCGCCTCCTTGAAGGAAGCCGCAGAATACTGAAAGAAAAATATGGGCACATAAGAAATGCGATACGCGACAGCTCATTCTTTGAACTCCGGAGTCGCGCTTATTGTTATGTCCAACGTTACTAGGACCTGGTTCAAGTAACGTTGGTTATTTCTGGGTTGGCTGTGGCTGCGACGCCGACGAAGAAGAAGAACGAAGGCCGCAGCAGTAGCAGCAGTATCCCTGAGTGGGCCCACCATCCCAGTTTTGCCAGATACGGCTTACGTGACAGCGCTAAGGTTACCAAATGCTTGTTTGCAATGTGGAATAGGTAATTTGGATAAATTTAAAGATTTCGAGCATTTAAGGTATTGCTGGAATAAACAGTGGTGTGTATCTCGCCAGTTAGAGGTCACTTATACCAGATTGCACTGTACAGTTCCACAACTAAATTATTACCTTAACAAAGCTCGACTCAAGGCGTCACCGCTGTGCATTTTTTTGCAACGAAATTGAAACAATCGAACGTTTATTTTTATTCTGTCATCAAAGAAAAATATTTTTAGTAGCCCCATTACAAAAGCTAGGAATACAAGTAAATGTACCAGTACTTTTATCACTTGGCGGCACTTCATTTGGTTACTGCCACGGGGATATATGCTCCACTGTGTTTGATTACATCAATGCAACTAAAAGATTACCGTGCTAGTGAACCCTAACCTTTTCAGATGTTTAGTTTATAATTCGCAGCTATGTCTGTCAGGAACAAGAGATGGTTTGACCGTTTGCTCAGCAACCTTTTTTGTTTATTGGCAGTATTATCTCTAAACTAAATTTTCAGATTGGCTTTAATTCATTTTAGTTTCATTTAAGTATACTGCCGCCCGGTTCTTGGCCCATCCCCCTCTGTGGGTGAGCGCCATCCATCTGAGGTCATCAGCATCAGCATCAGACCGACGCCGCTGGCGGCAGCCACCCACGACTTCGGCGCGCAGCGCCGAGAGAAGAAACGTCCACCTCCAAGAACGGCAAGTCACCAACTCCTTTATTTACACATGTATCACGGCCGCCTGGATCGTTTGTGCATATATGCGTATAGTACGTAACACTGCCACAGGAGGCGCCACATGACATCGAAACCGAAACTAAAATAAACGAACAGCACGACACAACACTTTTATCTTAGACTTAGTGACACGCGCTAGTCCATCCGGATATATCTTGCTCCTGCGATGCGAATCTGCATGCCGAAATTCGGGGACCCTTAAGCTTCCCTTTTAACGTGATGATAGTTATAGCGCGAGAACAGAACGACGACTCAGAGACAAGAAAGACACGAAGGACACGAGTACTTGCGCTCGTGTCCTCTTGTTTCTGTGTCGTCGTTCTGTTCTCACGCTATAACTATCGTCATGTCATACCAACTAGCCCGAACTTCCACTCTTCCCATCTAAGATTTGAACGCGATAGCGACTATTCTGTTCCTAGTGCGTACTTCTTTCTAACACACTTAGTGTATGAAATGTTTTCGAACTTCCTATGCACCCACTACGAGGTAGCTCTAAGGGTGCAGTAGCGTGTGCGCCTTTTGTAGTGTGCGACTGGCTTTAAACTATAAAGTCATTGTCATGTTTCCATGTTCAGACGCCCGATGGCAAGTACGCATGTAGCACGCATTACTACGGCAATATTTCGTGCCGGCGTATTTTGAAGCGTGTATACAGGATGTGTGCGTGTTTGTTTGCAAAGCATGAAAGTTGCTTTCACTGAATCTATTTCACATCTATTTACCAAGACAAACGTCACTACATTGCAATGAAGACACCTTTGCCCAAATACACATGACAATGTTGACATACATGTACACAAGAACTCAATGCGTTTAGATGAAATGTTCAACGATTTCGAGTACTTTGTACTCAACTATGGCAGAGCACTGAGCCGTCCCGCTGCACATGGTGCGATGCATACTTCTTCAAAGCGTTTAACCAAACGGATTCGCAAGTGTCATAGTGGTTGTATAAAATGCCTAAAATACGAAGGGCCACGTATGCATCGCTGGTTATGGTTGGAGAACTTGAACGCCCACGTAAATTTCGCCAGGGATTCTGAAGATGTCGCTGTGAAAAACGCAACCTATCAGGTAGTAACGACGGAACTTTTCAACTCTTAATATATGTATAGTTAGCTGACATAGAGTGCGTATGGTTCGTACGGATATAAGCTAGCACGTGTGGTCTTCAGTGTTGAAGTGCAGGCGCTCCGCGGTTCTGCCGGCGGAGCTTACGTCCGGTATTCGTTGTCACGGCTACATTATAACGGGCAACACTCTAGTAACGTGATGGTATACTCGAAACATAAGTGAGACACCAAAAAAAAGAAATCGGTTCAACGAAAATAATCAATCATAATTGTGACGGTCAATATAAAACACCGACAACAATGTATACTACAGCCGGCAACTTCAACGTAGACAATAGGACCTTAAAGGAGCCCTCTAACACTATTAAATCACCTATTTTTATGTGTAGTTTGCGTAGACCGATAGCTGTATATAATCTCAGCGTAGGCCTAAGCGCCGTTATCAATAAATTTAGTACCTTTATTGATTGATTGATTGATTGATTGATTGATTGATTGATTGATTGATTGATTGATTGATTTATTGATTGATTGATATGTGGGGTTTAACGTCCTAAAACCACCATATGATTACGAGAGGCGCCGTAGTGGAGGGCTCCGGAAATTTCGACCACCTGGGGTTCTTTGACGTGCACCCAAATCTGAGCACACGGGCCTACAACATTTCCGCCTCCATCGTAAATGCAGCCGCCGCAGCCTGAATTCTATCCCGCGTCCTGCGGGTCAGCAGCAGCCGAGTACCTTAGCCACTAGACCACCGTGGCGGGACTGATTTAGCACTTTAATCACGCAATAAAGTCACTACATTGCTACCGACGGTATTGCCACGTTGTGGCGCTCGCCAGAAAATCACGCCGGAAGGTTGCCGCCATATCATTGTATAAAAGTAACGTTAGAAGCGATCGTAGTGTAGGATCAAAACTTAGGTTACCAATCTAATTCATTTTTCTTCTGTGTGCTGTTTCATCGAACTCTGAACAGACGAGGCCACGACAACAACAACAAAAAAAAAAAAGATAGATCACTGCGACTACAAAGCACGACAGAGGCGCTGGCTGCTGCCATTTCGCCACTGGAGTTTTGGCCTGCGCGGGTCTTTCTTTTTATTCCCTCTTCTTGCTTTTGGGAGTTTCGGAGCTGCCTCTTTCCGCACGTGCGCTGTTGAATGGGTGCAGTGCACCGTTATTGTTCGTTGGGCGGCCCCCACATTGCGGTTATAAGAGGGAAAAGATAAAAGTGAGCACCGTAACTGTGTGCATCAGCGTGCGACACCTCAACAGTAGCTCACATGGGATGGGGGTAAGGAGTGATTGAAAGGATAGGATTCAAGGTATATATAGAGAGAAATGCGCTAGGACAGCGAGCGACGACGTAAGAGAGATAGGAAAGACGGAAACACGGCCACAAGAGTCTGTGGACGGGGCACCACTTGCGAGAGCTCTTGTCGGCGACAGGAGATGGCGTAGGGCTAATGCAGTCGGCCAGAGCTGCGCTGTCGTCGTAGGGAACCGGCGGCAGGAGGTGGCGTAGGACCGACCCACTCGGCCAGAGCTGCGCTGTCGTCGGAGATCGCGAGGGCACAACCGGTCGGCACGGAATCCAGCGAGCGAGTGTTCGTCGGGCGGCTCCCCGAACAACGCATGATAGGTCAAGAACACTTCACTGTTTCGGTCGTTCCACAAGTTCATTTCTCAGAATAAGAAGATCAATTGACTCGGAATGTTGTAAAATACGGGAAAATACCTCGCTTCGACACAGTAGCTCCCGCTCACGTTTTGGCAAGACAGGCGTCAGGCACCACGCTCGTTATACTGTGGCAACAAGATCAACATGAAAGAAAAAAAGCAAGCAACGTTGGGGTGCCAGGTTCCCCTGCGTAGGCGCTTCCAGCTTATTTCATTGGGGCAGCCTTCCGGCGTCAAGAGCGAGCGGAATGTGGTAATGTGACCCCGCGAAAATAGAGTCAAGGGCCAGCATTGTTTTCGTGTATTTTGAATTTCTATAAGTCGAATAACTTCAGATTGCGAGCCGCTATCACTGCCGTTTTTGCTGCATCATAGTCTATCTGCACATCAGTCTACACAGCCCACGAATAAAACATGGGGGGTTGAATAGTGTTGAAGGGCCCCTTTAAGACCTAGCTTCGCCCATTCGTCATGATTCACTTCGCGGAGATGCATGGATCTTTTTCGTATGCTATGACCGACAACAGATTAGAGTACTCTCTACCAAGACTAAGGTGTCACGTACCTTGATCACTAGTTTCCCGCATCACAAATGCAACAGTCTGAAGTCCAAAATGAATGATCACTTACTGTTGATGAGTACCACGATGACAAGTGTGGCGGCCATGAATGCGGTCTGGTCTGCAGAAAGGAAACGTGAGATTGCTGTAAGGGCTATGTCACGAAAGCGGCGCTTGCGCAAAAAAAAAAAATCAAGTCATTTTACATAACTAAGCGGATACGCTCGGCTATGCGTAAACCTACACAGTATAAAGTGCTCGCATTTTCGTTTTACGTTATTAGCTCTTAATTGTAGCTTCTCGTTCGTGAAGAGAAAAACACCTTAATGGCCGAAAAACTTTTCCTGGTCCGGGGATCTAAAGTGCAACAAATAACCTTTGCTGGGTGGTCCAACTCAGCTAAGCAGGAAGCTAGCTATTGACAGCGCGAAGCATTACATTGGTTCAAGCGATTCGAGTTGTCATGACTCACCTTCAAACTGCCATTTGTTAGCTTCCTGGTTAGCTCAGTTGGTAGAGTGAGTGACCATCTGGAAAGGTGTCGGTCCTGGGTTCGATACCCGGACCAGGACGCATTTTTCGGCAAACGAAGAAGCTTTTCTTTCTGAGAAATCCGCCTGGATTTCCCAGTGGCTTCATTCTGTACAAACGAGTGGTTTTCTCTATTTTTCCCTATCTCAACCCGTCCGCCACCTTGCAGGATTCTGCATAACTCTTTTGCATCGTGCATGGCCTCTGATATTGCGGGTGCGTGGCGTGGTCCCCGCCACGCGCCCGCCATCCCGGAGGCCATGCATCGCGTGAATGTGTGAGTATAACATCAAAATAACAAAGTAGCATTCAGCTATACCTTAATTCGTTATATCCGATAATCGCTGTAACAGTAGAGATAAAGCCTCGCTCCAACAAATCGGCAGTTTCTCAAGAGAGAGAAACATCCCTCGTCTCTGTTGCCGTTTCAGACGCTGCCGTGTACACAAGACACCAAATTCGCGTGTCCCTTCACTTGCCTTTCTCCAGCGCCGGACAAGTGGTGCTGCCTTTGGTAGTCGCATGAGCTTCCAAAGTTTTCCCGTTAGGGACAACTTTGGAAGCTCAAGTTGTGCCGTTAGGGACAGCTTTAGAAGCTCATGCGACTACCAATACGGCGGCGCAACCAGTGGAATGCCGCCTACCCCCTACAACCCTCACTGTTCCCTTTCTTTTTTGGCAATGAATGACCAATCCTTCCGCCCCTTTATAAAACAATAAACGAAATTGCGCGTGCACTGTTTTACAGCGCCTAAGTTGCGCTTTTTGTCATATTTTGAGCTCTGAGCCTCACGCGAACAATATAAGTCTTCGCCACAGCCGCTATCACTGCGACTATTGCGTTTTCATTTCATTTCATTTATTTATACTGTTAGCCCAGAAGTGGGCCGTTACAGGGTGGAAGTACAAACAATTATTTGCAAAAAAGAAGTACCGTACAGGTCTCGAGATAATTTCTCGGTATTATTGTGACCAGCAACTCGAAGTTATACATAACATATATAAATGGAACACACATGCGATGCAATACATACGCGCAGAACAGCACATGACGCATTTGAGGCGGCACTTTTGCACCGCGCTGAAGATTTGAAAGACAACTACTGCAGAATCATGCAACCAACAAAAAGTACACACACACGCCAAAAAAAAAAACATATGTCACTGTTATTCGGAAAATAAACGTTTTAGATTCTGTTCAAAGGATGTAAGCGAGGAACAACCAATTATAGACTCTGGCAGCATATTCCAATCTTCAATAGCACGTGGAAAGTAACTGAATTTAAAGCAATCGTTACGTGGGACTAGGGGTGGTATATACATATTATGGCGATGTCTGGAGTGTTCTTGTGTGTTGACCTGGAAGTAATCTGAATAGTTTAGTTTAAAATGATTATGAATTAACTGGAAGAGGAATTTCAGACGCTCAATCCTCGTCCTAAGTTCAGGACTATCCAGTCCAGCTTTTTTACAGAGTTCAGTAGGAGAATGATGTCGGCGATATTTATTAAAAATAAATCTCGCACCAAGTCGCTGTATTTTTGTTATTTTATTGCAGTTTGTCTTTGTGTAAGGGTCCCAGACAATTTTAGAATATTCGATAATAGGTCTGACAAGAGTTTTGTAAGCAAGACACTTTATATCAGATGGGGCGGTATAAAGGTTACGTCTAAGGCTATACAATGCCTTGGTAGCCCTGGAGCATACATTATCAATATGAGTGTTCCACCGGAGGTCGGGCGTGAACCATAACCCAAGATATTTATAGTTTTGTACACGCTTGAGGAAAGCATTGCCAATCTGGTAGTTGTAATCTAGAGGTGCTTTCTTTCTAGTTATAGAAAGAAAGCACCTCTAGTTATAGTTTTCAATTTCATTGTAGAAAATAAATACGTTTGTGCTAAGATCCTTCATAAATATATTGAGAGACTAAAGGTTACCAAGTGTGCTCACAACATCATCAAGGTAAATTACTCAGCGACAAACAGGGCAACTAGTGCGGCCCTGTAGACAGTCATTTTCTGGCTCAGGTTGTGGAGAATTAGATTTAAGAGGTGTTCCTGTGTTGAACCCTGTGTCGCGTCAGAACGACAGCCCATGGCTTGAGTGATAGCTTACGGGACGGCTTTAAGCTCTCCCATAGTGGAGTACCCTGTGCTCTAAATCGTTACCCCCTTTTTCTACCCCCCCCCCCCTCTCGGGTAGGTATGACGAGGGGTTGATGAGTGATATGTACTCTGGGAAGTGTCACTTTCGGGTGCCAACTCCCCTTTTTTTCTAACAACGATAGGTGTTTTTGTCGCGGGCGGGTAGCCCGGGCGTAAATTTTGCCGATGCGGCCTCATCAAGAGTGAGGCCCAAGGAATTTTAGCTCTCCCTTAGGAGAGTGCCACGTGTACTCTACATCATGGTTGATACGTGGGGATTAACGTCCCAAAACCACCACGTGATCATGATAGATGCACTCTACATACTTAACCACTTTTTCTAAACAAACATGTTCATAACAGCCAATAGTTTGTTCACCGTATATCGTCCGTAAAAACTTTCGTGCTCATGCTAGCACGCATTATTGAAGGCGATAGTCTTTCTTGGGAACCTTCGACGAAAAAGTTTTGGTATGTCTGTCTGTGTGTTTGTCTGTTTGTCCACCCTTAACGATACCTCGAGCGGCACCAAACGGCCGACCCCATCCGCAGCGCCCACCAATATTGCTCAAGCTTCAGTGGTCCCACTTATTTATTTATTTATTTATTTATTTATTTATTTATTTATTTATTTATTTATTTATTTATTTATTTAAGACATACTGCAAGCCCATTGAAGGGCCCAAGCAGGAGGAGCATCACGAGAAAAACAAAATTTACGCACAATACACATGATACACTGATTAAAATAGTTTGAACAAATACAGGAATGCATCAAAGTTACAAAAATCCGCAATACACGTGGTACACTGTTGGAAATATATTGTACACATACACAAGAGTACATCGAAGTTGCAAAACAAAGCAATCGGAATTCAGTTAGTTTATTTCAATCTGTAATAGTACGCGGAAAAAAGGAAAACTTAAAAACATTAGTTTGAGCGCTGTACGGAGTCAGAGATTCGAGGTGTCTATGCCGTGTGCAATTCTCAATTAAAAATCAATTATTGCGCATATCTGTGGCACCATAACAACACGTCGATGTTTTGTATGTGTGCCTTTATACTAGAGAAGGCACACACAAGTAATTCCAAGGACCGCAGCGTTTATCACGCTGCGATGGCGCCCTGCCGCGGTGGTCTATAGTAGCTATAGGGTATACACTCGGCTGCTGACCCGCAGGTCGCGGGATCAAATTCCGGCTGCGGCGGCTGCATTTCCGATGTAGGCAGAAATGTTGTTGGCCCGTGTGCTCATATTTGGGTGCACGTTAAAGAACCCCAGGTAGTCGAAATCTCCGGAGCCCTCCACTACGGCGTCTATCATAAATCATATGGTGGTTTTCGGAAGTTAAACCCCACATATCAATCAACGCTGCTCTGAATCTGCAACGCGATGCTCAAAAAGGTGTTTCCATAGAGTTTCTTAATAAACACTAGAGGGAACTCTGGCGCTAGTGTCTATGGGAGCTGCAACGCACGGCGCTTCAGCGAGCATGGGAATGATGGGTAGTACACACATTTGTCTAAACTTCGTACTTCTGGCCTGATTTTGGCTCCGTGTGTGTTCGTGTGGCTTGGAGCTGTTTTCTCGCGAAACAAAAATCAGCGAATGTTCAGCGATTGTGCTTCACCACCTCATTATTTTAGACTTACCTTTCCGAATCGGGTCACGAAGTTCAAAAGGTTTGAATGTTTTTTTCAAAACAAAGCCAAAACACAGCAATGAACGAAGCCGCAAGTACGATTCGCCACCTGAAAGTACGAAAACTAGACAAATGTGTGTACTACCCATCATTCCCATGTTCGCTGAACGATCGCAGCGCCAGAGTCATTTCTAGTTAATTTTAGGGAACTGTATGAGTGTTTCCAACGCTTTGCTAAGACGACACGGTCGTGGCACCTGCCAGTCACTTTGCGTTCCACACCTTATCACCTCCGAGACAGGCGTGCATCTTTCTGCGCAGGCCGCACGCCTTTCTTAGTTTTCGAAGATAACTACCAGATGGCACTCGTGTCTAACGTGCCGAGATGCGCTCGTTCGCCTCCACTACACGCTCGAGGCACTCTAACCCAGCGCCTCCAGAATACCATTCACCAATTTTCTCGCGCAGAACAACAAATAAACGTTTTGTACACTCTCTCCAGACGCCAGACGCAAGACTATCGTTTTTCGGTGACATTTGCAGAGTAACGTGCAGATTTGAGGCCAATTTTTTTTTTCGTCCTTTTCTTCTCTTGAGGCCCGACCACACGTACACCTTGCAGCGCGCCAGCGCGTGGCTTTCGGACGCGGCACCCCGGACCCTCTCTAAAAAGGGAAAGGACGCATGGTTACGCGATGCTGCGCGACCTCTCTCTCTCCATAGAGAGAGGGAAAGGGCGCATGGTTACGCGTAGCCGCGCCATCTCTCTCTCCATAGGAATAAGGCGCGGCGCGGCGCCACGCCAGGAAGTCACGCGCTGGCGCGCTGCAAGGCGCACGTGCTGTCAGGCTTTCATTCTTTGCTACCCGAACACGTGCGCCCAACGAAACAGAGATGAAGAAATAAAAAAAATGAAAGAAGAAAGGAAGGAGACAAAAAGAAGCAGAAAGAGAGAGAAAGAGGAAGTGAGAAATGGAAAGAAAAGAGATAAAAAAAAGACAGAGATATCTCCAACTCTCGTGTCTAGATTATCTGGTATACGCCAAAATTTACGTGGAAGGGCGTGGGTGTATACCTAACATGACTGATTGGACATGACATCAGCAGCTCTACATGCTTGCTACTTACGCAACGATCAATGACGATGATGCGACATGTGGCGCAGCGATCGTATTAATGCGATCGACTATTGATTGATACGTGGTGTTTAACGTCCCAAAACCACCATTTGATTATGAGAGACGCCGTAGTGGAGGGCTCCGGAAATTTCGACCACCTGGGGGTTCTTTAACGTGCACCCGAACCCGAGCACATGGGCCTACAACATTTCCGCCTCCATCGGAAATGCAGCCACCGCAGCCGGGATTCGATCCCGCGACCTGGGGGTCAGCAGCCGAGTACCTTAGCCACTAGACCACCGCGGCGGGGCTAATGCGATTGACTAATGAAAAGAAAAAAAAACATTGTTCACGTTCGTCCAGGTCGATTCTCGATTGCACCCGCTTTCTCGAGACTCACACTGATCGGTGTCCACCTTGACTAGTGAAGCCGTGGCGACGAAAAAGAGTGTACAGCCCAGGAGAGGCCAGCCGATGCGCACGGCGGGTCGAATGCTGCGCACGAAAAATTCAACAATGAGCCTCAAAACAAAAAAAAAATAATGGCGGCAAGAATCCATAATTGACTACGTGCGTGTACACGTAGTGTTCCTTGTCCGTATAAAGTTCGTGCGCAGGTTAATATATCACTTTAATAGAGTCATGTGTAAAAAAATGACCACAGGCATGAACATGAATGGCACCGAAAGTCATGCGTGGGCCACACCTGCGTACACCGGGTGAGGAAGGTAATTAAAGGTGAATCAATTATTGATAAAGTAGACTGTAATAGCAAGCGAATGAAAAGGGATTGAAAATAATGATTTGGTGCAAAGGATCAATTAAATGTGAATTAACAGTGATTAACATGAAAGCATTAGCCGAAGACCTCATCGGGAGCTAAGGTACAGTCATATCTATTCGTATGGCAAGTTTGTGGCGCAGCGTTTCTTCTGGCAATATATTTCGCTTTTTTTTTCATATTGATATTCGTGAACGAGGAGACAGCGCTTAGTCGCAGAAAGGTACCGTACGTTCACAAACGTTACCTTACGCTAAAACGTTTTCAAGAGCAGACGCCAGTCGCTTCGAATGAATTACGTAAAACCAGGGGTCACAAACCAGCGGCTCACGGCAGGGCGTCAGGAAGCCTCCCGTTCCCTTTTTCACTTTTTATCTGCATTGAAGCCGACTCGGCATTTCCGACCTCGAACCGATTTTGCACTTGTAACATATGTTTTTAAATTGCAACCTCGTCATATGCATGCAGATAATTAAACATCGTTGCTTTCCCAGTTTTTCACAGTATTGCCAATGCGCCGAATTTCTCGCCTTGGCCGTCAACATCCTCCCTCCTCCCCCCCTCTCTTCCCGTTTGCCGATCTGGCCCTCGCTGTGTCGGCTTGACGTAAAGTGGCCCTTGACGACACTCTGACGCATCCGATTAGTCACAGAGGTAGTTTTCAACGAATAGATTTGCGAGTTGGCCCAAGCTCCCGTAGGTCCCTTCAATTTTCAACATCAGCTGCCACGGTTCTTCAGGTTGTAGCGAATCCCCCGCCATAGGTGCACGCATAAGGGTGAGAGGAGATATCCTTTCTCGCCTATATCTATAGGGAGGGGGGGGGGCGGGTAAGTTTTGTGCTTTTAGTCAATCGGAGGGGGAGAGAGAATCTCTGCTCACGCCCTCTCCCTTCGTGACGCATCAAATCAATTTCTTTTTGTAAAGTTCTTCAGAATTCTTTTTTACGAGAACTGCGCCTTCCTCAAGCGGGGTTAATGTTGGGCTATAGTTGGTTCGTACTTTGGAAGAAAAAAAATACACTTCCTACCGATGGCTGAGGTAGGTGTTCAGGACCAATGAGAGAATGTAGGGTGCCTTGCTGGCGATGGCCAGGTAGCTGGTGAAAGCTGCTTGCATGTCGCTCTTCGTGTGCACCTCGCCCGACGCGTTCACGTCGCGAAACTTGTACCTCCAGTACTGCGTATAGGGCATGCATAGAAACGCAAGAGAATGACCAGAGGGCCATTGGCCAGTGAACGCTACAGAACTGAGTTGATGTACACTCTTCAAAAACCACGAATCGCGATCCGGATATCCAATACTGGGTAATATTAGTTTACCTATACACTACCTAACAAACATGTAAGCATGAATAAAAGATGCAGTTAGCGAAATTCCTGTCTTGCGTGGTTCTACAAGTGAAAAGAAAGCAAGACCTTCCGCTAAAGTTTAAGTTTTCTATTTTCAAATGGTACAAATGAGTGTTTACAAATGGGTAATTTAATAATAGTTGCACATAGGGCGAAAACACCGCTGCTGCATGACACACATGATGTTCAAGTGTCTTCTAAATTATTCCCAAAGACAAACATCGTAACTTTTACTCACGCTAATCTGTATGCAAGAAAACTGTTAGTTAATAAAGCTAAACCTAAATTTTGTTTCTGCTGCGGACTCATGGAGTCTGCGTAGATGGCACTCTGGGCAAACTAGGCGCAAGCTTTCAAAGACACCGATCAATTTGCTGTTGTGTTAATTACTCAAGAAGTCTTGGCCACAAACGGGGACACAGGTAGCGAAGGTGCCATTAAACGTGGCTGGTTGTACGGCTGACTTGAAACAATCAGTATAACTTCTTCATCATCATCATCGCCATTATAATAATCACCATCATCATCAGTTTGACTACACTCACTGCAGGGCAAAGCCCCCAACGTGGTCCTGTGGTTTGTGCTGCCACGCTTTGCCTGCAAACTTCTTATTCTCATCTGCCCAACTAATTTCCTGTCCCCCTCTCGCGCAGAGCCTACGCGCTACGTGCCTGGCCCGTGTCCATTTCTTCTTCTTGATTTCAATTATATCCTTAACCCCCGTTTGTTCCCCGACCTATAAATTATATCTTTCACCCACGTTCATTCCCTGACCTACTGCTCCCTTCGTGTCTTTTAAGGTTACACCTACCATTTTGCTTTCCTATCGCTCGCTGCACCGTCCTCATTTACCCTAACCTAACTTAACCTAGACAATGTTTTACACCTGCCATTTCCCTTTCCTATTTCTCGCTGCACCGTCCTCATTTAACCTAACATAACCTAACCTAACATAGACACTGTTCACCACGGTGTACTTTCCGGTGCACTCTGGCAAAAAGTAAAAGAGTAAAAATCTTACGTCATCAGCAGTGATGAAGAAGTTCCATGGCAGCAATGAGCCAATACCAAACAGGAACATGGTGAAATTGACGAAATGGTATCTGCACAGACGACACATATTTTCTCACGGTGAAGATGGTCGGCAAATCGTTCGACACAACATCTGCTCGTTTACGCGAATGTATTCCCGAAACCGAGGCAAAACTTAATTGGATGACATTGCACGAATAATTAGGTGGTGCATCTTCTTGCGCGTTCCCTAATAGCACCATTGACACAACGAACGTTGCCGAAACATTCAGAAAATTGCTTCAACGTTGAGGCAACATGGCGTTATATTAGGGTTACTATTAAATGCGAGGCATTTCTTTGTGTACTGCCAGCTCGTTTGGTATCTATCTATCTATCTATCTATCTATCTATCTATCTATCTATCTATCTATCTATCTATCTATCTATCTATCTATCTATCTATCTATCTATCTCTGCCTGTCTGTCCAATAAGTCCGTCTGCCCGTCCATCTGTTTGCCGTATGTATGTATGTATGTATGTATGTATGTATGTATGTATGTATGTATGTATGTATGTATGTATGTATGTATGTATGTATGTATGTATGTATGTATGTATGTATGTATGTATGTATGTATGTATGTATGTATGTATGTATGTATCATCATCATCAGCCTGACTACGTCTACAGCAGGACAAAGGCCTCTGCCATGTTCCACCAGTCAACTCGGTCCTGTGCTTGCTGCTGCCAATTTATACCCGCAAACTTCTTAATCTCATCTGCCCACCTAACCTTCTGTCTCCCCCTAACCCGCTTGCCTTCTCTAGAAATCCAGTTAGTTACCCTTAATGACCAGCGGTTATCCTGTCTACGTGCTACATGCCCGGCCCATGTCCATTTCCTCTTCTTGATTTCATCTATGATATCCTTAACCCCGGTTTGTTCCCTAATCCACTCTGCTCTCTTCTTGTCTCTTAAAGTTACACCTACCATTTTCCTTTCCATTGCTTGATGCATCGTCCTCAATTTAAGCTGAACCCTCTTTGTAAGTCTCCAGTTTTCTGCTCCGTAGCTAAGCACCGGCAAGATGCAGCTGTTATATACCTTCCTCTTCAAGGATCGTGGCTATCTACCTGCCATGATTTGAGAGTGCTTGCCAAATGTGCTCCACCCCATTCTTATTCTTCTAGTTACTTCAGTCTCGTGGTTCGGCTCCGCGATTATCACCTGTCCAAAGTAGACATAGTATTTTACAACTTCAAGTGCACTATTACCTATCTTGAAGCACTGTTCTCTTCCGAGGTTGTTGTACATCACTTTTGTTTTCTGCAGATTAACTTTAGGACCTACTTTTCTGCTCTTCTTGTCAAACTCCGTATAATCATGAGTTGCAATTCATCCCTTGAGTTACTCAGCAATGCAATGTCATCGGCGAAGCGCCCGTTACTAAGGTACTCTTTATGAACCCTTATACTTAACTGTTCCCATCCTAGGCCTCTGAAAACATCCTGTAAGCACGCGGTAAATAGCATTGGGGAGATTGGGTCCCCCTGCCTTACACCCTTCTTGATTGGTATTGTGTTGCTTTTTTTATGAAGCACTATGGTAGCAGTTGATCTCCTGTGTATTTTTTCTAGGATGTTTATATATACTTCATCGACGCCTTGACTACGCAGCGTCTGCATGACGGCTGATATTTCTACTGAATCAAACGCCTCCTCGTAATCTATGAAGGCTATGTATAGTGGTTGGTTATATTCCGAGCAATTCTCTATTACCTGTTTGATAGTATGAATGTGGTCGATTGTTCAGCAGCCTGTTCGAAATCCTGCTTGTTCCTTTGGTCGATTAAATTCTAATGTTGCCTTAATTCTGTTAGCAATTACCTATGTAAATAGCTTGTATACTACAGAGAGCAAGGTGATCGGCCCGTAATTCTTCAAGTCCTTGTCATTTCCTTTCTTATCTATTAAGATGACGTTATCATTCTTCCAAGACTCTGGTACTCTTCCCGTCAGGAGGCACCTCGTAAACAGGGTGGCTGTTTTTCTAACACAATCTGTCTTCCATCTTTCAGAAGATCTGATGTTACCTGGTCCTCACCAGCAGCTTTACCTCTTTGCTTGCTCTCCAAAGCTTTTCTGACTTCTATCATTACTGGTGGGGTGTCATCTTGGTTAGTGCTAGTTCTTATAGTATTAAGGTCGTGGTTGTCTCGGCTACTGTGCAGATCTCTGTAAAACTTCTCTGCTATTTTAACTTTCTTATCCATATTGGTAGTTATTTTGCCTTCCATATGCATATTGCATACACCTAGTTTTTGCTTATCCCAAGTTTCCTCTTCACTGCTTTGACGTTTCCTCCATTCTTCAGAGCGTGTTCAATTCTCTTCATGTTATATTTTCCTTACGCATATTGCGGATACCTTACGCTTATTAATCAACTTCGAAAGCTCTACCGACTCTATTTTGTCTGTTGTACTTGAGGCTTTTATGCTTTGACGCTTCTTGATGAGAATATTTTTGCCAGTGTCCTGTCTAGCTACAGCACCTCCAACTTCCACTACACACTCCGTAATGATACTCGTCAGATTATCATTGATTGCGTCAACGCTAAGCTGTTTGCCTCGATAAGTGCCGAGTACCTGTTCTGAAGTGAGACTGAATTCCTGTACTTTCGCTCTAAGTGCTAGCTCATTGATTGGCTTCTTGTGTATCAGTTTCTGTAGTTCCTTCTTCAAGTCTAGGTGAATTGGGGCCGTACCATTCTATGGTGACTGCATCGTACCTTGCCAAGCACTTCCACATCCTGCACGATGCGGGGTGTGCACTCAGTATTAAGTCTATTTCGTTCTTATTTTCGGCATTAGGGCTCTTCCATGTCCACTTACGGTTCCCTCGCTTTCGGTAGAATGTATTCAAAATCCGTAAATTATTGCGTTCTGCAAATTCTACTCCCCTCTGGCATTTCAAGTACCGATACCTTAATATCCTACTGCCTGGTCTCCAACCTAGTTCTTTCCTACTTTTGCATTGAAGTCTCCCATCAGTATAGTAAACTGTGTTTTTGCCTTATTCATTGCCGATTCCACGTCTTCATAGAAGCTTTCAGCTGCCGCGTCATCATGGCTGGACGTAGACGTATAACTCTGTACTACGTTCATCTTGTACCTGTTATCGAGTTTAATTACGCTACCTACCACGCTTTCATTAATGCTATAGTATTCCTCTATGTTGACAGCTACGTTTCTGCGGATAAGGAACCCCACTCCTGTTCTCTTCTATCAGGCAAGCCCCGATAGCAAAGGAGGTGCCCATTCTGTAGCACTGTGTAGGCCTCATCGGTCCTCTTCACCTCCCTGAGCCCTATTACATCCTATTTAATGCCTTCTAGCTCCTCTAATAGTACCGCCAGACTTGCCTCACTAGATAAGGTTCTAGCTTTAAATTTTGCCAAGTTCAGGATGTATGTATGTATGTATGTCTAACCCAGATATATTAAGAAAATCTACTCACGGGTCTTTGGGTCCCGGGGGCGCTGGCATCTTGGCCACATTAGTGGAGCTGCGACCAGAAAGAACTGGGTTAGTGCGTATATGTACGCGACATCTACATAACACACTCTTAATTAAGTCCCACTTAAATGCTAGATACAGCCAGGAAAACGGACATTTTTTTTTCGTTTGGTTTCCTGAATATAGCCAGAATGTAAGAACAGCCTGAATAAGGGCTTTAATGGCCCGAAAGTATTGCACAAGGGTAGTTACTGAAATGTGCTTATAGATTGGTCAGAAGATCATTCTTTTTCTGCCATGTTATAACACGGAATTAGTGAAAACATTATGAAAACGAAGAATTGGAAAATAAAATAGCTAACACCTCCCGTTTGAGGCATAACACCAAACAGTAATATTCAGAAAATTGGTGTCATTTGATCGTTTGGTGTCAATTTATTGAAAAAAAAATCGTCACTGCTCGAACAGACCGCCAGGAGATTGTAATAAATAAGTTTTTCTGAGCATTCATTGCTGAAATTCACTGTGTCGGATGTTTCAATCCATACCTACGTTGTCAGAATTATTACGAAACATTCAACGATGATTTTTCCATTGTATGATAAATGATATATTCTGATATATTCTCTGTGATATCATTCTGTGATATACAAAGAATGATATATTCTATGTGCAATAATTAAGTATGCAATCGCAAAGTGTTAACAATGGGACAGGTTAACGCCCTCGAACAATTAGGATTTAATTAAACGTTGCTCGGTTATTTCGTAAAATGTGTCCTAAGTGATTTAGAGATCATCTCCTACGAATGTGTCCTAAGTAATTTAGAGATCAATTCTTCATCTCACCATCGTCATTCATTAGTCTTTCTTCTCCCCTGTGTAGAGTAGCAGGATAGAGGCAAGCTATCGCTCAGGCCGACCTCTCTGCCTTTCTGTAAATAAACCTGTCTATCTCTCGAGATTACCTCTGATTTTCTTAAAAAGAAACTGTAGCTATTTATAAGTTTTTGCAACGCATTTGTTCCAAGTGTTAATGCTGAAAAAAAAATGTTGAGTCCTTGACCACCAAAAGTTTACTCGTCTGTGTAAAACGTGCCTGAAAAAAAAAAAGAAGCAGACGAGGAAGAAAAAAGAAGTAGAAGAATGCCTGTCTGTTGCTATCCTCTATTCATTGTATTAAGAAAACTGTTTCGTTTTTATTTATTTTTTTGTTTTTACATCTGTAACTTTTTCGAATGACCTTGCGAAAAGTTCAACTGGCCACGAATTACCTTGCAATTTTCATTCTTGGCCAACGCCCCAGAGTGGGTGCATGCCATTGTTACTAAGAAAAAAACCAAAAAAGCAAACACACAATAACTGGAGAAAAACGAAATCATTCTTCGGTAGATTTTGACGTTTCCCAATCCACTATAAATCAAATACACCTCTTTATTGCATTACACTACAGATTATTTACAATTCAACCATCAATTTCGTCTTGCTGCAACTTTTTCTTGATTCTCGTAAACAGATTAATCTTAACCTGTTATTAAGGAAGAAATTCATGGAAACTATCCGGTTCTTGGCCAATCCTATAGCGTGGATGTGCGCCACATCGTCAAGGATCTTGACTTGACTTGAATACGCGCCTGTAGAGCCTTTCATTACCAGTATTTTATATAAAACGTTGTTTAGCAGAAAATTCGTTCGATGTTTGGCACGTTCTTTTAATATTGGTGATCAATTTTCACGAAATAGTGTTGAAAACACTATTTCTTGTTGAAAATAACGCCACGAATATTGTAACTCTTCGTTGAAAATAACGCCACAAATATTGTAACTCTTCGTAACACACTGCATTGTTCTACGTGAACCGTCTACAGTACAAAAAAAAGAATCCACAGTATTTGTAGGTATATATGTCCTGAAAAAAATACGGGGGGGGGGGGGGGGGCGCCGGGTGGCATTAAAAACGACAAAGATAAAGAACCCCCGGTGGTCGAAATTTCCGGAGCCCTCCATTACGGCGTCTCTCATAATTATATGGTGGACTTGGGACGTCAAACCCCACATATCAATCAATCAATTACTATGCTTGGAGACATTTACCCTATACGAGAACTTTGTTATTGCACACCTCTAAGAGATATGGAGTACTCGGCGGCCCCGCAGCGGTGGTCTAGTGGCCAAGGTACTCGGCTGCTGACCCGCAGGTCGCGGGATCGAATCCCGCCTGCGGCGGCTACATCTTCCCATGGAGGTGGAAATGTTGTAGGCCCGTGTGCTAAGATTTGGGTGCACGTTAAAGAACCCCGGGTGGTCGAAATCTCCGGAGCCCTCCACTACGGCGTGTCTCATAATCGTATGGTGGTTTTGTGACGTTTAACCACACATACCAATCAATCAATCAATCAATCAATCAATCAATCGATGAGTAGATGGCGTCCTATTAGTGTGCTAACCACTCCTTGCATCACGTCAATAAAAAAAGGAACAGTAACTCTTGGCAATAGGTTAGGATGTATCGTGTAGATTGAAATAAACACTACCACCGCAAACGTGCTCCAGACAGTTGTATACATTGACGCGCGTTCACTTTTCCGACGGGATGACAAATGGGGTTTCATTCAGGAAGCCCTTTGCAATGAACAATAGAAACGTGATAAGTGCGTCAGCAGGGAAGCTATCGCGTTGTCGACGAAATTTATGACCTTTTTCAAAGCCTGTCAGCCGCGCATATATATATATCGTCGTATGCATTATTTTTGTCCGTTCGGGATCAGCTAGCACGCACATAAATCAAAAGTGCACACGAGTGCACATGCCTAGCGCCCTCGTCTAAATGCGACCATCGTGGCCGCGGGAATCGAACTCGCGTCATCGCTCAACACTATTTACTGTACATGCGTCGCGGTATTCTCCAAATGCAAGCTTCAGTGCATCGTGATAATAGTTTCGATGTTATTCGGCACCTAATTTGTGTCTTAACGCACCACAAACATATTTTTAAGAAGTATCACAGTATTTGTATCCTTGTATCTGTATCCCTGTAACTGTCACTGTGGTATAAGTTTTTTTTTCTTACTTTTACAAATATATGCTTGGAACATTATTCTAATTCTAAGACAAATGAATCTAAAAATTTGTATTCTAGGCTTGTAACCCATATATTTCGATAGATGTATTCCGAAACACTTTTCTGAGTATCTCTGCCCAGCCCAGCGAGAGTCAGCTCGAAAATTATGGCATGCATGTCATCACTTATTCGACGTCGGAAAAAAATGCCAATAAATTTTAAACGAAATTTCGAAGAGGCGTATTTAGCTATATTACAGGTATAATTTTTTACAGGCGGGTCAACTAGACTATGCGTCCAGTTTGTAGGGTAGCAAACTGGACGCATAGCCTTTCCTACATTCTCTCTCTCTCTCTCTCTCTCTCTCTCTCTCTCTCTCTACAGGCGGGTCTTATTTTTAATTTTTAGTGGCGGGTCTTACGTGCGTGCGGCGTTTTGCCAAACTTCTTACACGAACTCGGCATACACCTGGCGTACACGAACGTGGACGTCGCAGCGACAACTCAATTTACAAAATTTCGGTTGCTCCCAGTGCAACAAAACTCATACAAAAACAAGATCAGCGTTTCCTTTTCTCAAATAAAGCCCCGCCACGGTGCTCTAGTGGCTGAGGTACTCGGCTGCTGACCCGCAGGTCGCGGGATCGAATCCCGGCTGTGGCGGCTGCATTTCCGATGGAGGCGGAAATGTTGTAGGCCCGTGTGCTCAGATTTGGGTGCACGTTAAAGAACCCCAGGTGGTCGAAATTTCCGGAGCCCTCCACTACGGCGTGTCTCATAATTGTATGGTGGTTTTGGGACGTTAAACCCCACAAATCAATCATTTTTCTCGAATAAAGGCGTATAATTTCAAACATCTAGAAATTTAAAGTGAAATTATCAATAACAAAAAATGGCAGCAAGCAGATCCACGAAGTGAATGCTGATGATGAAACGAAGCTGTACGTCCTATAGGGTTCATTACACGTGCACGTTAGTCGCCGACAGGAACGGACAGATGGACGGACAGGCGCGCGATGCACGGACGCACGCACAGAACGGACACATGAACGGATAGACGCGCGGACGGACAGATGGAGCAGACGGGGTGTGGTCTATTTTAAAAACCATGTGCACGCTACTATGACCGCTCTATGGGCACGGTATAACGGTATAAGTGACACCTGTGTTTCGATCCGATCCGATGGGAAGTCACGCCAACGACAGCGTCGACGGACATCGCGCGAGCCTGTAAAGAGCTTCGCTCGATCCTCAAGAAAAAAAGAATAAAATAAACGTAGGCACGCACTTGCATAGGCGGCTTGAGACAAACGTCATTGTTCTGTGCGCACTTGTCTCTGTTTATTCACAACAGTTGACATGTACACGTGTTTTTTTTTTATGAACTTGTGAAGTAATGTCGACGTTTCAAAGCAATTTTGAAGGCTAGCATGATTTCTTTTCACTTCCATGTTTTGTTGGCTCTGGTATACTGCACCAGCATTAACCTTCGGTACATCGGCGTGAAGAAAAACATCAGCGTTACGGTGACCCATGTTAAAACATCTTTCTGAACACGCGATCGCATAGATAAGCACAGCTATAGCAGATAAAGAAGCATGGATACAGTTCGTACGCATTTCTAAGCAAACAAGCGTAGCATGCGGTGCATTAGTGCACCTACAGAGCTTTCGAATCGAGTGAAATGCCTTTATATCTTGCCTTTATCATCACGCGCAACCACGGTGTCAACGTTACAGTTATATTCGTAAGAAACTGCTATAGGTTCGCTTCGCGGCGTCCTTGATGTATTCGACACTTCGTATTAAAATAAATAAATATTTACTAACACATGATAAAACACAAGCCACACAGGCTACGAACGCCACACGCGTCTTCTAAACGCCGCGCGGGCCACAACTCGCACGAGAACCTCTCAGTCACGTCGACGTCTACTTTCACTACAATAGATACCAAAAGGGCACGTGCATTTCTAACACGTAGAATGTGC